TGTGCTTTTTTATTTATTTGTTCTTGGCCCTTCAAAACTCTGGTTCTTTCTTATAATTCTTCTTCAACTCTCCTCTATTTCGGACTAGCATTCTCTACCTTCGGATACCCATCCTTTTCAGGATATCCTGCACATTGTCCAACCATCCCAGTCGTTCGGGAACTCAATCTCTGGGCATATACCATACATAGCCCAATCATCTGATATGGTTATTGTTTGTGCATTAAACATTATCAACAGGTACATCTGAAAATATTGCATTGAGAATGTTGATGTGGGAACGTTTGATTGATTACCATTTACATCATACAACTTTTACATTTTATTGGTTTGCCACAAGATTTATTTGAGAAGGTTCTGAAGGAATATTATCATTTAGCAGTCTGTAGGGAAACGGTGGAGTCTACAGCAACTCCCTTCTGGTCTCTGGTATCGCTGTCATCTCACTGTACCAGAGAGCTTGGGTTTATTTTTATTTTTTGTAACCGTAACTACTCTGTAAGAAAAAAAAATACCTACATGAAATGATCCTAAGTGGTCATTAGAGGCAAAAAATAAAAATAAGTTTAATTATAGAAACAATAATGTTTTTATTCATGCATGATTACATTTAGTAGTTGTATATACATTACAATTTAAAAAGATTATATATTGTGATTGTTTAAGTATTTAGCTTAGATCACTCACATAAACATATATGGACCAATGAAAAGAAAACGATAATTTTTTTTTTGCTCTGCTTGCAAGTTCTCTTGCGAAAATCCCTAACTGAACTCTCCACTAGACTTCCTTCTCCCAAGCGCTCTTCTTATTCCCACCCAAAAATATTTTATATAATTTTTCCATACTTTTTTTCTAGGTTTTTCTATTAGTCGAATATCTGTTCCAAGGCGGAACTCGACCCCTCTCCTGTAAAATTATGAAGTGTGGTCTGGTCTCTTTTTGATCTTATAAAATTGACAAAGTTTGGTGTTTGTAATGTCCTAAGCGAATAGTCAGCATAAAACTATATTTGTGAGCATCGGTATCCCGCAGATAAAAGCAGGTACTTATACCTTGTCCCAAATTTACCTGCACTAATCTATGTTGGCTATGTTTCAATTTCTACCTCACCATCCTCAATACAAAATGTAGATAGAAACTGTAGGATTTGTCGAAAATTTAGTGGGTATTTCTAACGATAGATCGCAATATATTTTTTTCTTTCTAGTTTCGATTATTAAAGGACGTAATTTCTTTTAAATTTAATTTTTTTCTTTTTTTTTAAAGCGATGGTGTGAGGGGCATAATTAAAATATACGACCTCGGGGTTTTCTCTCAAGAGCTCCAAAGGGGCTCAGTAAGCAGTGAAGTGTGATATTCTATGCTTTAGGCAAGTACAAAATAATACGTAATAGGTGTTTCTTCGGTAGTAATATCTGCATGTTTTCATCGTGATAATTTTTCTAAATTTATCACTGCAATTATTTATTTGTAAAATATAATATTGCTCCTTTAATAAGAAGCACTTAATTAATCAGTAAGTAATTAGTGGCTTATTGTACTTCTGCCCAAGTTCAAATCCAAAATTATTTTGCAGTCTCTAGTGACGCATTCCTCCTGTTATATAATAATATTATTTCCTTCCTTGCGTTCATGGCACCAGAACAATGGCGTTTAAAAACGAAGTCATAAGTCTGGTAATTTTTCTAATACATAAATAATGCCATAGTAAATATAAATGGAGGAACATAATTCTGCATTTTAGATAAAATCGCTCTTGTTATCCACCCTCTTAATGTATCCATAGCATATTAATAAATTATTGGATTTTTTAATCAATCCACTAGATGATTTAATTTAGATGAGGAGAGCTTTTGTGATGAATCCCTCCCTCCCTTACCAATTTTTTTTTCCATTGGTCAATTTTTGTTTCTCTGGATGATAGCTAAATAATCAAACTAATAAGGGGCGGGGAGGCCGAGCCGGCTAATGCGTGCGCACAGCACCGTGGGTTGCCTGACAACCTGATAACCGAAGTTATACGGAATAAAATAAGTTTGAGTCCCGATACCAGTGAAGTTTTGAACTCTGACATCAATCCCCCGCCCTCATCATCTGGCTCGGGAAAACCCTGTATAGCCCAAAAGGCGAGAAAGCGGAGAACAGAAAAAAAAAAATCAAACGAATACAATATATTATTTTTTTAATTCATAAGGAATATACTCAGCTACTAATCTAAACATGTATCAAGAAAAATATAAAAAAATTCTCCTAAAACATTTATTGTTCCTATTATTGCCGTTAATAAAAATTCAAAACTGATTTAATGGTGTAAAGAACATCTCGATATATTTTTATTTTTAACAAACTTTTATTTTTATTTAAAAAGAAAAATATCGATTTAATTTTCCGTTGTTACATCCTTGTGTATTTTATGTAGTTGGTTTATAAAAACTCTGTGGTGAATCTCAACTCGCTTACGGTTGGAAGAACTCTTTATCTAACAGCATGTGTAGTTAGACGAATTTGACTAATATGAATCATACGAAAAAATTACAACGGCCCGTGTTTGTGTGCAGCCATGACATTTCAATGGTGCTGCTCGAAGAACTATGAATTGTTGGAAGGCCATATCAATTTCTAAGCTCCAACTACCCGTCATTTTCGAACCATCCAGCTTTTCCCTTTTACGTCTTGATTTGTTCATGCCCATTTTCGGCCCGAATGTGTGTATTTTCAGTGATATCTCAATATATTTCAGAGATCTACATGTTTTCAACATTATAGTTTTAAACATCTAATCTTTTTCAACTAGAATATTTTTTACATTCAATGATTGTATAACTAACTAAACGTTAGAAATTAAATAATGATTAAAATCAGAATTAGACTTCTATCCTTAGACTTCTTTCGAGCGTTAGACTTCTATCCTTCCTGCTGTTTTTGTGGAAATTGATCCCACATACATGGAATAAGAGCAATTATTGCGTAAATTATTCCCTTCAAAGAATTGACTTGAGAAATACAAACCTTATTTATTATCTCTTACAGCTACTGGAGCTGTACTTTTTAAACATGGTAACAAAAGAACAACACGCTGACTGTAATCTTACAGTTATTTTAAGGCCAGTAAAAATTATTCTTTAAAAGGTTGAATAATTATGATAAATAGATTAAAAAACAAAAACTATTTTGGAGCATAAATGGAAATATTTAGGTACTCTCTCAGATTTTGAGAACTATCGTTCAATAATTATGAAAAAGAATTCTGGTTTATTATTCTCGAATATCAAAATAAAAAGTTTGCCAAACAGATAAGTTAAATTTCCTCTCCAACCCTATTGGGTATTTGAGGAGGAAAATGCAAACAGGTAAAAATATATATTTTAATTTTTTAACGAGAATACCAACCATTTCTTCTTCTTCATGGGCTCCACATCTCCTCGCTGAGTGTAGGCCTCCTCAATTAGTTTCACCCACTGTTCTCTCTCTCTTGTAGCTCTCCTCCAGTTAGCCAGTCCAAGAAGAGCTCTAACCGTCCCTGTCAACCCCATCCATCCAGCACAATCTAGGTCTTCCAACTCTTCTTTTTCTTTCTGGACGCGTCAGCATAATTTTGCTGGTTGGGCTATTCTCATCCATCCTGGCTACATGACCCGCCCATTTTAAATGCTATATTCTAATGAACCGGAATACATAATAAAATTCAGTGATTTTGATGATTGTTGATTTGAAGATAATCATCTTCTTCAGGACCCTAAAATAAGTAAATCCATTAGAAAAGGCAGATTATGAAGAAATTAAAACTGTTTTTACGCGTTACTCAAAAAGGATACAATCTATGCTTTATAAAACTATGATAATTTGAACGGTTTCAAAATCCTCCCCCTAAAAATCATCCAAATCAGACATGTATTTCTAGAGACTAGCCCCAAATCAGCTCTCAGGATTAGGATATCATCCAGAAAAAGCAATAACTATTTTCTAATATGTTCACTCACACAAAATTATACAATTATCTTTTGTATAAGTATTTCCGCTAACACTCTGCTTCATGAACTGCTGTTGAGACTGCTTAACTATTTTCCATGAAACATAAGAATAACGTAAAATTACTAAATTCTAAGCTTATAAAGTCTTGAACAAAAAATTAAACATTGGTGTACTATCTTTGATTTTAATCTATTTTTTCCAATGATCAGCTCCTACAGGCTTAAGAAAACCATTTTACACTCCTAAATAATTGAATATAAGAAGTTTAATATAAAAAAAAGAGCAAAAAATTGAGGAGTTTTTGATTCTATGGCATTTTGTTTAAAGATGTGCTGTATCAGGTGGATATTGCATAAATCCTCATAGTTTTTATAAGAAGAAAAACAAGTTTGGTGGAAATCAGTTTATCTTTTTTCTTGTGGCAAGAAAACGAAAAATGCAATAGATAGGTAATAAATTACATGTGTCATTTTACTTTAAAAAATTAATAAGCTAAAAGAATTTAAAATTGTTTATTTATATTTTTTCTAATTATTTGATATTCTGGATTGCATGTATGTATCAGCAGGCTCAATTTTTTGAAGGGTGGACATTTAATTTTTTTTTTAATTTATGGGCTTATTATCAATTAGTTAATTTTTTTCTCTATTTTTATGTTTGCCTATAATTTCTTTTTTTATATTATTATATTAAAGTTATGTTATAAAATTAAGGGAAAACTCATCTAACAGCAGTCTATTAAAGAGCTGAAAGATATCACTGTGACTGCTAATATAACTGAATATTATAAAAATATTATTCATGTTAACTTCTATGCTTTAAACCTTAAATTAATAAGTTAAAGAAAGAAAACTGAATTACATACATTACATCTTATTTGTTTTTTTAAAGTCTCCTCTTTGTAATATAAAATTAAAAGGTATTCATAGCCTATTTTATTGCCATGGCAAGAAAACTAATTTTCAACATTACTTAAATCTCTTAAATAATTGATAATATCTAATATTGTTTTTGTCTTGTTTCAGGTACTGAAAAATGGCTGGTTAGTGAAAATTTTACTCTTGCAGATATTGATCTTGCTATATTGCTAGAAAGGTTGAATGTGCTCGGTCTTGAACAACGATTCTGGCAAAGCAGACCTAACATAGCCAAGTATTTTATTAGAATGAAGCAGAGGGATTCATTTAAGAAAAGCATACCATCAGCTTTTTTTCATCTAAAAACTCTCCTTGAAGGCATTCCCAACTTCTTATTGTCACTTATATAAGATTCTGCAAATGAATAATTTGTTCTATTCATTAATTACTAAGGCAATAATCAAATTCGCTTTTAAACATATGGTGTAAGTGATTTTCAAGAGGTACACCATAAAGTGCTATTATTTAAATGCTATACATCTCTGCGGTTTATTATTTTTTTTTAATTACCTTTGATTATTTTTTAATATAATATAAAGTTTTGGAGAGCTTAATTTTTAATTGTTAATCATTTAGAACATTTTTTTTTTTTTGTATAAAAGTTAACATTTTGGTAATAAAGCATTTAAAATGTTTTACCTCATTTGAAGCTCTCTAAAGAATCAAAAGTGCAATATTATTTCTTACTGTATTTAATTTGTTTATTTCTCCTAAAGAATTTATTAATGTTACAAGAATTATTACTCTATTAAGTATGTTATAACATATGTAATATTAACTACAACTTATTTAAGTTGTTAATTAGTATTTTTAATCCAAATGGTGTTGGTTTGATAATTTTAATAATAATTGTTTGTACTTTTATACTGAATGTATGTTAAAGATTGTCACCTAAAGCTGTTCTATATAGATTAATGCATATACGCACATCTATTGTTAATATTAAACTTAAAAATTTTATATGATGTAAGAAATTTTGATATCAGAATGTCAATTATACAATTAAATAAATATGTATTAAATATTTTGCATTATCTTAAATACTTTAATCATAAATGAATAGTCGTTTAATTCTATGTATTCTATTTAATTCTATGTATTTAAACAAACAAAATTAAAGAAAAATGGGACATCGAAAACATAAATAAAAATGCCTATAATGAGAGTAAAAATAAATCAGATGAACTTTATTTATGTTAGGTGGATCAAACGATAATGGTAACTCCACGCATAATGAGCAAAATTCACAAACTAAGACCATCATGTCAGACAGGCATTAAGGAGAGAAATCAAACAGAATTTTTAACACAACTTGCATGTAGAAACTTAAATTTCGTTTTAGAAATTTTGAACATTTGGCTAAGAAATGGAAAAGGTCCTCTTTTATGGCAATGTTCCAAAATGTGCAGTTTGTATTTACATTGTCAAGCCATGTGGTGTAATTCAAATGAAGAAGTTTGCATCGGTTATACTACTTTGAAATGTCAGTAGATGAATTCAGTAACTTGTAGTTTCTAAAACATTTTCTAGACTGAGGGTCATTTCGATCATTAAGATCTTCCAGTTTTTCTTTTAAAGCTTCAAACATATTAGAAAAAGTAATTGCACGTTGGAATAAAGATGTAGATGAAGCCAATGCAGTATATTTTGATTAAATAAACATATATTTTTTAATTTTTATCCGAACTACTGATTAGAGGTTAAGAGAAGTCAATATAATATGTAGGTAATTGGCACAACCAGCTTAGGGAGCTCCAGCAGTCTCCAATAGATGGCTTTGTTTTAAGCTACAGCAGTCTTGTATCTTATCATCATCCTAAGCTCGATAATCCATTACTGGATCTTGGCTGCCTCAAGAGTTGCCCTCCACGTTTCTCTGTCCTATGCAGCCATCCACCAGTTCATAATTCCAAGAATTCTGGCATCGGTACTTACTCCATCTATCCATCTCTTCTGTTTACACTTTCCTTTTTCCACCATGCTCAATGCTGAACAGCTTCTTTGGAGTTGAACTCATGTTCATCTGTACAATGTAACCCGCCAATTTCAACCTTGCTATCCAGATATATTTCACCACATCCGGCTCGGAGACAGTCGAAATCAGCAGTGCAATAAGTCAAGGAGGCGCCCTTGTTTACCTCTTATTCAATCTGTCATTAGAAATGGCTGCCTGAAAATAAATTATTCTGACAATGTGTACCACGTTTAGCAGTGGTTTATTTAATTGTGCAGTGGGACGTGCCAATGACATTGACATCATGGCGAGGTCAGAACAGACTTTGAAGGAGGTGTTCATTGCTTTTGAAACAGCTGCCAAAGAATTTGGCCTTATAGTCAATGAGCAAAAAACTAAATATATGTGAGCTGGTTGTGGCAGAGACCATATCACATTCCTAGATATTGGCCCCTATAAGTTCCAGAAAGTGGAAATCTTTATGTATCTAGGGTCCGAGATGAATTCCAGGAACGATGTATCTCAGGATGTCAGCAGGCAGATCAATGCTGCTGAGTGCTTTCACTGCCTGTCCAAGCATTTTAAAAGCAAGAATCTTTCTTCCAGTACATAAACAATCCTTAACAAGAACCTGGTACGTCCAGTGCTCACCTATGTATCATAAGCATAAACAACCACTAAGGCAGAGGGAAAACATATTACTGATTTTCAAGAGATAAGTACTCAAGAGAATATTCAGAGCATTAAGAGAGGGAGAGTTCTGGAAGAAAAGAAAGAACAGGAAGCTCTATAACACTTTTAAGGATGCCAACAATGGAAAGGATTTAAAGCTAGGACGACTTTACTGGGCCGACCAGCTTGGTGGGCTTGTGGCGTGGATGGGTGACCTAGAGATCCCAAGGAAGGTAATGACTGGAGGGGTGGACCAAGCAAGTAAAGTAAGGCAGCTCAGAACAAGACGGCTTGATTATGTGGATGCGAGGAGCCGGCTGAAATCCAGGAACTGGACTGCTGCAGCATGACATAGCTGTCTGGCAGAGACTGCTCAAGAAGGCCTAGATATAAAATTTTTAAAAACTAGTTAAATAGAATTTGGAATAAATAATATCATAATTCAAATTTTTGGGATTTATTTTATTCACAGAATTTTTTTTAATAACTTTGTAAATAAACTGTTTTATGTTTCTTTTTATCTCTATACACAATAAAATATAAAATTGCACTAGGATCTTGCAAGCATAAGTGCTATTTTATTTCAATATGAGCATACTATTTTTTTTAATTTTATTTTTTTTAAATTTTTATGTCCAACAAGAGTTCAATATGAATGTCCTACAATACGAAAGGTATTAAGAATACCAAAAAGGTTATAATAAAGAAGCAAAAAAACCTAATAATAAATTTAAATCAATGAAAATGGGTTATTAAATAATCAAAACTTCATTATATATTTTTTCATTATATCAAATAAATTAAATATTTATTAAAAATGTGTATATTTTGTAACAATAAAGAGGCACAAAGTGATTTAAATAAATTACCTTAAAAATAATTCATGGTAATACAGAATTTAAATGCAAAAATACAAAATTTATAAATTATAATAACAAACATAAACACAAAAAAAATCAACAAAAATAAACTATAATTAATGACTTAAAATAAACAATATAATATTACACAATGTCATGTTCATAAAAACCTACAAAACAGACCAAATCGGATTTTAAGGACTAGGATAATGGCTTGATTTAATAGTTGGTTCAGTTCAGATAAAACAGTTTTTATGGTTAAAAAGCTTCACAAGGTGTATTTAATTGGAAGATGTTTTCGTTTACATAACTTAATATACATAATAAAAATAAAATGCTGAGTGCAGTAGTATTTAATTCTCCAAAACATGTACTGTCTTTTTTTTCTTTTTTTCAAAAAAACAAGATTGATCTGAATGTCCATTCCACCAGGATTAATTTCAGTTCAAATATTTTAAGACAGAATGATGAGGAAAAATTAGATGATTTATTAGAGTATTCAGAATTAAAAACCCATGTTTTATATAAGACTTTTATGATTCACGTTCACAAGAATTTATTCCAATAAGTAGCAAGTATGAAAATAAATTCAAATGGTGGATTTAACCACAAGCAGACCAAACACTTCCAGAAATTTTTAAGAATCGGCAAAATTTGAATGAAATTGAATTTTTTTCATTTAAACAAATTTGTAAGTATATAAAACAAATCAATAAAGCACACATGAATATAACATTATCTCCACTTAGGTATTAAATACAAAACAATGATTGTTGAAGAAAGGAGCAGCAGAAAGGAAGGGCATTTTCTATCATAGCTGTGATACAATAAATAGGTGTAAAATATAATAATAGCTGTGATAAAATAATAAAATTATTCTTTTTTATTATTACTGAATCAGAAAAAAAGTGGGTTTATATCTCAGTAACAAAAATTGCTTCACATTTAAATACTTCTTAAATTTATTTCAGTTAAAATTACTAATGAATTGAAAGTATTTTAAATGCAAATAAATTGATAACTGCCGTAAAATGCAATATTTTTCTTTTCCATTATTATACTTCATATAATATAAAATAAATATTTTTCAACCACTACCAAACCAAAAAACAATTCCGATCCCAACACCTCACACAATCATAGGCATACACCCATCAAAAGAAACTACCTTAAAATAAAAATAAATAATCTTCATTCAGCAGTTGATAAAAAAAAAAGATTTATTCCAAGTCAATCCTAAACATAAGTTATTAAATGAATGGATTGGTGATGACTAAAAATGTCATGGTTTATTTGTGCCTTTGCATGGAAATCCAATATCAGATAACTTTTAATCAACATATTCATCATCAAAGCTTTCTATAACAGTAAAATCACAGAAAAACCAGCTCTAGTAAATAACAGTCTATTTACATTATTTATAAAAATAATTTACATTTATATTTACAATAGGTTCAATGTAAAATACATTATGTTTGTAAGACTTCAAGGCAGTTGATGTATAACCCACACTTTATTTTTCATAAACTTTAATTGAAGAATGAAGTAATTATGACGTCAGTTTTAAGTAATCACTTTCAACTAAAACCTAAGCTGTTGTTTCAGTCGGAGTTGCTGTGTTTTCTTCAGGTACTCGAATGGGCATTCCCATGAATCTAGGCCCAGGAACTTTATTAGTAACAGATCCTTTCTTTTTAAGAGGTACAGTCTGTTGCTTGGTTTCTCTGTACTTAAATAACCCATCACCAGGCAAAGATGGAAGTATCCTTGGATTAACATACCAAAGATAATAGGTCAAATACCAAGTAACAACAGCAGTGATGGCTGCGAGTAGTTTTTCCAACATGTTATGATAAAAGAGTACTGTTGTGATCAGCATAATATCCCAAATAATTACTAAACCAGTAATTATTAAAAATAAGCTTCTGATATATGGTGTAAGTTTAGGGTAAGAAGACTTTAATCGTTCGAACTCACAAGCAGAAAGAGCTCTCAATGGTGAAGAATCGGTAGAACCTTGAGACCTGGAATGTTCCTCTTCTCTTATGAGATCAGATATACCTTCCCAACAATTAATAACTCTACATTCTTCAATCAGTACAAGAGTACTGTACAAAAGTATAAAACAATGGCCAGAAATGTCTAAACTATGCCAAAAATAGCCTTTGTTAAGACAGGAAGGTTTTGTTTGATATCTAATATCTTTGATATTACACCTTCCAAAAATATTTTCAACATAATTATAAAAATTTGTCCAAAAATACCAAAAAAATGTAGCTACTGCAAATCTCCCAAGATGTGTCAGAACTCTATTCCTTTTTCCACAACAATATACAAAACTTGTAAGTGCATTAAAAGGTAGACCAACAAGTAAAGTCCACCCCCATCCAATTTTCACAAAGTATTTATTCAGAAAGTTTTCTTTCGAAGCGAATCCTAGACTACTGAATGCTCTTGGCATCGGCAAGACATCAACCAGTATAGAAAATATAAATATAAATCCCAAGTATGTAGCAATACGAAGATGAATGTCAATAAACAACAACTTTTTGCATAAATGTTGAATCATCATTAATAAAATATTTTTCACAGAAGGCCTCTCAGCAGTAGGTTTCGTACCACGGTTTTCATTCTTTTCAAGAAAAGGCCGAAAATTTAACCTCGAACTAGTAGAGTATCCCGTTTTCTTCTTAGAAGCCATGACTGAAACCTCCCATTTTACTGTCATCTAGTGATTATGTTAACTCATTTTATTAGAAAATGTTTCTATAAAATTTATAATAAATATTTTTTTGATGAAAATTAAACTAGTTAGATTTGACATATATAAAAGTAAAATTTAGAGTATTTATTACTGTAATGTCATCTGGACTTGTATGGTTGTAATTATATCGAAGTATCCACATTCTGTATCGATATCGGCATATTAAGTAGATAAGCAGATAACGATTGATAAGAAATTTTTCACATACCAACTATTTTATTGAGTAATATATCGTTCTATAGCAATATGGCCCATAATATATGGGTCGATATTTAAGATGAGATTGGAAACCTCCAAAGCCCCAAGCCATTAATCAGACATTCCACATCAACAAATCAAATAAAAATTTAATCTGCATTTTACTGAAGCATTATTTTCAAATCCACTTTAACAATGAGCAATAACTATAGGTCCAATACAACTACTCCAATAACCAGCAGCTCTTTTGCCTTCCATCGTCAGTTCCATTGATCAACTGTGTCCACCCTGAAATTCTTTTCCATCTTCTTGGGTCTTCATCAATTCTCATATTTAGATGTTTCGGTAGATTTGCCGAACCTTCCCTTTTCATTTTAAAGAGGTAATAGTCTTCTCGCAGGAAGAGATCGAGAGGTGCCCCCCTGCCAATACTTGCACTGCCTCATGAGATACCGTTCTATAGGCTCTAATGACCCGAAGTAAAGTCAATCTCTGAATCAATGCTGGCCTACTGTTCTGTCGGTGCGAGAGGTTTAGGTTCCAGGCTGGGGGGCGCATATCTCACAATTCCCATAATTACTCCTTTGAATGTAGTCATTGCAGCTGGCTATCTGAGATCCCAGAAGGCGCCTCCGACACGACTGAGTCCATTTAGGCCCACTGTGATTCTAGTTCTCATATAGTCCAAGTAATGAGTCACGTTGAACTTTCGAGCAATTTTTATGCCAAAGTAGGTGACAACCTCACTTGGACATACTCTTCCTTCTTCTATACTCAACATAATATGATGAGCCCTATCAGTCGTTCCCCTCAAGAAAGTTGTCTGGGTATTTATTTCAGCCATCTTCAACTTCTTTCTCTCGCACCATCTTCCTACCCAACTGGCGCATTGTTCAGCTTCTGCTTTCAGACCGGCTATGCTGTTTGAGGCCACTACGGCGGCCAAATCTTCAACATAGGGCGTAACAGGAAACAGCTCCTCTACGAGCTTATTCAGCAACTCGTCAAAGACTAGTTTCCTTAATGCGGGACCCAGAACAACAGTATACACCAAAAAGACCCTACCATTTTGTAATAAGCCTCAATGTCACCCAAGCTCTACTAAATTCCAGTGTCAAAACAAATTTGAATTTGCTCATCAGCTGCGATTTATTCAGAAATGTGTGTTTTACAAACTATGGGAAACACGATTATTTAACTTAACGCAATTAATCATTAAGAAATAATTAGTTACTGTTCTGTAAAAAAAAAAAAGCTCAATTTTTACATACAATCTTTTGCACTAACAGTTACGGTACATAATTACTAAAACGGTTTTGTATCAAATATCAGCTTTTCTAATGCTCGAATGCCATGTATACATTTTTTTTTTTTAATTGGATCATCCTCTACCCACCATTTCTGGCATATGTGGAGATGTTCCAGATGTACAATCAAACCTATTCTAACCACAGTGTGAGGATCGAGTTTCATTCCGTGGATGCCGCTACGAAATAAAAATTAACCACCACCCCCTGACCGGATTCAAACCGGCGTATCTAGGCACGAGAATGCTAAACCGGACAACACTCCAACACTCTTGGCCACCGCTCCAACACACTTGGATTATACACACTTGGACCGCGACCTCCAGACTTCGTGTATAGGGTACCATTGAATTCAGAATTTCGCGTAAGGGAGGTTAGCGAATCGTACTCTCCGCTTTTGTTTTTGTTTGTTTCTAAAATAAATATAGTCCGCTTCAACTTTTCGCTAGGCTTCAATACTAGGGCAGTAGTGAGTTGGTGGATCGAGTACGGACAAATTTTGAAGCGGACATCCTTTGGAAAAACCGGACCCTCCATTTTAAAGCCCAAAAATATACCATTTTTGAGATAATGTAAAACAAAGAGTTCACAGCCACGCAAGCTCACGCTAATTGTAGTAGCTACATATTATTACATGTGGCAGTATATTTACCTTAAATACGTAATTTCAGATTCGTGCTACTTTTCTTTTTTGAGCTAGGCTATTCACACACACAGACCATGTTGTATTTGGGCTCAGGGGAGCTCAAAACGTATATTTCCGTTGAAAACTGAGATTCAAAATTTTCAGTCACCAACAGTTTACAATGTTTCATATAGTTTTAGATTCTATATTTTCTCCTTGTATATTTATCTGCTTTGCTTTAGTTAAAAAGCAATCAAAATAATGAGTGGGAAATAAAGAAAGTCCCTCACAAGCCTCTTAGTTTCGCAGGAACAACCATCTTTCAGTAAAAGCACTTTAACTACTCTGATTTATCCCAAAATTTTTGTTTGATTATTTTCTTGGAGTGTTTTTAAATTATGTTTTATCGGTTTTTAATTTATCTTGATGAAGGAATTGTATGTTTAATGGGTTCAGTAACTGGTGCCTCATAATGGAGCCTTTCGCCAGTAGCTGATAGGCTTGTACTTTCATAAAATCAAAGATATGTACTTAATGTAACGAGTCTTAAAATAAGTACCATTTAATAGTGCCTCGTTAAAAAAAATTGCAAGTGATTTAGTTTGAATATAAAGTAAAAATAGGTTTTCCTATTGTCAAAAACAGGTCTTGACAGTGACTACCATTTATTGATAAATAAAATTGGGAAACGTAAGAAGTTAGATTTATAATAGGGTAAAGATAATTTTTTTAATCCTAAAATGAAGAATATGAAATTTCATTCTAGTTCTAATCCCTGTCAGCTATAGGAACATTCCAAATCAGTGTCAGCTATTCTCTTAATTTTCAATTTGTTAACATTTAGATGAATGTTTCATAGATTTTAAATATGTTTTGTTAAGGTAAGAAATAGTTCTATAAGATAAACCCATGAAAAATATATTAATGTCAATACACGTAAAAGATCAAAGAAATTTCCTTAAATGTCAGCTATTGGTACATGTACCCTACTATTTATTACAAATATATGTAAGTAAAACACTCGTAAATAAGAAAACAAATGGTAGCGAAATCCTACACTAGAATTTTTCATTCACTTGACTAGACTTCTAAACGATAGCCCTGAGGATATTTGGGTCGAAACGTCGGGTAAACCAATAAAAAAATATTGAATGAAATTCCTGACAATTTTGTTTGTTCCAACATTGCCGTAATATCTAATCCCGCATTCGATACGATCGGTTATATCAAAAGGAACACCCCTTGGTGAACGTAATATTTTGATTATGCCCGCTAATGTGATTACTAGAATTGAATATTACTATCTTGGGCTTAATTTTTAATCAATGTTAGTAGTTTTTATTTAAGTTAACTCTAGCTTCATTTAATAATTGTATTAATAATGAGCTCGTCCGCCAGTAAACGAACTATTTATGTTGGTAAGTTGTAAAAGCTCTTTGAATTTGAATATTTGCTGTACATGTTATAATAAAATTGTTTTTCTTGAATTTTAAGTATAGGGTTTCATTTGAACAAAACGTTATACACTTGTTTATTTAATTTATGCAGGTGGTTTAGCAGATGAAGTTGATGAAGAAGTACTTAGGTCAGCTTTTTTAGCATTTGGAGAACTTTTAGATATTCAAATACCTCTAGATTATCAAACAGAAAAACACCGTGGCTTTGCATTCATTGAATATGAATTTGCAGAGGATGCTGCTGCTGCCATCGATAATATGGTTAGTATGTTATTATTTACTGCTTAATTCTGGAATGATTGCCTCTGACTATGTTTATAATTTATTCAAGAATGATTCTGAAATGTTTGGACGGACAATCAGAGTAAATCTTGCAAAACCACAAAAAATCAAAGAAGGTTCGACAAGAGCAGTTTGGGCCGATGACACTTGGCTAAGAGAACATGCTGGAGAAACTGTTGATGAAGAAAATGTGAGCAAGATAAAAGATAAGGCAAGTTAAAATTCCTATTATTATTATACATGGTGTCCCGCAAGTAGAGAGAAATATTTAAAGGGATGATAACAAAAAAGAGATACATAAAAGTTCATATAAACAATGATCCAATTTTCAGCCCAAAAGTGGAAAATTTAATATTTGAGTTTTTTTATGAGAAGGAGTTAGTCGAGGGTGCGGTCAAATAAATAAAAAAAAAAAATTAAAATATATAAATTATTTTAATTTTTGCCGACGTTTCGACCCACTTTGCCACCCCGCAGTGCCACATCCTACACCCTGAAGACGACCTGCAAAGTGGGTTGAAACGTCGGTAAAAATTAAAATAATTTATATATTTTAATTTTTTTTTATTTATTTGACCGCACCCTCGACTAACTCCTTCTCATATTATATCAACGGTCAACCATCTCTACATCATTTGAGTTTTTTTAAATGTCAGTTTTTTCTTGAATAGGAAGTGATCACCTTCCAACTCTACAGCAGGTACCCTACTTTTAGAAAAACTTTCTTGTTTAATAAGTTTTAACTCAATATTAATTAATTTGAGGTTTATTAAGAAGGAGGTTAGATTCATCTACCTCATGTTTTATAAAAAATGACGTGATTTGATATCCGTTATGTACGGATAATGTAAATATGCCTGTGTTTTCAGCAAATATGACTACAATAAACTATTGTAAAACTTAATTTTTTATTTCATTACTTGGGTTGTATTATAATCAAGATAAATTCATAAATATTTAATTGTAGCAGAACAAAAACAAATGTTAAAAGTAATGATTTTTCAAATAGTAATCATCTTAAGTGATAATGTAAATTTGTTTTTATTAAAATATCTCTCATAGAAATTGATCCGAACCTAATACCTTCAAAATAAAGAAACCTGCTGATTATTTTTGAATTATTTTCATGAGAACATAAATATTAGGACTAGGAATATTTAGTTGGTCACTTATAAATATGGATCATTTTCCATAATAGAGATTTGGGTAAAAAACAGTTATATTATCACATTAGATGATAAATATTTGAAAATCATTATAAAAAAAAATGTACATTTGTACAGGTTTATTAAACAAGTTAATTTTTTTAAAAGGGGACAATGAACCTAAGATGTAGTATAGTTCGAGGTAAATAAAAAAAAAATTAGAAATAATTCATGATTTTTTAAAAAATAGATTTTAGCTTAGATTTTAGATCTGCTCAAAAGTCCTCTTTAAATTATTTTAACAATGACAAATCCTATTTTTCGTTTCAAGTAAATTCTCTCTTGTTTATTCGCAATTATTAATTAATAAATTAATTTTTTTGTTATCATTTCCTATTAAACAAAAAATGTGCCTTACTAAAAATAACACATAACTTTTCTACTTTAATGTTAAAAATCGGACCATTGTTTATTGAAGCTTTTTTTTTTAGGTCTTGAGGTCTGCTATCAAACCTCTAAATATTTCCTTCTTATTCTTACCATTTTATTATTAATTTATGTTATTACTTTCATTTTTATTATATTATGCTTCAAGTTTATAAATTATTTTACATGAAATAGATTTTTGTATACCAATGACATTATTTAATACCTTAAATAATAAATCATCTTAATTTATGGTGGCTTAAATATTACCTAATAATTTTATATTTTGTTTAAAACATATGCACCAAAACATAAATAAATAAATTAAAAGTCATAACCTCTACAATATATTTTTTAAATATTGTTGACTTATTTCCATTTTCCCAATTTTAGGATCATTGTATTTTTCACAGAATATTTCATTCCAATTTCAGTTCCTTATTGAAATTGCTATATGAGTGAAGTAGGTTTATCAAAGTAAATTTTTACAGGGATAAATTAATCTATAAAAATAGTTTAAATAAATCATAATTGTAAAGTGTTCTTAGTGCAATGACAATTAAATATACAGAGAGCATTTCACATTTATGATTTTTTAAAATTATTAATAAATTAATTAATCCATGTCTTGTTATATTTATATTAGCAATGATCATTTAATACTCCTGTTTACATTACATTTTAGAATACATTAATCAACTATTTGTTATTTACATAGTCCTATTTTTCTAGGAAGAAGAAAATCAAGGCACCAAAAATCCTCAAGTCTATTTTGATATTCAAATTGGTAGTAATCGCAATGCAGGTCGTATTATCATGTTGCTGCGATCAGATGTTGTCCCTAAAACAGCTGAAAACTTTAGGGCGTTATGTACTCATGAAAGAGGATTTGGCTATCAAGGTTCAACATTCCATAGAATAATTCCAGACTTTGTATCCTTAATTACAATGTATTTTTTTAAACTTTAATCAAAACAGTTGGTGAACCTTAAAATCTACTAACCAATTGTTCTGTTGGGTAATAATACACACGTATTTTATCTAGGTGACAGATGAGGCAACATCATATCTATCACTGTGTCTGATTACATTAGGTTACTTATGGCTAAGTTATGTTTCATAATCTCCTTTTATGAAGTAATGAAGAATAACATGTTGGCCTTTGCTTAGTAGTAACTCTTATTTTTACTTTCACTTACCTATATATAAAATATATTGCAAGGGACAGTATTGTGATTGTAAAAATTTTTGAATCTCAGTTTTCAACGGAAATACTTGTTTAGATGTCTCCTGAGTCCAAATAACCAAGTCCCGCAAAATGGTCTCTGTGTGTATATGTATGTGACCAGTCTAGCTCAAAAATGAAAAGTCGTATGAAAGTGAAATTCCATATTTAAGGTTTGTGTATACCTGAGATGTTAGAGAAACATTTTCGTCAAAATATATTCGATTTAACATTTTTTTAATTTTCTCAAAAATAGCGCCTAATGATTTTGATTAGGCTCAGTATATCAGTGTATTATTAAGCAGTTTTTAATATAATGTAGGTTTTATTCTCATTGGTGTTCTCTAACAGGGCTTAAATGGCTAATTTGCACTATTAGCTTCCTGTAAAGTACCTTTAATTATTTTTATTTGAAATAATTAACCATTTCAGATTTATCTTTGATGTAAAAAAAATAGATTAATATAAAATATGATAGAATTTGATAATTAACTAATGGAGAAATAAGAGATTGTAACGGATAATAGTTAAAATGGAGGAACAAAAGGAATACGAGTACGCCCGAGCTCGCCCAAAAGATTGTAACAGGCTTCCATACGTAACATGAGCTTAATATCACACGGCTTCCGACAATATTATGTACATATACATAAATGCTATCGTTGGTATTATTTAATATTTAATTGTATAGATTACACAGTTATAAATATAAAAATATGCATATATAAAGATAATTAAATTAATATTAATATCCACAATGAAATGTAAATAAATATAGCATCTATAATTTTTACTTTCACTTCTCCTTTGTCTGAAAATTCTTAATTCTGCTAAGATGAGGGTGGTTATTGAAAGTCGTGTGATGCGCACATTAGATCAGTAATAAATAAATTAATATTTATACTGAATATATATGAACAAAAACATATTAATTTTAACATGGATTTTTGTAAAAGAAGGCCTCTTCTGTTGATAAATAATCTATTTATTCTCTCTTAGTTGACGTTTCGGGCTCCTGGCACATCTTCGAGGACAATTTATAATGTTATAAATGGAAAAATCCGAACTAAAGAGTGTCATAATTTTGAATTAAATAAAAAAATAGTTATTTTTCTTTAAATTGTTGTTTTTTTATTGAATCATAAAGTACATATGATAGGGGTATTTATGAAATAACATATCCGGCAAATGGGCTATAAGGCTTTCCTAACACATGTGCACTCTTTTGTTGAAATTTTCAATGACAATTTTGTATAAATGTGGCTGAATTTCGTTTATGCAATGTTGAATTTCCTCCTTTAATACATGCATGTAATTCAATGGCATAGACATTTGACTTAAAATAATCCCATAAAAAGAAATCCAATGGTGTTAAATCACACCACCTAGGGGACTAATTCGACAGAGTACACAGCCAGGAAATGTCTTATTCAGTAATTGAGTTGTTTCACAACCGTACCATCTTTTGAAACAACTTGTCATCCACGTCAATATCTTCCAATTTAGGCAGAAAGAACTGTGTTATCAAGTCGCAATATCGAGCACCAATAACATTCACTGATAGACCAATTTCATTTTCGAAAAAGTATGGTCCAATGATGCCTCCAGCCCAAAATCCACATCAAACAGTGACAAGTTGAGGATGCATTTGTTTTTCGACGATCGCATGTGGGTTGTCTGAACTCCAAAAGCAGCAATTTTGACAATTAACAAAGCCATTGAGGTAAAAATGGGCCTCTCACTAAAGATGATTTTGTTCGAAAAATTGGCCTGCCACTTGTTAATGTTAAATAATTCATTCAACAAGCTCTCTTCACTGTACCTGGTCATTGGATTTCAGTTCTTGTGTAAATTGAACTTCGTAAGGATGGAGATGCAGATCTTCAGTGAGTATACGCAGTTCAGAGCTTTTTAGAATTTCAATTCTTGTTCTTGACGCCGAATTGATGTTCCTGGACTTTCACTAACATGTTCACGCACTGCTTGGCTATTAACACTTGAACAGCTTGTTTTTGGACTAGTGTGTTTAAAATCATCAATTGATCCAGTCTGCTTGAATTTAAATCACTATTCCGACCATATTTTGTATGAAATTTTCGAACTGTGGCCACAAGACTTTTATTATTTTTAAAATATTTTCTAACAATGAAAACACGCTGTTATAACGCTCCATTTTTACTAATCCTAAACCATCTGCTGTTCAATTGGCAGAGAAAAAGAAAACAAAAGAAGAGAGAACTGTGATTTATATTTAATTTAAATCTTGCATTAATTTTGGGACACCCTTTACAAAGCCATGAGTTTCCAACATACAGATGAATAGTTAATTTGCCGATGTTTTGTCAATTAAGATTCTTCTTGCATCAGGGCAGAAAAACCGCTTATATGCAGAAAGAAAAAAAAAATTGCTATAGACATCTCACGAAGCCATCCAAATATATACTGAATCAGAAATACTGCAGTATGTATTTGGATGGCTTTGTGATACGTCTATAGCATTTTATTTTATTTTTTTCTTTCTGCATATAAGTAATCTTTGTTTTTCTGCTCTGATGATACCTGAATTGGTGAAACATTGGCTAGTTAACTACTATGCACCTTTATGTTGGTGACTCATGGCTTTGTAGTTTGGATTTTTCCATTTATAATATAATTACCTTATGTATCTTTTTTAGCTTTATGCTTATTTTAGTTAAATGTATAATTTTTAACACACTAGGCTAGTTTTTGCATTCCATTTACAGTGTGCTAGATAGGATCTTGGGCCAACCTTCATCCATAGGTGATACTGTGAACTAGTACCAGGGAATCCTATATTCAGACAAGTGTGTTTGAAGTAATATTATGGCGACTAAACTCTATTAAGGCCCCTACGTTAATTGAACAGAATCCTTTGTAGCTATAAAATTAATTTGTATCTATTATCTCAGCAAAACAATTGAGAGGAAAATACAACTGTAGTGATGGAACTCTAATGATTATTTTTCACTTTCATTTACCTATAAAAGAAATATGTAGTAAGGGAAAATATTGCGATCATGAAAAATTTTGAATCCAAGTTTTCAACGGAAATACAATTCAAAATAAATTTGAGGTCCTCTGAGTCCAAATAACCAAGTCTGGCGAAATAGTCTGTGTGTGTACATGCATGCTAACAATCTAGCTCAAATACAAAAAGTTGTATGAAACTGAAATTGTCTATATAAGGTTTGTATATTTCTAGAATGTTACAGCAACTTTTTCGTCAAAGTCAGCTATCTGAAAATGCCAATTTATATCATAAATTTACAATTTTCTCAATAACAGCTCTAACAATTTTGATTTAATTCAATACATCAGTGTACAATTAAATGGTTTTCAATATAATGTATTTAAATGACTAATTTTCAAAATTTCTATTTCTTCCTTTAAAGTATCTTTAATTTTTGTTAATTGTGAACTAATTAAAACATTTCACATTTTACCTACTATGAAAAATGGTTAAATATTAAATATGAAAGAATTTGATAATTAACTAAAGGATAAATAAGGGATCGTAATTGAAGAAGAAAAGCATGCGCCCGAGCTTGGCCAAAAGACTCCCAAACGTAACATGTAGTTCATATAATCTGGGATCTGATAATATTCTATACTTAATATATATTTAATTGTATAGATTATAGCAATATAAAAATTAAAATTTGTATTACACTTCTTAAACAAATAAATATACATATAATGAAATATAAATAAATATAGTGGCCTTCTTTATCAGTGGCACTCTTGTTTGGTTAAAAATATTTCGTGTCACTTAATTATTTATTATATTCAAATAATCAAATAAATTATTAAAATACACAGTCTTTAAAGAAAATAGTTAGTTAAAAAAAACACATAAATATAATACATTAGATGGCTGTGAAAAAACATAGTAATTAATTGTTTCAAATAATATTTTATACCTTCTGTTGTAATTTTTACTTTCACTTCCTTTTATCTAGAAATACCTATTTCTGGTAAACGAAGGGTAGTAAGTGAAAGTTGTGTTTCACAACAAAGAAGTTGATGCGCACACCACATCAGATTTTTTTTTATTAGAAATGAAAAATTAATGTGATTCTGAAATACTCAGTAAAAATGAATGGATTGCATTCAATCCGAATACAAACAATAGGCTAACTTCAAACTAATTTCATCTTGAACTGTCTGAATACAGACTGACTGGCTTTGTAGTTTAATACAAACTCTTTGAGATAATTTGATACCTTCTTTGAATGTTTTCATATCTTGTCGATTGAATACTTGCTATTTTTATAACTTTTGAATTTTAAAACTATTTTAATATGATAATAATTATGTATATTTAAAGTTACTAAATTATTATAATTGTCATTACTTATAAAATAAATATTACATATAATTATATTTCAATAAATATAAGTAAAATCAATACACCATGTTACTTATAATTCATAAAGTAAATTGCCTAACTTTCCTAAACATCATCAAGTTATGTATAGATGTGTCAGGGAGGTGATTTTACTAATCATAATGGCACTGGAGGAAAATCTATATATGGTGGTAAATTTGATGATGAAAATTTCAATTTAAAGCATACTGGACCAGGTATTTTATCAATGGCAAACTCAGGTCCTAATACTAATGGATCTCAGTTTTTCTTGTGCACCGCTAAAACTAGTTGGTAAGTAAGATTTTTTATTTATTATTTTCAATTTCTGTCTTTATAAACCGATTTTTTATGTCATCTCTACAAACTTAACCGACTGATTTGTTGAATAATTATTAGTTTATAATTATAATTATTAGTTTGAGATAATTAATATTTCAATTACCAATATGAGGTAGTTTATTATTAACAGTAGTGTTAAGCCATTCCGTTATAACTATCAGAATAAACACACTGTAAATATGAACAAGTTCGTGAGAGATTTACGTGACGTGGGGCTCTTCTTACTATTATTTATTTTTAAGGCGACTTAGAATTAATCTCATGCCACCCACGATTTTTACTGTTAGTATTAAATATTATTGAATGAGAAAACAATTTTTAGTGACTTTCTCTTTCGTCCCTCCCCCCTCACAAATTTAAAATGATGTATGAGAATTCACTATAAATGAGAAATTTAGTGTTTTGGACTTTGTTCCTATGTTTTAAAAAATATTTTGTATCGGTTTTCATGGACACTCATTTTTTTCTTTTTAATTAGTTAAAAACTATACGTCCCCTTGAATATTCCGGATGCTCATTTAATCAATAAAAAAAATTAAATGTTATTAAAAAAAAATGGCTACAATAGCAAATATAAAACAGTTAATTTTTGTATTAGATTTCCACCTCAAGAAGTTAGGAAATTCATGTGTGTCCACTCACACCAGATTTTATTTTTTTCAATGTTCATACTTAGTTTGCATGTTTGCATGGTTATTTATTTCTAAGAATGGCAATTTAATGTCCAGAAAGAAAAGATTTAAACTTATTATTTCTAGTAACTTTTGGATCATTTTTATGACCTAATATTGGTCTTGAAAATAAAATAAAAATTATAGAAAAAATTTTTTGTTTTAAAGGTTGGATAATAAACACGTAGTGTTTGGTCACGTTATCAGTGGTATGGATATAGTAAAAAAAATTGAGGTAATGTTTATTTATATTAGTTTTTTTCTCTTAGCCTTAATACTAAAGTTAAATTTATTACTATTATTGAACTTGGTGTTTAAATTTATTTTTGATAATTTTCAGAAATGCGGTACAAAGGGCGGAAAACCTACTGAGAAAGTTGTTATTGTCAGCTGTGGAGAGTTAGTTTAAAATTTATTTGAGAAAATCTCAATTTTTATTCAAATGTATATTTTCTGTAGATGTTTATTAAACTTCTCATGAAAAAAAGTTATGCATTTTTTCATTTCCTTGGGCCGATCACTATTGAATAAGGTTTCAAATTTAAAGAAAATATCCTTTATTTTGTTTTAAAAAAATTGTTTATTTGTTTACTTACATAAGGTTTTCTGGTTGAAGAATAACTTACTTAATTTATACAAGGAGTCATTGAGAAAATGAAACATTTTTGATCTTTAGAGTAATAGTTTTTAGTTAAAGGCGATCCATTTTCTTGAAACTGTGTGTGTACATGATTTTTTTCCTCTTACATTTATCAAATTAGAAATGTCACAATAGAAAAGTTGAACAAAAATACAGAAACATGGCTCTTACATAGACACAGAAAAATGACACTTAGAATCAAGAGTATAACCATGGTATTTCAGTACAATCAAGTTTTTCATCAAGATATTTATTAAAAATGATCAATACAAAAAAAAAAATTGTTTCATCATGACCATTTACTAATGAGGATTGGAAACTATGAAGGGACAAAATTTATGGTCATCTAAAGGAAGAGAGTATCTTCTTCCTTTTAATCACAAGTACCTTACCGCTCTACTTGGAATAGAAATTATTTTCTGGCAATGTTGGGCTATTATAAAACGTTTGAAGTGCATTTTAAATGGAGCTGAACATCTGTTCTGAACGAAATATTGTATTATGTGATCGGCAGTAGAAAATAATAGAGATTATTTTAAAATTATATCCTATACAATAATTCTGTTTTTATAAAAATCTCACACTTACCACTTATATCATCTTGACCCATATTATATTGTAATTATTAAAAGGCTAATGATATAGGACTTTTTATAAACAACTTGTTTAACAAAGGTTTATTTAAAAAAAATAAAATAAAATTTTCACTTACACTAAGGCTTGTAGATTTTAAGAAACGACAATACAAGAAAATGGTAAATTAATAACACATTGCTTTGTCTTTTTTAAATTCACAGGAATAAAAAGTATACTGCAGAGATACAAATTCTTTATTAGGATATTTCCTTGTCTTATTGGTAAAGAATAAAATAAAAGTAAAAACCTTTTGAAACACGGTTTTATTATAATTATATAAATATGGGTCTATATATAATCTGAAGTTAAAGCGCATAAGAAATATACATTTAATATTACAAAAAGATTTAATAACATGCTAAGGCCTGGAACTTGCTGGTGCAACTGACATCTCTCCTGCACCTTGACCAACATCCCTTTGAGGGCTCTGCAAAATTAATCCAACAGAAAAGAAACTTTAACCAGATGTTAACAAAATTAAATAATTTGTAAACAACAAAAGGAAGAACGTTCAGTATCGGTAAACTTTTGTAACCGATTATAAATTTAAAAATTTACAAATCCGAATATTTAAAAAAAATTCATTTTGTATATTTGACCATGTAGAGGGAGTAGACTTTACTTTCCCGGAGTTTCTCTTAGGAGCTAAGATACTCCTACAAGATTCTCCCCTAAGTTGTATACGTATGCATAAAGGTTTATTTCACTTCAAATCATTCAGCCAAAAATTATAATTACACCCATGGTCTCAGATTTTCTTATTGATTCTATTTACAAATTCTTACTAACCATGTGAAGTTTTATTTTGATATCTGAATACTTTTCAATATATTAATGTTTAAAAATGTATGAACATTTTTTTTTTGCATTAATAACAGTTAGAGTAAAAATTAAATAAATTTGATTATAAGTGTTAAAAATCATATAAGGATTTTTCAAAACATGTTCAGGACAACCTACAGAATAAATAAAAAATGCTATTAGTAACATACCTATTTAATAAAGCAGTCATTATCATTTGAACTTTGACTTCATGAATATTTTGAAACAAAAATGTTTTAAAACAAGATATAATGGCACTGCAGTAAAAGTACTACAGTGCCTTTTATCTTAAATTTTATTTTATCCTCTATTTATTTTTTAAATTTGAAAATTATATATAGAAAAAAGTATTCATTAAATAACATTTGTAATGATAAAAACTTGTTAGTTTGTAATGAGTTCATGGTTTTCATCTAAAACACATTTTTTTGCAGATATTGTCCACTAATCAGTTCCTAACCCTTAGAACGACAACTGGGGTATGACACATCACACAACATTTTCAATATTAAATTACTTTTATATAAGGAGCTCTTTGCCCAAGTTTTTTTCATGTAAATAAAATATAAATATAGTATAGTAAATATAGCCCAGCTAATTACAGTCATTAACATTCCATTTTTGGACTTATATCATTATTGCGAGTTATCGAAAGTCATTATGGGGTATCCCACAACCCAGTTCGTTGTTTACATGACTCCTAAGTGCCTCACAGCCCAGTGTTTTCTTTATTATTTTGAAACTTCGAATAATTCAGGTGTGGATTCCTAATTTTATATTTGTTAATTAGTGGTATTTTCAATTCAGACAGTAATATATGGAAACTATTTTTTTTGGTATGGCAACTTCCAAAAAAATGTATTCTTCTGCTGAAGAAATCCACAAATTGTTATGGGATTTAGAAGATAAAGAAAAGATCCACGGAACATATTAAATAAAGATGGCACAGTAACTTTTGATTAAATGTGTCATGTGTTAACAGCAAGAAAAAAAAAGGAGGCTGTCTCTCCGATTTTTCGATTGAATCTTGAACCATGCTGATATAAATAGCATGATATTGTTCAGCTTAGTTAACTGGGAAAAGAAGATGAAATGGAGAAATTATTTATTTGGATTAGGCTATTCGTTACTTGGGTCCTGTTTGAAAAGAAGACTGCAAGTGGAGACACTCAAATGAAGGGTGTGTTACAACATAAGAGAAATTTTAGGAATTAATTCATTAAGGTTACCTTGAATTATTTTTTTTTTTTTTCTGATTGTTTAGCTTATTTCTGAAAAGTATTTGAGTCTTCCAGAGCATGACAATTTAATTTTATGATAATTTAAAGTTTGTGATGGACTACACCCCAGAGTGTTAGAATGAGTTGACTTTTTTAAGTGTATCGTTCTAGGGTAAAGTTTTATTTATTAATTGTATGGCTGAGTGGGACTGTGTCAACATTTTTGTGATATAAGGAATTCGACTCTTATGAAAACAGTTGAACAATTTAAGCTTAGCAAGTACAACAAAATCTTTTTTATTTATAATCCATTTATGTAGATTATCTGATAAAGAAGAATCATTTTGAACAATTGCACCTCTGGTACAATAAGCGATCATAATATGACAATATAAGAACAATAATACAACCAATTAACCATATTTCAAAACTTGTAACTAAAAGAATGCTACCTTGACCGAGATGTGCGCTTTTAATAAAGCTGCTCGCAATATTAACATCCTGGTCCTGCGTTGGTAATCTTTGCCCATGTTCAAAGCTTTTTCAAAAGTACTGCTCCTTTGATCCATATCTTTGGCATATAAAATCTAAAATATATTTAATATCCAATGAGAAACAGAAAATATTAAAAAAAAAAACAAATTAGAAACATGAAAAAAAAAAAAAACTGCAGCATATAGAATTACATTTTTAATTCATACTAAAGAGTAGATAATGAGATTTTCATCTTTGCTTATTTTGGCTATGGATTTTCAAAAGAAAAAAATGTTAATTAATAGTTATCAACGGTTTATAAAAGGTTCCTCTTGCTTTTATATATTTTTTCAAATGAAAAAAGGTTCACATTAACACAAATTTTATAACTACTGGCTATTTATATCCCAGTGAGAAATATCTCACATTAAATAGCTATCATTCTCCCAAATGCATTGGTTGTATAAGCAACATCAGCAAAACATGTTTAATGACTGTTCAATTAACAATTTACTTAATTAGTGATTAGCTATCCCCACTGGAAAATATTCCTCCAGTTTAAAAGTTAAGAAATAAGACACAGCTGTCTCTGAACTCACACTAATCCATTATTGTACTCAATTAAGATATACTTGCTTGTCTGTTACAGAAGAGCCTTGGTTTGTAGTTCTCACACTTATTAAGAATATAGAACTCTATTACCGAGGATGTGAAAGTCATATCTAGATAGTTTTTGTTTTTATTTATTTTTTTTGCATGGAACAGCCTAAGAGACCACACGAATATCATTTCTTTTGGTTCTTTTCTTGTTTTCTTTCTCCTGTCCACGCAACTCTCTTTTTCAAATTTTTCTTTCCCACAAGAACCTTGATTTCTTTCAGTCATTTCCTATATCTTTCTCCATCCAGACAGCCCTGGTCTGTTATTCCTAGTCTTTCATCTGCTTGGATCTATTCTCCTGTTCTGCTTTTGTATCCTCGGATTTTCTGGAATATTTCCTTGTTTAGTCTTTTTGGGGTCATTTAGGAATGACTATAGTAAGCCATATGTCTATGGAATTTCAGTCTCCTGACCCTTATTTTTGTTTCTAGGTCCTTTGTGTCTGTAGATTTCTTGGTTGGGTCTTAGCCTGTATCCTACTTGTGTCTTTTTGGGGCCTTGATCTTTCTTAGGATTCTTTGTTCTGTTCTCAGTAGTTTTCCAGACTGGGAAGGCATGTGGTTACCAGTTTTTTGTATAACACGGTAAATAGTATTACCGGTTTAACTACACTGTTGTTTTCTTGTTATATACGTTACTGATTGCAAAACATAGTCTCTAGTTCGGAGATTCTTTCTTTCATACTTTATTTTTCCGAAACGTTGTTACATATAGTCTCGCCCAGGTACTTAAATTTTTTTTAATACTTTTATCGGTCTTTATTTGGTTTCTACTGTTTTCTTCTTGAAGTCTGGGTCTGTAGTCATTAGTTCTGTTTTACTGTAAGAGATTTGTAGACCTATTTTTTTTTGCTACTTCTGTCAGTATGTTTATTTGGTCGATCACCTCTTTATCAGTTTCCGCTAAAAGGGCAAGATCGTCTGCGTAGGCAAGGACACCTTACTTTGACGTGGTTATTCTTGGTACCTATTATCGCACCCGTATTATTGGTTCTCTTTAGCTCTTTCATGATCTTATTCAGTACCACATTGAATAGTGTTGGAGAGGCCGTCTCCTTGTCTGGGTCCTGTTTTTAATTGAAAAGGTTTACTGATGGTTTCTTTGAATCTTACCTTGGATTCATTCGGTGTCCGTTAGTATTAGTTCTATTAGTTTTCTAGTCTTCTGCTCTACTCTGTATTTTTTCAGTATTTCCAGTAGAGTCTTTCTATCCACCGAGTAGTACGCTTTTTTAAAGTCAACAAATGAGATATAGAGGTTTTTCTTGGATTTTGTCTTGTAGTGTTTTATCAATAATTTTAGGCTCAGGATTTGCTCTTGACATGCTCCTTTTCTGAAGCCTTCTTGATATTCTCCGATTTTAGGGTCTATTTGTGGGTTGTCTGTTAAGTAGTAATTTGGAGAAAGCTGACGGATAGTAAGGAGGTTCCTCTGTAGTTATTAAGCTTCTGTTTTTGTTCCTTTCTTATACAGGTAGGTCTATCAGGGTGGTATTCCATTCACTGGGGATTTTCTCTTCTACTTTTTATTTATTAAATATACCAAAAACATATTTTCTTTATATGCTGAAGTGCCTTAGGTTGTTTATACAAATACGAGACTGTAGCACCTAAGAGGTATTCCGCGATAATTACAATTTATCTTGAAAACGGAGATTTTTTGGCTTTAAAGTGTGAGGTCCAATAGTTTCTTTCGAACTATATCGAGTATTGGTGCCCACGTCAAAATATTTAAAAACCAATTTATAACACCTCGATTCATTGACTTAGAACCTATCTGAGTTTTGAACCCTTCCTATTTTTTTAATGACTTAAATTACAGTTGCATGCATGCCAGCCCAGTGGAAAACAAGCTTAATACACCCAATAAATAAAAAGGGAGACAGGCTGCTCTACAAAAATTACAGAGAAATATCACTATTAGGAGTAGCATACAAAATATTCTCCAACATATTCGTTCAGACATAGTTCGCGAGAATGTTCTAAAGGAGTACTAATGCGGATTCCGCAGGGGCAGAGGAATGAAGGATCAGATAAACTATAATAACAGATAAAATTGACCTTCACATGCTGTTTATAGACTACCGCCGTGCTTTTGATAGTGTGAACAGAAATAACATGATAAGTGCTTTAGGAGATTCCAACATTCCAAATAACCTAATTCACTTGATACAAATATCCATGGATGGCAGTAATGCTAAAGTGTATATTAATGGTACCCTTAGTTGCGGTTTTCCAGTCACTGCTGGAGTTAGGCAAGGAGATGCGTTATCTGCTACACTGTTTAACCTTGCACTAGATAGTGTGATTGGGAAGCTAAATTCCAATGGGGATATACTGAGTTCATCCACTGAAATATGTGCATACGCTGATGATATTTGCTTAGTGGCAAGGAATAAGCAATCTCTTATCAATTTATTCAAGCTGTTGAAGGAGGAAGGACAAATGCTTGGTTTAGAAGTCAATAAAAGCAAAACCAAGTACAGGTTTGTAAGTTCAGGCAGTGATTCAAGAGCTGGAGAAGATCAGTGCGTTGAAGGCTTTTCTTTCAAAAAATTTTAATCCTTCTCCTATCTTGATGTGGAGCTCAATTTCAAAAACGAAACACCAACAGAAGTGAATAGACAGATTATGGCAGGTAACCGGGCCTACAACGCAAACACAAAACTCTTCCGCTCATCGCTGTTGTCACGAACGACAAAAATAAAATTATATAAAACATTGGCAAGACGAGTAGTAACATACTATGCGGAAACTTGGACCCTTTGCACTCCCACAATAAATGCGTTGAAAATTTTCAAGAGGAAAATTCTTCATAAAATTTATGGACCTGTATTGAAAGAGGATGAATGGAGAATCCGGAGGAACAGTGAACTATATGAGCTATATGGATCTTGCGATATTGTCCGCTTCATACGAGAACAGAAGGAGAGGACGACCTAGTTGTGCAGAGAGAACTGGTGCAGTGCTGTCATGGAAGCCAAGGCCCACCCCGAGCTATAGAGCTACATAGTAAGTAAGAAAGAAGGAATTTAAGGATTAAGGAAATTTCATTGCGTTGGATACATCATTCATGAAATACATCTCTCCTGAAAGCCGGAAAAGGTACCTATGGAATAATACTACCATATTATAGAGATTGTAATTGTAATACCTTGTTGTGGGAATCTATTCTTGCTTGTATTTGACCATCTAAAATCAGCTGCATCAATTCATCTTCTAAGGCGCTCACACTAGTATTAAGCGCAAGAGCCATTTTACCCATATCAGCAGATTGGTAGGGGCTAAGAAAAAAAAAAAAGATAAATATAAGGGTAATCTATTTTTTCTTTTTAAAATGATAAATCTTGATGTATTACCTGAAATACTGTATTAGAGCTCTGTTTCTGATCTGTGTATATAAAGTGTTCACATGAGGAGCTATGTACATATCCAAATATAAATTGTCCTAATAAACAAAAATGAAAAAATAAATATATACATGGGTAACTAAATTAGAATGTGTGGAAACATTAAATACCTTAATATCATCGAGTAATTTAAGACATGTTGCATATTTAGATTCATAGAATTTAAATATAATATCCCTTAATTGAGGTTCGAGTTCTAGGAATAATTTAAATGAACTGAAACAAATAATTAATGGTTCAAAAATCAAAGAAAATTATAGTTAAAATAAGACATACATAAAATTAATTTGAAATAGTCAGTTGTCTGATTGTCTTAAAAGAAAAAACATTGGCTATTGATTGATAAGTAGATACTTCAGTTATTGTTTTTGATAAATGTGGTAACGGCAGAAAGGTGTATAAATATTAGAGGATTTCCATAACACAAAATTAATTAAAAGTATTTGCTGGTCATACCAATGAAGAAGTTTGAAATTGCTTTTAAAATTAAACTCATGTTAGTATTGGATCCTTTAATTTAATGGCTAAGTTCCTGTAGAATGCAGTAGCTTACTTTGACCTGACAACCATAATTTGGCAGAAACATGGTTAGTTTAATAATTATAAGAAAACTGCTTTTTTTTATATTACATCCCAATCCATAATTAATTAAGATTTTTGGAGGATGGGTTAATTTGACTTACTGTCAAAAAAACCTCAAATTAAACTTTAACATATAGATATTTAATTTTATTCTACATAGCCATATAAAATAAAATTTTGAAGAGATTTTTTGTTACTCAAATGAAATAAATTGTCATTAATAATTAGTAATTATAGATTGTCATAATGTATTTAATACTCAACTCTTTAACAATCAGAGACTTGAGTAAAAATTTTGCACATAATGCTTAGTGGCTTATTTGATAGGATCCATCCTTGGTTTTTTATTTTCACTTATTAAGAATAGAAAGTAGAAGCTAGACCTGGATAAGAACTTCTTCACCGCTATGGCAATGTCAACAAATAAAAAAATTAACACATGTTCTGTTTTTATTAAAAAGTGTCTATATTATTCCATGAATTTCTGGCTAATTTTGGTTAATATACTTCTTCAATAGATTTTTAATTTATCATCACATATTACAATAAATAGCAATATTTTATTTTTTTAAATTTCAATCATGTGTGATAAGTATTCCATGGCAATAGTTGAAACTATCGTAGGAATTAGACAGAGCCTATGTGTTATCTCGAAAAAAGATCATTTAACAGATTTAAAACATAGGAGCTCAGTACAATATTGAGGAAGTTTACCAAGTCTTATGTACACATTAAAATCTATAAAACATAATTTGTCTAGCCTCAATAGTCTACTAACCAATATTGAAGTTTTGAACCTTCAACTTTTTTATTTACTTTGATTAAAGTTATAGAACAAATTTAAAGTATTAGAAATAGGATTTGTCACTTCTCCATGAAATTTCCTTTTATTCATCAAAATCCATTGCTCCTGAGAACTTGAGTACCATATTATTGTATATATACAGTAATTTATTTGTTTTTTAAATATTTAATATCAGAGGTAGAAAGGTCATACGAACTTTAAATACATTTTATATTTTATGGAATAAAGACATCATGCTCAAACAAAAAAGAGACGATACCATTTCATTGTTGTAAACACTGTATTATATGCCTTAGAAACCGGGACGATTTCAAATGACTCAGCAAGAAAATTTTAATCAATGGAGATGAATTTTTGGAGGCGTAGCTGTAGAATATCAAGACTACATGTTCCAAATAATGCCATTAGGGATAGAATGAATGCACCCCTCAATATTCTGTACTCCATTGAGACAAAAAAAGAGTTGGTTTGGGCATGTAATGAGAATGTTGGACGTCCGCTGGCCTAAAATAATACTTACTATAAGGAAGAAGCATGTATTATCAGGAAAGAGGAATATAGATCATCTGGACAAAAGAAGGTTGGAAGGTTTACATGAGGCTATAGCAGCAAGGGGACTCCAGGAGGATGATTATATATATAATACATATTACACCTTTCTGGATAGCCAGTTGCTAAACTGCGATATCACAAAAAATTTCTAGATTAGGATATAATTTTATGAATTCATTAAATACTAAGTCATTAAAAAGTGAAAATACCAAAGTTACAGAAAAAATTAGTTTCTTTTATTGGCCAATTATGAGGTTTTAAGGACGGCCTTGACTCAAGAATATGGCTGGGTATTGAGAGCTAGTCCAAGGTGTCCTATACCGTAGGCCGCAAAGCGATAAAGGTTTATTTTAATGGAATCCATTAATTTTATATTTATGTCAACAAAAAATCTGACATTTCAATTAACCAGGAATAAAGTGTAAATAAAGTCATACCTTGAAAAGATTACATGCTTCTGAAGATCAGCTCTATCAAAGGTAGCGAGAGCGCAGAGCCCACCATAAACGGCAATATTATTAGGAGACAATAGATCAGGGAAATCACAATGATCAATGTTAGCTTGAAGAAACTGCTTAGCTGCTTGTTTGTATTTTTTAGTAGCTAATTCAGCAAGGCCAGCAGCACATTTAAGCTTACCGAGAATAAGCTGACTACTTTCCTTTCCCTGCAAAAATAAAATTTACATAATTTGTTTATTTCTATACTGATAGTTTAAGAATTGCTTAAAAATAATGTAGAATGTTTATATTTGATTTGTACTACAGTCGAATCTCGATAATTCGAAATCCAAGGGACAACAAGAAAAATTCTAATTATCTAGACTTTGAGTTACCAAGAAATTTGAATTACCAAGAGAAAATAATCCAATAATAAATTTTATATATGAAAAGCCTCATGTAAAAAGTATTACTAGGAAAATTTTGAATTATAAAAAGGAGAAGTGTTCTAGCTTGAATTGTAGAACGTTCTCTACCTCTCTTGTTACGAAACTGATTTTGAGTTATCGAGCTATCAAAATACAGCATTTTTACAAAGTAACAGCTGAAGAGTTCGTATTATCAAAAAATTTGAATTATCTAGAGTCGACTGCATCCAATATGATAAGCTACTTAAAAATTATTTTACTTCAATGCTTCTGTAACTGCAAAATAATATTCTAAAATGTTTCTTAAAAATATATAGCTTTTAGAAGTAATTGGTTTTATGCAGTTTTCTTTAACTTAATTAGATTTTTGCTCATTTTCCAGACCTCCACTAATTGATTTTATAAGTTTTCACAATGTGCAACATTGTACATCAGCACATAATAATATGTAGTAGCATATGATTTTGCTTAAATCATTAAATAATTTGTTACATGTTTAAAAAATAAGATTAAAATAACATAAATGAACAAATTACCTGAGAATCGGAAAAATCAGGTGTTGATTCAGCTTTGTTCACAAAGCTGAGGACATGAGACCAATTCTGTATGTATACACTAACCTAAAAAATAAAAGCAAATAATATTAAGTCTAACTATAATGGGTGATAAATATTCAGAATGCAGTCATTATAAAGTTTTTACTGGTGCCAATATTTCAACCCTCACATGTGGGTCTTCATCAGGGCATGTTTCGAGCACTGAAGGTATTCAAATACTCCAATTTTCCTATCACTTTTACATCTAATATCTATCTATAGCTTAAGTAAACAATCTACTCCACTTTAGTTGGCTGTAACTTTTACACATGGAGTTCCCGACATTGTCACTTGCAGCCTAATCATAACATAACCTTTATTGGCAGTTACCATAGCAATAGAAAACTATGTTTCAGAATACAATCTACTAAACCCTAAAACTAATAATAACATTTTAGAAGATTATATGTAAGTATGGGCAGTGGGAAACAAGATACAGATGACAACAGGTGGCTATAGAATTTGCCATTGATTTATTGTCTTGGTTTGGATAAAAAAGAACAATTCGAAACACAGAGTTTGAGGTTAGGGGGCCGAGTAGGCTAATTTCTGTGCAAGATGTGTGTTGACCATCAACCTTATAAACCGATGATTACGAGTTTGAATCTCAGTGCTGAGGGTCTTTTAACACTGGCATCAATCTCCCACCTTCTCCACTGGCCCAGGAGATTAACTCTCTATAGCCGAAGCCCAGGAAGGTGACAATTAAAATAAATAAAATAATTGCTTTGTTTGGGTGATAAATATTCAGAACGCAGTCATTAAAAAACGTCGGCACTAATAAAAACTTTATAATGACTGCGTCCTGAATATTTATCACCCATGATATGTAGAACAGTCAACTAAATTCCTTCAATGAAATAATTGTTTATATTTTTGGTACGTGCAAAAGTTTAACCCTTTTTGGTCCCACATTTCATGAATGTCCACACGGTCCTATGTCGGTCCAATACGGGCATAACCAACCCCCGTCATTAATTCATGTCCTTTTGTTTACATTGTGCCCTAGTGGTCCGTATAGTTTTCTACCAAATTGCACATTTTGTTTTAGAGGCCATAAAAATAGAGGTGCTCATTTATTTTCAAGAATCAATTTTTATTCAAATCAAAAAGTAATTTATACAGTTTTGCTAATTAATATATTAAATTCATCGATAATTTTTAATTGTATGGTACTTCTCTAAACATTCCAAATGTGAAGAGCCAAATTTCTGAAGCATGTCTTACAGTAAATATATATTTTTTTTATTTTAATGAAATTTAAAACTGTATTACATTAAAAATACAACAAGTAAATGTGACATCCGTAAATATTAGTTTCTCTTCTCCCATTTTTTTTTGGAACGGTCGCTACAGACTCTGCACTCTCTAGTTTTGTTGGACCATTTGTAAGGAGCATGGAATTTATTGATGTTTAGCCTCTCTTCGTTGTTCGATGTTGAGGAGTAGCCTCACTTCTTTACAAATGAGTTTCTCACCTTCCCAACGAGCTGTTCCATCATGACTTTTCGCAAGGTGATGTGACATGCTTTGGCATTCCTCTCTTCTTTGCATAGCAAATATGAATTCACAATTGCTGTTTCTAACAGGCAAAAACACGGTTTTTGGTAACATTTTTTTATTTCCATAAAATGGATAAGAAGAAATATAGTGGCCAGCTGTATCTATTTTCCCCATATATTTATTATATTTAACAATCGACAGAAGTTTTAGCAGAGTTTCTTCTTCCCCACCTTTTCCTCTTCTTTTTATTTCTACACTTCTGTTACCGTATAAGTTAGTGAGGATGGCCACTTCTATTTTATCTATCCAGACAATGACGCCCATGTCGTCCTTCTTAAAAGCAAGCATTTCCTCCTTTTTTCATTTTGGAACTTTTTCCTTACCAGTTTTGAAGGAAGCCCTCCTCTATTTAACTGAATTGTTTGTTCCAGTCAAGTGACAGTTATATTTCAGTAGTTCTTTAGCTACTTCTATATTTGTATAGTACTAGTCAGTAAAAAAATAGTATCCACTGGCACCAGTGGTTTACAACACAGACTGAGCAAAAGTTAGTATAACTCTGCTGGTGAATAGCAAATCAAGACTTTGGCAGTTAAAGATTCCAAATATGGAATCAGGCTGAAAATGTATCCATTTACACAGCAACAGCAACTGCATAAACATTTAAACCCGATTTTGTAGGTTTACCTTTGTTATAGGTCTTAAAAGAGAGCCTACCTTTGAATGTAACAGTAGCTTCGTCTATCGACAAGTATTGTCTTGGAAGGTATAACTCTTTATATTTTTTGTTGAGGAATAACAACAAGTTCTTAATTTTTGCACTCCTTGAGAGTGTGCCTTTAAGAGATTCATCACGTGGCTATATGGAGCATCCAAAATATTTGTAGGAATCTTTTTCTGGAGAAAACTTCTGAAAAAAAATATATTTATCCACAAATTCTTTTGACCAATACATTTTGAGTTCAGGGAATGGATGAATGCCCATATTAATTAGTACTCCCAAAAATGCTTCTGTTTCTTCGTAAGAAACGTCCTTGCAAGATAGACAAATTGAGCCAGGTTTCAACAGACCTGCATCTTTTTTAATATCAATTTCTGATTTCACGTATTTATTAGTTTCAAAAACAATTTTTTGTAGCAACTCAGATGCAAAAATTCTTTTTCCATAATAGGGGCAGGATGAGGTCATTGTTATCCCTCCTGGCCAGAAAACATAAAGTTGGGGAATGAATCCTCACCATCTTGCCAATCTTCCCATCCATCATCATCTACCAAGATTGCTCTACCCTCAGCAGATGGCAAAGCATTTTGAACAATTTGGTCGGCTAAATTATTGTTATTTGTTTGATTAAAAACCAACTCATTATCTGATTCATCTCTTTCATCAGCTGATTCGGTTTCAGAATCAAAAAGATATGTATCACTTTCTTCATCATCAAAATGTTCGTCTCCAAAGTTTTATTTTTGTGACAATGTTCTTCCTCGTCTAATTTTTGTAAAATTTTTAAAATTTCTTCGGCCCCCATTACAAAATACACTTATAAATATTTATAAGCTAAAATTATGATAACTTACGACAAAAATGTTAAAACTGACACCAAACAGTTTCAAGGTTCAAGAAATAACAACAAAGCAGTCTTGGAGTTCTGTAGTTCACAGAATATTTACAGAGCATCTATTGGGTGTTGAGGGTTCTATATGGTACCAAAATGATTAGATGATCGTCTAGAATAGCTCTGCGTATTCAAAATATGCCTAGGACTCGGCAAAGGACTAGAGGGACAGTAAATTGGTATTGGATTTCTAGCGTCTAAATATGTCTGCTGGTTCCAGCTCATCAAAGAACTAGTAGGACTGGCGATGGATAGACACTCGCAAATAGAATGAATAACTTGTTTATGACAGTCCGAGGTCGGCATACGACCACAAAGGGTTAATAGATGGGTCAAATTCACATCTTATTTAAATCTATTGTTGATGTTTTTTTACACTGTCCAACTTATAAGAGGCCTAAAAATAATTGTTTATCAGGAAGGGGTCATAGCTAAAGCGCATCCAGCATCATTCATTACAGTTAAGAAAAGAAAACATCAAAAACGTATTAGTCAGCAAAAAAAATAGCATGAATTATCTCAACAGAGGGTCCAAGATATTCCAGAAATTGGAAGAAGGTCAGAGTACCTCTCCAAATACAGGATCATAATAGGTTGCAGCAAGGGTTGAGAAAACAATTAATCATTGAAGACGTGGTATAATGGATATCGATTAGAGTGTAAGGGAATAATGAGATTACCTACCGACAGGGACTGACACAGACATGTGGAGAGATCTGTTTTGGTTATGTATCTTTTGAGCATTACTATTTGTGAGTAATAAATCTTAGAGTTAAACATAGTGTTTTTGTTTTAAAGACATTACAGAAGATTCTATAGTTTGCAGGTAGATGGAAATTATGGCTTGATAGAAAGAAATATAAAACATAATTAGCAATTTGGTTTAAGATATCAGGAGGAGCCTGAGATAAGAGAAAATGAGAAAAATGTGAAGCAACAGAAAATTGAAGAATCGATAAAGAGAAGATGCTCTTGTCAAAAGACTGTGACAAAATATTCATATAAAATAAATAATCCAGATTATAACAATAATAATAACTAAACAGAAATTACTTTAAATAATGTCAATTAAACCATCTCTACAAGACAATTATGTAACCAGGCCTAAACTGAACATTCTGTATTATTTTGAATGCATAACACACAAAATTCAATAATCCACGGTAACAGTGACTTTAGATACACTTGAATACTTTCAGCATTCCATGTACAGAATGATCTAGACATGTCTGTATCATCACTGTTAGAATTATCATTTGAACTTTTTTTTTGTACCATTTTGTGGATCAAAAGTTTTATTAAAGCATTACCTCAACAATTTTGATCCAAATTAAAAATGCATACATAATAATCTATCAATTCATTATAACAATTGTAAAATACCTTTATTACATTGAGACACATGTTAACAACATGTTTGCCTGAAGTACAATAATCTCTAGCTCTTGAGTAACACCTAAGAGCGTTAGACAGATCACCACAGTCAAGATGATGGTCACCTAAATCATCATTTCCACGGCGTATTGATTCTTTTATAGAATTACTTTTATAATTCTTAAGATCTGAATCAAGTTTCTCAAGCTTTAAGGCTGCTTTCTTTGATTTGTTTTCAACCCATAAAGGATCAAAAACTGGAATATCTTGCGGGCATGATCCAGCAACATCAGGTACTGACACATTTCTGCACAATTAAATGAATCAGTCACTAATAAACTACATAAATCAGAGAAATTCAATAGGAAGAATCTTTAAACATACCCAACAGCTTGTTGTAGTTTTTTATGCAACTGTTGATAGAGATTAACATTATAAGTGTTCATGACATATGATATAGCCATTTTTAATGCTTCTATCCGTAGTGTAGGGCAGTGATCTGCTATATAGGTGAGTCTATTTAGCCGTGCAAGTCCAGTATAACTATTAGCATAAACTTCAAGATCCTAAAAAATATCAAAAATGTATTTTTAAATTTCAATCCACTACAACAGTTAAACTATTCTATAGGATAGATACAGGAGCTTACTAAGGTGGGATTTTCCACAAGATAAGGATCTTCTTCGGTATTATCATTGTCTTCAGGAGGTGCATCAACCTGCATAGGCTCAACTGCATTCTGCATAAAATCCATTCAAAAATAATATTCAACATAAGTTAATATTAACAGGTACTTAAGATTATGTGACAATATAATCCTTTAAAATAAATAATCCATAATACTAAATATTACTTACACTAACGAGAATCATTGGTGACACTTGATTGTTTGCCATTTACGTTTAAGGAAAGGAAGCTAAATTTAAAAGATTAACATTTAGCTAAGATAATGAAACGCTTCTTATTTACAAACAAAATTAGAAACCACGGCTTTCGGCTATATAACCTTGACTTTTGAGGAACCTCTCTTTAGAATCAAGAGGGTACAGTGTTGTTTTTATTAGACATCAAATAAATAGTCACTTAATTTTTCTTTAAGTGAATGTACCATTCTGAATTTTATAAAATTACTTTATATTGATTATTAAAAAATTTTTAATATTACTATAATTTTTAATAGTATAGTATTCAAGTATTTCTTGAGTTGATGGTGATCAGTTTGTGTTGGCAAAACTTCCATATTTTCTCTCTTTCTGATATCCCAATTCTCACTGATATTTAGCTCGATTAAGGAATTTTTATTATCTTCAAATGGCTTCGAGTGTTTCAAAAGTTCCTCTTCTCCAGACATTGGCGGTACTTTAATTTTAACAATATTTAATTTTTTTCTACGATTTCATTTTAATAATTATAACCATTACCACCATTTCGAAGTTGATTTTTTCAAAAGTTATCATTTTTATGCAGAAGAGAACATTTGCTGCTGTTGCTGCTCCCAAAGCTGCAGGAAGTCAAAATAAAGTAGAGGTGACTACTCTTCCCAATAAGGCCATTGTCACTTCTTTGGGATGTGGGCCCAAACCCATTGTACAAGTAGCAGTGGCATTCAGGTAGTTATTAAAATTCTTTTTCTTACTTAAATTGTATTACTAGAAACTACAAGCACATTCATCTGAAATAAGTATATGTCATGCGACTTAAGATTGTCATTTACTATTATTATTTTCAGAGCCGGTAGTCGAAATGAAACTTCTGAAAATTATGGAGCTAGTCACATTCTGCGGAGCTCTGCTGGTCTTAGCACTTGTAATGCATCCTCGTTTTATATCTGTCGTAGTTTGCAGCAAATTGGCGCTAGCCTCACTGCCACTTCTGACCGAGAAACAATTGTTTATGTCCTTGAATCTTCTGCTAGCAATATGTAAGTTTTTTTTTTGCAGTATATCATGAATCGTAGTTGTAGTGTATTCACTAATGTTAAGGAATAAATAATTTATATATTTGTACCATATTGTCAGTTTGTTGCTAAAAGACATCAAGTGACATCTTATAACCTGAAATCACTAAGAAATTTGCTAAATTTTCTGAGTGTGAAAACAGAAAATTATGTTTGTTGTGTTTATATTTAATATATTAAAGGAATTCTGTCATTTTAGTGTGGTTGCTCTGTATTTTTACTGCTAAATAAGGTACAAATTCACTGAAACGTTCTTAGAACTTCAGCTCTGTCAAAAATGTACTTAGTGACTTTTTTACAACAAACCTACGATAATATCCTAACCTAGTAACCGATCCATTCCCTTTCTGGACCAAATTCTTACTCTACTTTTTTAATAAATAATGACTGTAGTAATTTTCTTTCTTTTTTCTTTTGTAATACAACAAGATGGCCAAAAAGTAATTACTTCTATTTTCCGAAACCTAAGATATTCGAAAATTATACCACCTCCTTTCCGTGTTTTGGGTGTATATCACTAATTGCAATCTGAATAAAGAGATATTATTCCATGAATTCTTCAATACTCAGATATTCTCTTCTTTATCAGTATAGTGAGATAATAAGATGTTGTGACCATCCATCAGCAACAATTTTAAAGTACTAGTTAAAATTTTAATAAAAACACCTATTTATTATACTTTTCTATTAAATGTGGTCATATTGTTGAATTTACTACGCATAGTAAGAAAAGTTTGTTGGAGGTACAATAATTAATGAAATGATATAAAAATAGCTAGCCTTTTTTTTTTTTAATGTTGCTCAGGGCACATCGACCCCTATTGGGTCCATTGTGCGCCAATTTCAGTTATTCGTTTTTAATCAAAACGAATTTTGATTTTTGATTATTTTAGTCACTTCCGCGTATCTTAGTAGGCTGGTTGGATTGATCGTCTCATATCTACTGGGGAGATCCATTCGTTCCTCCCCAAATAGTGCCAGTCTCAGCCTTGTGAATCTATCACATCTACACACGATATGAAAGGCTGTTTCATTCTCCTCCTAAAGAATCTGCATAGCGGATTCGTCATTATTGGGAGATTGAACATACGGTAATTTAGCTTACAGTGACCTGTATAGATTGCTGTAAGCTTTTTAAGAGCTGCTCTGTCCATACTCAGTAGCAGTTTGCTTCTTTTTTCACCTAGACCTTTAAGGAACAGCCTTATTTCATGTGTGCCAATGTTTCATCTCAAGTTTTAAGCCTTAAATACTAAGAAAAATAATAATCAATAAGAAAAAGTATTATAAGTAAAATAAATGAATGAAAATAGTACCAAATTTAGAGCTGGAAAATGTTACTGTAAATATAAATGTGTAAATAATAAAAAAATAACTTGAATAATGTGGTAATATTAATAATTAATGGCTTAGCAAATCGGAGGTTTGATGGCAATACAACCAATCAATGATTAAAATTTCCATCTATTTACCACCACAATCCTTCCACATTCACTCATTAACCTTTTGGGGATTTTTTCGCTACTAGATCCAACAACTATACATGCCCATTTTGTTAGCCACAAAACTAATATTTCAGTTACAATGGCTTCACACAATGGAAACAGAGGATGATGTACAGTATGACAATACATGAAACTATTATGATAAACAAATATATGTAATTAATAGAGAATTAAGATAAAAATAATGAGTAACAATTGAGATAAAGGATATTCAAGATATAATAATATATAAGTTCAAAGTACCGATAATGAATGAATGAAATAAAATATAAAGTTATGTATGTTAAATAGTCTGTAATAAAATAGAAAATAATAAGATGTGGTGATAACTTTGAGGTTAGCAACATATTCTAGCCAGTAAGAAAATAGAAAGCTTATTAAAGAATATTTTAAGTAGTATTGAAAAAATGTACAGTTCAATTCCTATTAATCTATTTATATATAACTCTGTGGTATAGATTTCTTTTCCTCCTCACAGGACAGATGGTTTTTGACAAATAAAGTGTCTGAAGAAAAGCAATTTCTAGAAATAATGACTCCTGATTGAAAAATGTTAGTGGTATCAATACTCCAACAGTTGCCCTTCAATATTAGCCATCTTATCTTCATAGTCTGAGTCATATCAAGGCTTTATGAAAAAGGAACTTTTGTTAAGTTTAGAATTACTTTAATGTTATTGAACTATTCTGTTACACGATTTGCAACCCATTTCCTAGTTTTATTGAGTTGAAATTGTTAACAAAAAATTATTTTAATATTTTTAAAGTACAATTTTACACATTTCAAACAATTCTTCATCTTCTTCGAACAATTTATCATGTTTTTATTCTTGAAATTTGTAATGATTATTTTGAAGTTGTTTGAAATGCACATATTAGTTAAATGTTTGTATTAGGTTTATTATATTTTATATTATTTTACACATTTTAGAAATGAAGGACTTGATACTCTGAGGAAGGCTGTTACTGGTCAAGAATTCAGGCCTTGGGAATTGTCTGATAATATTTCTAGGATCAAAATTGAATTGGCATCATTGCCTTCACAGGTAATTTATTCATTTATTTATATTCTGTTAAAATTTATTTTGTATTTTTTTTTTTTTTTTTAGAAAACAGAGATGGTGTAGTAAAAATAAGAAATCTAAACATACTACAATTTTTTGTAAATATAAAACATTAATAAGTACAAGTTGGTTTTTAATTAAAAATGAAGAAATTTATTTCAGAAGTGAATTTTTTATCTAGGTTAACTTTCAAGTATGTTTTTGTGAATTTCAGCCTTATTTATACATACATAGCACCATAAGTGCATGAAAATAACATAAACCCTTTTATTCATCATATATATTGACACTAAGTGCATAATTATCTTATTTCAGAAAAGGAAAATTCATCAAAGTTCTTAATTATTTGAGGTTATGAAATGTCACTCAATGACTTTTACAATCAATTGATATAATTTAATTTATAGAATATTTGCCAGGAAAATTGCAATATTGATATGTAGGTGAATCATATAATTTTTCTTTTCACTCTTCGTTTATATAACCATGTCAAATAATAAAAAAAAAAAACTAACTTCTGCAGAGTCATAACATCTTTCCCTGAACACGTTCATGGCATGAACCTTAAAGTAGTCATCAGAAGTGAGAAAAAGGACTCACTTACCGGACTAGTTGCCCCAACCAGTAGCAGTATCAGTAGTGTCACCTGAGTTCACTCTCAACCAAGTAATCATGGTAGAACTACAGATTGGTTTTTACTTTCACTTACCTATATATATGTATATATATGTAATATATAGTAAGGGAAAGTGTTGCGATGATGAAAATTGTTGAATCTGAGTTTTCAATACACTTTTTAAGGTCCTCTGAGTCCAAATAACCAAGTCGTGCAAAATGGTCTGTGTGTATGTGAACAGTTAGCTCAAAAACGAAAAGTTGTAAGTTGTGAAATGTTCAGTCTCATTGATGTCACTTCACAGGGCTTAAATGCCCAGTGTTCATATACGTCTTCCTCTAAAGTACCTTTAATATGGTTTATTTTAAAAAAATAACTCTTATTGACTATAAAAATCTTATGCTATAAAATTAAACTATATTATAATTGGTAAATGGTTGACTGAATAATGAAGAGAAGAATAGTTGGGGTGATCAGTCAAATAAGAAGGCAAAAATAAATGATACTATTTATTTTGGCATTAGCCGACGTTTCAACCTGAAGTTCAGGCCATCATCAGGGCTGACTGCGGAGACGTAAATCTAAGCAATGGAACTATATAAACTTTATCATCATCATCATCATGTGTGGCACGACATCCCGTTACTGAGACTGGGCCTCCTCCAAGAGCCTCCGCCAGTTGGCTCTGTCTTCTGCTGCAGCTCTCCAGTTCCGTACACCAAGCAGGGTTCTCGCATCATAGGCCACGTTGTCCAACCGTCTCGTCCTCGTCCTTCCTACCCGTCTTACGAGATGCAGCTCCTCCATCATTATTTTCTTTGGTATTTCAACGGTGCTCATTCTGGCCACATGCCCTGCCCACCTTAGTCTGGCCAGTTTAATATAGGTGACTACGTCGATGTCTGTATAGAGAGAACTGAGCTCCCTATTTTTTCTTTTCCTCCAGACATCACCCTCCTTTACTGGACCATAAATCCTTCTGAGGACTCCTCGCTCAAACACACTCAGCTTCATCTCATCGTTTTTGGTCATCGTCCAAGCCTCTGAGCCATACGTCAAAACAGGCCGAACAAGGGTCTTGTATATGATCAGCTTGGTCTTCTTTGAGAGGTACTTACTTCTTAAGTGTCGGCCAAGTCCAAAGACACATCTATTGGCAGCCGTGATCCTTCTTTGTATTTCTTGAGCCATGTCATTTTTGCTATTAATTTCAGACCCAAGGTATATAAAACTTTTCACTCTCTCAAACTTAAAAGAACCTACCTCAAATGGAGAGTTCAGATCCATCTCACCACCAACTCTCATATACTTAGTTTTCCTCTCGTTGACTTCTAGACCAAGTGGTCTGGCAGCTGCTTCAAGGCCTATAAACGCTTCTCTGAGAGCCCGTTCAGACCTACCTATTATGTCAATATCATCAGCAAAACCAAGAAGCTGTGTCAGGCGATTGAAGATTATATTGTTGGTCTGAATACCGCAGTCTCTTACAGCTTTCTCCTCTGCCAAGTTGAACAATAGACAGGCGAGAGCGCGTATTCTACATCTCAAGCTGTCCATGGTCATCTTGATTAGGCGTACGAGCTTCTGAGGGATGCTTAGCTCCTCCAAGGCACAGTATAGTTGCGTTCTATCAACGCTGTCGTATGCTGCTTTAAAGTCTAGGAATAAATGGTGAGTGACTACCTTATGCTCCATAGTCTTTTCCAGGATCATCCTCAGAGAGAACAGTTGATCAGTGGTTGAGCGTCCTCTTCGAAATCCAGCCTGATATTTCCCCAGTTCCTTTTCAGAATACGGGAGAATCCTCTCAAAAAGAATGTTAGAGAGCAACTCATAAGCACATGAAAGGAGTGAGATTCCTCGATAGTTAGCGCATTCTGTTTGATCTCCTTTCTTATGTATTGGGCAGATAATGGCTGTTGCCCATTCCGTAGGCATAGCTTCCCTCTCCCAGATGGTCAGCATTAAATCATGCAGAGCTTTCTTCAGTTCTTCACCTCCACATTTCAACAGCTCTGACTGGATTCCGTCCGGGCCTGGCGCCTTTCCATTTTTCAATTTCATCAGGGCATTTTCCATTTTCTCCTCATCCGGGGGTTCAATAGAATTCAGGGAGTCTTCCTTCATTACTCCTACTTCTCCAGGCACCGTTCCTCTGTTTAATGCGTCTTTAAAATGTTGTACCATCTCCTTAGTACGTCATCTTTGTGGCTTAAAAGAGATCCATTCGTGTCTTTGCATGCCGTCACTCTGGGCCTGAAAGCTGCCCTACTCTCGTTTATTCTCTGAAAGAACAGCCGACTTTCATTTTGGCCGCGCAATGCCTCTATATCCTCCATGTTCTTGTTTTCCCAAGCTCTTCTCTTTCCGCGGAATAATCTCTTCTCTTCGCGTCTTTTTCTTCGATATGTTTCTTGGGAGAGCCTTGTGGGACGCTGAACCTTCTTTCTGTAGGCTTCATATAAACTTTATAAAATGGCTAAATATGAAGTTTGAAAGAACATGATAATTGAAAAGTGAAGAAAAAAAGGAAAATGCTTATCCAGGTTGAAAATGAATCTCCCGAAATAACAGTCAGAAGGTTTACATACAATATATCGTTGGAAAGTGGAGAATTTTAGAAAAAATTATATTAAATAAATGAGATATTTAGAGAGTGACGAAAAAAATATAAAACATGATTTCTGAAAACTAACATTATTTAACATAATCACATGTTTCCAAGGAAATTAAATGAAATTTTCTTACTAAATGTAAACTTCAAATTTTTTATTAAGTTTTAAAAAAATCCGTTGTATCAAGGCAATGGCATTGTATTAAATAATATTTCCTTGTAAATGTGTGAAAGAAGAAGTGAAATATAAAAATATTTCATGGATATGATTATAACCTTAAATACATTTACTGTAGTTTAATAAATCTAGATCAAATATTATATTTAAATAATTGGGTATCTATTGGCCATTTATTCCGAAAAATCAATAAGTGCTCCTTTTAGAAAATTAAATTAGTGAATAATTTGATTAATTTTCGCTTTCTGAAATCCCAACAGTATCCACTTACAATTAGTGTGACAAGTTTTGACTTATCCATGACAGGCAATGAAAATCCCATAATTTCATTTTAGTAAATTTTACAGTGGAAAATAGCAGTTTAATAACTAATGGTCCTACAATCCATTATCATTTATAGGTTAATTATTCAGAAGTACTTTCAAATATCTCTAGTTATATATGAGCCTTTAAGTTGACAGAATGACTAACTCCAATTTCTATATTCTTCATTATTAATTTTATTGATGTTTCTAGCCGGAAAATGTATAGCTTTATTCGCAGTTCTATTCTAAACTGCAATCATCTATTCTGGAATCTACTTACTCACTGCTTGTATAACTTTTTCGACTAGAAAAATCACTAAAATGACATTACTCAAAAAATGTTGAAATTGAAATTAGTCATTCTGTCTACTGAAAGGCACAATATTGTCTACCGTTGATATAATAAATAGAGTTTTTGTAATTTTAATCATCTTAAATTTGTTATCTGCAAGCTTTAAGCTTTAGCTCCGTTTAATATACACTTAAAAATATTTATAATAGCCCAGCATTGCCAGAAAATAATTTCTATTCAAAGTAGAGCAATAAGTGAAAGTTGTGTGTTGCGCATACCAGATTTTTATGTACTGTATGTGAGACAAAGACACAAAAAACAGAATGTGTTTTTTGAAAGATATTACGACTATTCTGTTTATTGTGTCTTTGTCTCATACACTCTATAAAATCCAATCTGTAGTTTTAATATTAGATGGTTGAGAGGGAACTGAGGTGGTGGTCTAGTGTGTTGGAGCGTTGTCCAGTCTTGCATCCTCGTGCCTAGTAATGCCGGTTCGAATCCGTCCTGGGAGTGGTTGACTTTTATTTCATGATGAACCCACTCTGGTTAAAGTAGGTTTGGTTGTACCTATAGAACAACCCCTAACCACCCCCTACATATGCCAGAAATGGTGGCATATGATAAAATATGGCTTCTTATTTGTTTATTCTTTTTTCTATGACCACACCCCGAACCAACTTTCCCTACTATATATTAGTCTGTAGTACAGTCAGACCCCTTTTTATAAATTACTAACATCTGTCTAGAATTTCGTGAATGGCTTCATATTATCATAACACACACATATGTTATATATGAAAATTCTCAGAAATTAGATGTTTTCTCATTTAATTAATTAATATAGTTAGGTTCTATGAACTCATAAATGCCCAATTGCTTTTCATTTGAAGGTTAAGATAATTTGATCACAAAACTGAAAATATATGTGGCCTACAAATTCTTGGGCCGTTTGGCCTGTATAACCTCGTTATTTTGACATGTTGGGGGTGGAGGTCATGTCAAACCGCCAAATATTTTGTGAATAAATTATTAGTTACAATTCAAGTAGGAAACAAATGGATGTATGTGAGTTTTTAGTACCTAATTAAATAAACAAAGTTTGCTGATCTCCAGATTAAAAATGCTCTAATTCCAAGAACTTTGTAAATAAAAAAGTTGTAGGTTATAATGAGATGAAGCTATTCATGAAGTTTTAGTTGGATATTGATGGTCTAAACTACTGAGGGAAACCGGACTCTACATCATCACAGAAGACGATTTCCCTCAGCTAGTAAGTAAGGATTAAGGATAACTGCCCATACTACGAAGCATTTGTGTACGGGTGGAAGGAATTAGTGAGAGATGATCACTTCAACCTTCACTAATGAAGACCAAAGAACCAGAAGATAAGTGGTAGAAGTATCGCTCTACTTCTGCCAAAAATCTGTATTGCCAAGAGCCAAGGAAAGAAGAAAATAAAATAAATAAATAAGTTGGATGTTGATAATTTGATAAAAAAAGGGGTTGTACCACAAACTATATACTCATGTATAAGCAATGATAATAAAATCAAAGTTATTTTCTAATATATATATATATATATATATATATATATATATATATATATATATATATATATATATATATATATATATATTATTATTATTTATGTATATTTTCAATTTAAATTACAGGCAAAAGTAATAGATTTGATTCATAAAGCAGCTTTCAGGAGTGGGCTTGGAAATTCTATTTTTGTTCGAGAATTCAATATTAAGAAACTTAACAGTGAAACGGTATGATATAGATAGTTTAATTGACAACACTATTCAATATATTATTTTAGAGGAATGCTATATTACAATTTTTTTCTTTTTAGCTGCAACATTATGCTGCTAATAATTTAACTGGGGACAAAGCTGCCATAGCTGGTTGTGGTATATCCCAATCTGATCTGACTTGTTTCGCCGAATCCCTTGGGCTCTGCCCTGGTAAGTATTCAAATATAAGCCTATTGGTTTCAATATATTATAGCAGAAGATAATGTCCATTCTAGAAGATAAGTACCCATATAAATTTCACAATATATTATATACACTTGATAAACAAGAAAATTCTTTAAAATGTAGCTAATTTTAACAAATCTGTCATTTAGTCAATAAGGCATGTGGCCTTCGTGAGGTGAGTGGTTTCCAAACATTTTTTGCTCTATATTTATTAATCTAATGCTAGAATTATTTTCAATTAATTATTTAAGTTACAAAAACCATATAAATAGTATTTGGAAACCAATAGAAATAGATTGAATATATGTATGTGGGTGTGTGCATTTAGTAATAAGTAAAAATAGCAACAGTAAAATATAAAGAGGTGTTGAAACTTCCATTAGCACTGCCTAACCTTACTGCAGCCTCTAATGATAAAAATATTCCCCTCCTATGGTATAGGGTGAGCTTTAATTATTTTCGCGAGCTGAAAGATCTGATGTTCTCACAACATTTTCTTTAAAACTTGAACAAACAAAAATACATGGTAAAGAGTAGCCCAGAAAACTAGAAGATGGGAAATAGAAAATATTATATACTATAAAATTTGCCATTGTGCATAAATTAAAGTTAAATAAAACTTTAATTTAATCTACTTATATACCTAGCTGTCATAGAGTTTATAAATAATTTTAGCTTTCTATAAAACAAATGTCTTTAACAATGTAAAATTATTTATAAAAAAACAAAACAAAGTTTCAACAAATTTTACAGCTCTTACTTAATTATGCATTTTTTACATTTGGTTTTTTTATATTATCTTCAGAGTGAAAATATTATTTGAATTTTAGGTAGTGGCAGTGCATTGCCTGCATCTAAGTATAGTGGAGGAGAAATCAGGATTGAGGAAAACATTCCACTCCAGCATACCATCATTGCTGCTGAAGCACCAAGGTAAAGTAATTTATTTATTAATTACATACTATCAATCTAGCAACAAAAAAAAAAAACTTAAAATTTGATTATTCTTTTTCAATAAAATATATCAATATACATAATTTTGTTTATTATTTTTTTTTTTTATTGAAATCCAGTGGAGGTGGAATTTTTTATTTTAAATTAAGGATGGATTCTCCTTTTGGTTAGTACTCTAAAATAATTAGCTATTAAATTTTTTTTTAATGAATTCTGAATGTTCAAAACCTGTTCACCTTGTTTAGTTTTTAATAACTATAAAACTTTAAATCTCCTGGAACATATCATTGAAACAAATGCTCAATATCAAATATGAAAATAAGAAAAATTTTCAACTCTGCACTCTCAATTGTAATTAAATATTTTTAAAGAGCAAATAGAAAATCTTTTAACATTAATAAAAGCACATATTACTGTAGAAATTAAAATATCCTTGTTGTGTGGGCTGAATTGATAATAATAAAAGAGTCTTGATTTTCATATTCAATAGTTAGCATTTGTATTGAAGATATGAACTAATTATTTATCACAACTTTTTTTTAAGCCTTTTTTTTTAAATAATTATAAAAACAACAACCATTGGTTCACATTTATTGAATACTCAATTTTACTTCAGACATTTCATTTTTTTTTTGTCATTAAAAAATCCTAACACCATCAGTTTACAAACCAGATGCTTTATTTGAAACTTCGAATTATAAAATATTTACATTACTTTGAAGATAAAAATAAATATGAATTATCGGAAGGACCAGATCTGATTGTTTTTATACCAATTATAGAGATATCTTCCTGGGGCTAATGAATCCTTAAAAATTATATGGATTTTACTGTATTTGGAAATAATGCAGATATCATGGATTCCTTAACTTTTTATCATATTTTTAGCTTAGACAAAAGTGATGCCCTGGCCTACGCTGTTCTGCGATATGCCCTTGGAACTGGTCCTTCAGTCTACCGTGGCACAGGATCTGGACCACTTTCCAAGGTTGCTGGTGTGCTTGTCGGTGCTCAGGCCCTTTCCATGGCACACTCTGACGCTGGGCTCTTTGGTATTTATGTTGCTTCTCCAGGCTACAACGCTAAAGAGGTTTGTGGTTTATTATATGATGTAGTACTGCTCTGCAATGCTATTAATTTTTATTTATATAGTCAAAAAAGAATAATAATTCAGCATGAATTTCAACTTTTACTTAATTTTATTAAAATATAAGATTTATTATTTTTTTAATTCCTTTCTGACAAGTTCATTTCTCATGCAGTCCCTTATTGCGTTTTACTTTGACTTACGTATATATGCAATATATAGTAAAGATAAGTATTGCAATTGTGAACATTTTTTTAGGTCTCTTGAGTCCAAATAATCAAGTCCTGCAAAATGGTCTGTGTGTGTGTATTGTTTGGTTACATTTCCGTTGAAAAGTAATCAAACAGTTTCATTACCAAATTATTTTAATTTCACACAATAATTATTTTGAAGACTACAAATTATTTCTCAGTTTGGGTTGAGGCAATTAAGCACACATTCCTCAATTATATAATTTAAAAGCATTGATTAAATTTATGGATTTCCATTCAGTTTTGTTGGGGTCTACTCTTGGCGCGCTTTCTAACAAAGATTTATTTGTCATTTCCCCTGTTCTGCAGTGAATCTTTCTCTATATTGTTGAAGATATTGCTGCTAACTTCTACAAATTTCTTCTCTTAATCTTCTATTTTCCTGTACTCGTCTAGACACTCACTACTTAGCTGTCACTCTCTGTTGGTCTCGATGATCTTTCCTTGCCGGCTGGTTACTTTCTCCTTAACATATGGCGCTTGCTCCCCCTTCCATCTGTCTTTCTTTGCCTTTTTATCCATTTTTTACAGTTTTTCGTAACGTCACTGCTTTTGTGCCACTACTTAAAATTCTATCAACCCATTAAATTCACTATGTAATATTTACATTACAGTATGTATGTGGTCAGTCTAGCTCAAAAAATAAAGTGAAATTGCATATTCAATGTTTGTTTATACCTTGGATGTAACACCAACTTTTTCATCAAAATCGACTTACCAAAAGTGACATTTTATGTAATCGATTTAATACATTTTTACGATTTTCTCAAAAACAGCTCTAACAATTTTGATTAAACTCAGTGTATTAGTAAGCAGTTATTAATATAATGTAGGTTTTATTCTCATTGATGTTCTCAAACAGGGCTTAAATGGCTTATTTTCAATATAAGATTCCTTTCTAAAGTACCAACAATTTTTTTAATTTGAAATAATTAACCATTTCACATTAATCGTTGATATAAAAAATAGTTAAATATAAAATAGTTAGATAATTAGCTAAAGGAGAAATAAGAGATTGTAACGGATAATAGTTGACATGGTGGAACCAAAGTAATACGAGCGCACCCGAAAGATTATAACAGGCTTCCATACCTAACATGAGCTTAATATCATACGGACTCTGACAATATTATGTTCATATACATATGTGGTTTTCATAAATGCTATCATTGGTATTATTTAATATTTAATTGTATAGATTACACCGATATAAAAATTAAAATTTGTCAATATAAGGATAATTAAACAAATATACCCACAATGAAATTTAAATAAATATAGTGTCTATAATTTTTACTTTCACTTTCCCTTTGTCCGAAAATACTTATTTCTGCTAAGAAAAGGGTGGCAAGTTTAGTTCATGTGATATGCGCACCTGATTTTTCCAATTATCTTCCATAGGAACATCATTCTGTTTCCATACAGAAGAATAAGAAGGAAAATTGTTTTATGCAACACTAATTTGGTGACTGTATTTATCTCCTTTTTTTCAGTTAAATTGCTGATTTGGTGATATGTAAGGTTAGCCTCAAATTTATCTAACTGGCTCACTGAATATGAATTAAAATCAAACCTAAATAACTATTACAACACTTATTATTTAACATAACTAACTAGAATGCGAGCTTAGCAAGATTTATATAGCCCATTTAATGTTCTTGATGGGCCTGACTATTCCCTGTTCTAATCTGCCTACAGATTGATTCATGAATTATCAGAATCGACTTGTACTTAGTGCCATCTAAATCTTTCAAAGAACTTTCACTATTTGTATAAGTTTGATAATTAAAACCTGTTTAGTAATATATTTAACAAATTATGATTATCCCACTAAAGTAAATATTACAATTAATTCTCAAACATTTACAAAAATCACTTCAACATATTGTTTAATTTAGGCTGTTGAAGCAGCAGTGAAAGTTTTGAAGGGTGGAGTTACTGATCAAGATGTTGCACGAGGTAAAGCGCAATTGAAAGCAGCCTTATTGTATTCCAACGAAAGGTGCCGGGGATTAGTGGATGATCTTGTTGGCCAGGCTTTACTTGTTACAGGAGTTCCTCCCAAATCTGCTGCTGAATTGGCTGACCAAGTTTCTTCTGTTACCACTCAGCAGGTGCAACAGGTAATAATTTATAGCTTTTATGTATAATTGGCTCATAAAATATTATACTTTGTTTTAAGATACAATTAATTAAAATTAAGAAACCAACTGAAAATGTTTATCATTAATATTGCATTGTGTTTACTCTGAAAATTCGGGTTTCGATATTTTTTCTCTGAAAAGGGTGAGCATGTAAATATCAACCAAAATATCTGCAAAACATTAAATGGAAGTGTTTGATTAGTAATAGCTTTATTGGCAGCATATCATATTTATATATTGGATACTACAAAAAGGTATCAATATATTAACACTTGTCAATAAAAATAATATTGGAAGAGAAGAATGGTTGGGGTGATCAGTCAAAAAAAACAAATTATCAGAATAAGTAAGTATGTTTATTTTTATTTATTATTTACTTATTTTTTATTTATATTTTGTTTTGTTTTGTTTTTACTGATCACCCCAACCATTCTTCTCTTCAATTATTCTCTACAGTCAACCGTCAATCTGCAATTAAAAATAATAATGAGGATTTTCTCCTAATTCAACATTATACATCTATTGGATAGCTGAATTGCTTACATTCAGCCTAAATCAATAAATTTTAGGTTTTACACATTTGCAAGGAACAAACAAATAAAAATTCTTCAAATGTTTTTATTTTATATCTCCTGTTCTGATTTGTTTACAGGAGTCTACTTTGTGCTATTTCGTATAGTTTATAGGGCCCCCAATCTCTGCTAAGTTTCATGTGGATAAGTGGAGTTATGTTGAAGTTATCACAATGTTTGTGATGGTCAAAAAAAAAATTGAATTGCCATGAAAATTCATATTTTGTATTAGGTTTTTAAAGATGTGAAATATGAATATCAATTAAGTTTATTCTTAAAAAAATATTTGACCCTACTTTGGTCCTTCAGTTGGTACAAAATGTTTGAATGTTGTACTCACCTTATAGCTAAATGCCAAATAAACATTATTTTTCTAAACCGTAAGGCCATCTAGAGCATGATAGGATGCGTTCTAGTATGTTGCCCCATTTGATCCTAATACAAAAATAATGCAGGTATTATATCCGTGTTATAGACGATAAACATATCCGGATCCCATTAAATATTTTTTGGGGAAAACAAAGGTAATATTCATTTTTCTCTCCTTAAAATATCAGCTAATACAAATTTTTATAGTATTAAAGAATACAAATTTTTGGCTCAAGATATGAAACCTGTCTCAATCCCTCTACTTTATATATGATTTGGTAATAAGTCTGAGCAGTATTGTCTATATTTATTATTTTATTTTTAGGCTTTGCAAAAGATCCAGTCTGGAAAGAAATCACTTGCTACTATTGGTAGTATAAGCAAAGTGCCATATTTGGATGAATTGTAATTAAATATACAATCTTGTTGTATTTGTAGTAAAATAATACTAATTGTAAATATGAAAAATGTAATAATATACTTTGTTGCATTGTTTGTATTATATATTATTTTATTCCTTTGAATTTTTAATTATTATAATTTATTTGTTAAAATAAATGTTTTCTGTATTTTGTCTAATATTTTCATACCTCCAATACAAAAATATATACTAGGTTTATATATATATATATATATATATATATATATATATATATATATATATATACACACATATATACATACATATATATATATACATACATATATATATATATATATATACACATATATACATATATATATACATACATACATACATACATACATACATACATACATACATACATATATATATACTCCTATACTCATTTTGTGCCATATATATTAGGAACAGGTACAAAGTTTTTATAACTTCAGAAGAAAGAGGAATTATAAATAGGTAAAAGTGTAGAAGTTATTAGTCTTACGCAACACCAATAGAAATTAAGTCATCTTTAGAAATATACAATCAGTTTATTACAAAAGTCACCAGGTACATGTATGATAGAGTCAAACTTTTAAAAGTATGTTTTTGACCAAAACACAGTAAGTACATTAAAATGACACAAATCCTTTCATATGTCAAATAAAGTTCCATATACTACATGGACCATCCATGTACTACAACATGATATAGTGGTGATAAGCTGGTTAAATGTTCTGATTTCACAGATGGAACATTCATTACATTAATTAATATATATGTTTTATGAAAAAATTTAGTCAATAACTCATGATATGAAGGTTAAGATGGGTGGGGTATGTTGCTGGGAGCATTCCATCTAGAAGTCTCTAGGATGAATGCCTCAATAGTAGATGAAAGCCTTCGTGGAAAGCCAAAAAGGAGGAGATAAATAGATCAAATCAACAAAGATGCAATATATCTTCATGCAAATAACTGGAAAGAAATAGACAGAAGCTTTCAGTAGCTGACAATGTTCATCATATTTTAACCAGTTCTTACCACTAGTGGATCTAGAATTTCATTTCGTGGAGAGGGCTTCAGCCTGAAAGCTTTTTTTTTTTACATACAGAATTAAAAACTTAGGAAGAAAAAAAAATAATAACTACCTATATGAAGTGGTGTTTAGGTGATTCTTGAAGTCCTATTAAATATAATTACATGAACGATAATAAACTTCTAGAGATAACGTTTTTCATTGGACATGGTAATATTTTACCATTTTGTGAGCTGCAGCCCGAAAGCCCCTCTCCTCTCCCCCTGTGGTTCTTACAAAATCAAGCTATCCTTTACAAAAACATTTTATATTTCAAATGCAAATATCTAATGCCGAAAAAAAAAGTGTTGATTCTTGAACCCATCAATTTTCTCTATTGAACATTCAGCAAATGGAGACTTCAAAGAAGTACAGTTTATTATTTGGTCAACTAGTAAATGTCTCGTATAAGCCGAAGTACCAGACTATTGTGTTAACACTAAATAAATCAAAACAGATTTCAAGACATTTAATATTCTCTACCACGCAATACACCAATAAATATGTTGGTGAATAGAAAGTTCATATCACTAACTGAAAATGTTAGATAAATATATGTAACATATTTAATTGTTTAAGAACCTTCTGTGTTTGAAAAACACATTTTCAGCCATTGGTCTGACTAAGCCTGAGCGCACTTGGATACCAGTGGACCTTCATCTAAATAGGACCAGTTTTAGCAAATTTACAGTGTATTGAATTTCATAGGTTGATTTTAATAATGGTTCACTTGCCTGTTTATGTTGTTTTAATTCATCGAAGGAATAGTACTATAATGATTTATTTGATTGATTTTCAGGAAAATTAATATAATTCAATTGTGTTTTTTTTTTTTTAATGGACATATTTAAAGTTGTCAAAATTTGATTAGAATCAGTAGGAAAATCGTGAATCGAATAACCAGATTTTTTCTTTCTATAATTGGTAGTATTGTATAGATTGTCTTTACTCTACAACTCTTCCATTCTATCTGAGATGTGAGCCTATCACTATGTTTCTTGCCATTGTCTTTAATGTATGGTCAAATTAATTCTATTGATTTGGTTGAACTTTACTATATCTGAAAATATAACCTTTAATTATACCAATTATGTTGTGTTTTTCTATGTTCTAAAGTAACATGTTTAACAAATAGCAATAAGCTAATAAGAATTGCAAGACTTTTATGAGACTCTAGCGCAATACCAAGAGCAAGGCTAGGTTTGTAGGCACAAGACCAAGACCAACAGCAAGGCTGAGCAGCACTAATGACCATGCCAATTTTATATATCATTCAACAGCACTATGAAAATAGCAAATATGTAACGCGATTACAATCGTAATTGGTAACCAAATCACTGTAATGACGTAATTAAGATCACTGTAATCGTAATCAAGATTACTGAAATCGTAATCGTTGGTTATGATTATGCCTACTAGCGGATCTAGGATTTAATTTTGGAGGGTGGGGCTTCAGCCCGGAAGATTTTTTTTCATATATATAACGAATTTTTTTTCATATAAAACGAATGAAACTAACTACCTATATGAAATGGTTTTTAAGTGATGCTTGAAGTCCTATTAAATATAATTAACCGAGCAATAATACTTTGAGACATTATTTTTTAATATCTTTTACCATAAAACATGGTTACATTTTACCATTTTGGGGGGCTTCAGCCTCAAAGCCTCCCCTCCCCCCGTAGATCCGCCTGTGATTATGTCCATCTATGGGCAGAGGCCCTAAACGTTGACTGTGAAACAATATTAAAAAAAATAATGTAAAAAAAAAAGAGAAGAAATATTCACAACTTAAATGTAATAAATTACTATGGTTACAACAAACAATTTTATGCAGTTTCAGATTTGAAATAGTTAGATAATTGATTTAATTAAATTCTCTTCATTGAAAAGGTCTCATTTATCTCAAATTCTGTGGAAGCATAACTTTTAGCGAACGAACCAAACACATACCATTCTCTTCACTTAGTCTGGAAATAAAATTATCTTCATTACAATTAACTACATTTCATAATAAGTCAATCCATTCATAATAATTTTCTCTTGTTCCTTGGGGATTCGATAGCCGAGCTTCTTTTTCGAAGGCACTTAAGTGTGTCCAATCCATTTCTATTTATTTTTCTTTATTTCGAGGTGGATAGGACTCTGTTCTGTGAGGGCGGGGTAGCCGAACGGGATAATGCATATGCACAACACCGCAGTTGCTCTCCAACCTAATAGACAATTGATAAAAAATAGTCACAATTGATAAAAAATAGAGTTCGCGTCCCTGTGACGGGGGAGTCTTTTGAATCCTTTGGCCTGGGAAAACCCAGTATAGCCTTAAAGGCGAGAAAGGGGAGACCTAACAAAAAAAAAAAAAAAAAAGGACGCTGTTCTGTAGGACCATAGAGCCAGAGGGGTGCCCATCCCCCCCATGGTCGATGGCACAAGAACATACTCCCACTCCCGAGATATTTTATATTGTCCCTTTTCTTAAAAACAGCGACATTGTGTTCAAAGGAATCACTCGTTCGATTTTTTTTTTTTCAAATTCGATTGCTTAGAAATCTTTCATCTCTAACAGTCAAGAATTTTAGACATCCACACTTTTTTTCACCATAATGCAACCATAGGCGCAGACTTTCGATTTTGATTAGAAGGCGATGGAAAAAAAAAAATGGTGGGGATTTTTTTATATGTTTGTAAAGTTGTAAGAATTTTTATTTTTATTTTTACTTATAAAAATACAATTGAATATATAATGTATTTGTTTAGATTAAACAAAGAGGAAAGGAGAAACAGCTTTTAGAACATTGGTAAACAGTAAACAATATTTTTAATTTCTTAGTGTGCACAACCTCAAATAAAAATACGTTTTTCACAGTCCGACTAGTTCGCCGCGGAAAATATGAAAAGAATATCAAGTGAAAATTGAGTAGTGATAGAATCATAAAATCCTAAGATATGTTGATGCAGAGTGTCCTGTAAATAGAGGGAAATATTTAAAAAAGTAATAGTAGGCCTTAAGAGCTATTAAAAAAAATCATATAAACAATGGTCTGATTTTCGGCAGAATAGTAGGAAATTTAAGTTTTGTATTTTTTAAAGCAAGTTATAGTTTTTAATGATTAGAAAGCGATAACTAAAACATAATTTAATATAATTTATTAAAATTTGATTCACTGTAAGCTAAACAAAATTTACTTCAAACGAAAGGAGTGGTTTTCATTGTTAAAACTATTTAACGAATAATTTTGAGCGAATAAACTAAGCTAAGTTGTGTTTTTAAAAAAAATCATTAATTACTTGCGATTTTTATTTTTCATCCTCCAACCAGACACTCTACTTTTAGAATCAATGTCTTGTTTAGTAAGTTTCAAGTCCATATTAATTAAGTTGAGAGTATATTTCACAATGGGTCAAATCACTAGCGGATCCAGGATTTAATTTTGGGGGGAGGCTTCAGCCCGGAAGCTTTTTTTCATAAAAATAACGATAACTACTTTGGGAAAAAAAAAAGAAACTAACTACCTACATGAAATGGTGTTTAAGTGATTCCTAAAGTCCTTTTAAATGTAATTACATGAACAATAATACTTTAAGAGATAATATTTTAATATTTTTTTCCATAAAACATGGTTATATTTTAAAAATTTTTGGAGGGGAGCTTCAGCCCAAAAGCCGCTCCCCCCCCCCCGTAGTTACGCCCGTGGTTGAAATCCACCTCAAGTTGTGTAAAAAATGTTGGGTTTTAAAAAAAATATTAGAATTTAAGAATTGTTTCCAACCGAGGAAAGGTGTCTGCAAAGATACAGAAGGTAAAATGGTGGGAGGAACTGCAGAGGTATTGGATACTTGGCGGCAATATTTCCAGGAACTTCTGAATGGAGATGAAAATACAGAGAGGAATGTGCTACATGGGTGTACACAAGAGGAATTACTGAGTGGCGTAGATGATGTGAAGCCCCCTAATTATGAGGATTTTATGGAAGTGGTTGAAACACTTACAAATAATAGGAAATGTTGACATTTACGCAGAAATGTTTAAATAAGTTGGAGAGGACCTACTAAAGAAAGTATACGACTTGTTGTTGGAGGTATGGGTCGAAGAAAAAATGCCGAAAGGGTGGATGGTAACTATTTTCAGCCCAATTTTCAAAAAAGGAGACAGAACTAAATGCGAAAAGTATAGAGGTATGTATATCTCTCCTGAGGGGTGATGTATAAGGCATTTTCCTCACTGCTAAGTAAAAGTTACAAGAATGGTTCGAACGTATTCTTGGTGAGTATCAATGCGGTTTCAGGCCAAATAGATTTACAATCGACCTGATATTTTTTTCCAAACAGATGTTGAAAAATGTAATGAATATAATGTTGATCTTCATCATATTTTCATCGATTTTAAACAGGCTTACTAATGTGTCAATAGAAGCGAATTATTGAAAGTAATGGTCACTTTAGTTGTACCGAAAAAGTTAGTTAGACTAAAAAGGATGACACTGACTAATAGTTGCTATAAAGTCAAGATACAAGGAGTACAATGAGAAAAGTTAGCAGTTGAAGACGGCCTAAAGCAGAGAGAAACCTTGTCCCCAACTCTTTTCAACCTAACCTTAGAATATGCCAGGAGTACCCGGATGGGGGTTTCACGGCGCAAGTTGCGGTGTTTTGAATTTTGGAGGGGGCCACATTTCGACCGTGTTATAAATTTTCTAATTCAAAAATTTCAATCCAAAAGACAAATAGAAGCAATGAAAAGACAGCAGATTTTATATAATCTACGAATTTTTAAATTATACTCTTGTTTGCACTGTTTTTAAGAAGAGGATATCAGTAAAATATCTTTGAAATATCTTGGGAGGAGTGGGGACAGGTTCATGCGCCATAGAGCTTGAGGGAGGGGGGAGATGGGCACCCCTGGAATATGCAGTACGTGCTATTCGAACAAGACCTTTCATGGCGCGATATATAATAGACTGTCACGGCATCTGGCCTACGCAGCCGACGTGATAATGTCGGCTAGATCTTTATTGGGGTTGTTTGAGAAGTTCGAAAACGCGGCGACAAAGTTAGGCCTCTATGTAAACGACGAAAAGACAGTTTATATGAAGTCAACAAGAAACCCACCAGAAAGAAAGGAAGAAATGATCAAATTTGGAAGCACTTGCAGGATAGCAAACCAGTTTAAGTATTTGGGTGCTCTTGCCACATCAAAGAATGAACATCAAGAAGAAATTTAGGCAAGAGTAGCTGCTGGAAACAGGTGTTATTACACTGTTCAACAACCCTTAAAATTCAGAGGCCTGACCAACAGAGCTAAGGTCATATTATTTAAAACAGTCATTAGGCCGGTTGTGTCTTATAGTTGTGAGACTTGGGTACTTTCCAAAGAAAGTGAAAGAATGTTAAAAGTTTGGGAAAGGAAAGTACTCAGAAGAATATATATACCTGTCTGTGAGGACGGCAACTGGAGAATAAGAAAGAATGAGGAGCTGAAAGAAATGGTCCAAGAACCAAATCTGGTTTCTTTTGTTAAAAAGTATCAGTTGAGGTGGCTGGGACATGTAGAGCGGATGCCGGTGAATAGGATACACAAAAAATAACTGAACGGTAAGCCTGAAGAAGTAAGAGTCAGAGGACGTCCACGATTAAGATGGTCAGATGGAATGGAGAGAGTATTGAGAGAGATGGGAATCGGAGGATGGAAGAGACTCGTCCAGGATAGGGCGGAGTGGAGTAGGATTGTAGAGGAGACTTAGGCCCTTGTAGGGTTGTAGCGCCATGGAGTAAGTAAGTTATAAAAAACTGAGTTTTATTATCGCTTTAGATGATAAATATCCGAAAATCATTATTTTAAACATTTTTTTTAAATAAATAAAAACCGTATTAGTTGTTTTATGTTTATGATATTACATCCCAGGTAAATGGAAAAATAAATTAAAGCTTTGTAATAATTTATTGTAGTAATTTTTGTTAAAAACACGAGTACTTAAATGTGACAGTATATCAAAACCCATTACGATGTGTGAAACGATATACTTGCCACTTCAAATTTTTATTGGGGAGAAGGAGGGGGTCGATCTGCCCCATAGTCTGCGCCTATAAATGTAACTGTTTTCTACTTCAATATCTTTTTATTGTATCTCCTTCAATAAACACATCATCCTCACGTTCTCAATAATTTTTTATTAAGTCATTTCCTTTTTTATCGTAAACAATAATTTTTGTTTAAAGATATTTCCTTTTGTTCGTAAAGTATTCGAATCCGCTCAGCAATCGTAAAATTTTATTTGCATCCTATTTTAAAACTTTAGTTTGAATATCAGATATATACTACAAAAATAATGATTAGAACAGAAAATGAGATCGATGATTATTGATAATATGTATATAATAAGTACTGTAGTATAAAATTGAATAAAGGGGTATTTTACAAACGAAAAATAGATAAATAATTGGTTTTTAATAAAAACAAGTGTATAATTTTAGATGGTACTTTTATTTGTAAAGTTGCTATAATTATAATAATTAATTAATAAAAACTGATTTTATTGACAGTATTTTTAAATCGATAACAAATGTGTTCCCAACCTTCACATGAAAAAGTTAAGTGATATAGTTACCATTGATGGGTCCAAAACACCTACTCCAATGATAAGTCAATAACTTGAAGAAATATGTATAAGATAATGATTTTCCACAATTCTTCTGTTTTTTTTTCAAACAAATATTTTGTTCAAAATGTTTTTTTTTTTAATTGAAAGCAAAATCAATTTTAAGAGGAACTGTCTGATTATAAAGGCATTTGGTTTAGATCAATAAAACAGAAAATAGTGTTGTGTTTTAAATCTTATGCTCGAAACTTTTTGAAAACTCGAACGAGCCGCTTTTGGATTCACTTGATTTTTTTTAACTTTTCGAAGGATTCATTTCTGTTGTAAAATAAATTTCGACAATTCATTTTGAAAGAACTAAATTTTCAAACGGTAAATGCGCATGCGCCATATTACGCCACGTATGCGGTAGGCCACCCGTCCAATCAAGAAGCTGTTCTGCTGCCATTTTCTCTTTGTTCACCGATCTGGAAGGTTGGTTTCTTAGTCATTTATTAATATTGTTTATTAGATCTCAGCTAAGATTTTATTATGTTTTATAGACTCTATTTGAAATAGTTTTTATGATACGTCTATATTTTTTAGGAAATCACTATACCAAGGACGGATTGAAGTCAAACACTCATTGTATTATCATTCCTTCTTTTCTGAAGGACAAAACAAGTTAAATATGTACGGTACTGTATACAGTGGCAGCCAAAACCTGTAAGTTAATATTTCATCATGTTTTATTTAGAAATGTAGTTACTTAAGCTTAACCGCTGGAAGGGAGGTGACCCAGATCCAGCCATTTTGAGAAATCTATACATTGCATTGCGAATTATTTCAGAAGCTTATTTTAATACCTAATTAACTTAACGCAATTTTCTTTACCAATTCGAATGAATTAAATCCATCCAAGCTAATTTGTGGCTTTTTAGTTATTCTGTTGTATAATTCCTTATTTATCTATTAAATATTGGTTTCTAATATCTTGAAATATTTTTTGGTTTAATAAAAAAAAACAAATATTTAATTGTTTAAACCTAAACTGATAAGCATTTCTTTTATTTTTGTTACATTAGTTAAGTGTTAGTGTACTTGTTTAACTATCTCAAGTTTGCTTCAAGATTTTGTTTCTATTGATTATATTAGAGCTTAATTAATTAATTCAATTAATGTGTTCTAAATTATTAGCTTTATATAAATGCTTAGCACTAATCAGTTTGATGTGATAAATTGTTCATTCAAAATTGTGCATATTAGTGTGATTGATAAGCTCACAGGATTACAGGTTGAAATAAATCAATAACAGGTTTTAACTAAGGTCTAGAGTGGCTTATTCCACAACATATGTTTCCATGTAAGTTATTGTTAGGAAACATTATTATGCAATAACTCCCTATATTCTTAGCCAGTATTATTCCCAAGCTTATTTTAAGTTCTTAGTATTTGTTCGCTTGAAATTTTAAACTTATTTACATCTAAAATTGTTACTTTTATTATTAATTCTTTATTTGTTATAAAATTATATCCACAGAATATATCGAGCATAGTTTTGTAACATAACTAAGGGTTTATACTTTGCTGTATTTTAAGATTTTTCATTTATTTATTTTATCCTTATATTTGTTGAATTCTGTCCTATTTAGTCTAGTGGCTATAGGTGAGTAACTACAAATGTTTAAGGTCTAGAATTACAAGACTAGTCAAGCCCATTTTGAAGTTTTTATTTAAGAGAATTAATAAGTTTAAGTAAAGAGATTCTTCCAAAGTCATTCAAATCCTATTTCATTATCTGCCACAGAAACTGGTAGATGAAAATTAGAAAAAAAAATGTTGGCAGTTAATGGAAATCTACGTCTCATAACTTAAATATAATGAATTGATGTAAGTTTTGTTATTGCATTAAGACAATTATCTCCTATTTTGAAATTTTTGTAAAATGTAAAAGCGTTTTTAATAATAATAATAATGCATTGATTCCTTACTCTTCTTTTAAAATAGTTCAAATGCTATTGATCTGTTATTTTAATAGAATAAATAGTATCCTAACTTCTATTGTGATAATAATCTACCTTAATGATGATATCTTGGCTCCCTCAACTGAGATTACCCGAACTAAATAATTTGCTGATTGCTAATTCTGAAAGGTAGATTTTTAATATTTTTATTGCATAAAAACTATTTACTCTTCACAGGTTATTATATAAATATTTTTTTAAATTATAGATGGTATCTTGTTATGACCCTAATTTAACCATCTCTTTCTGCTACTTTCAAAATTAATTCAGGTTATCTGAGTTAAAATAATACTTCATAAATTACCAAAGAAAAGAATGGTTGAAGTAATCAGTCAAAATAATAAATAGTAAAAATAAATAATTATATTTATTTTTATAAATATAATACTTTATTTTTACCATTTTTTAGTTTGACTGATCACCCCAACCATTCTTCTCTTCAATTATTCACTACAGTTAACCATCAATTCATTATTATTAATAAATTACCCTTAATTCAAATTTATCTACTTTTAAATTTTAAAATGAATTCACTTTCTAAATTTTAATAAGTTTGTTTATTTAGTAAAAGTAATGTTTTAGTCCAATTTTCATGTTTTAACTTATCTCCTTTTCTGAATATTTTAATCCTATCTATGATTTTAATTCAATACTAGTTCTGAATTGTTACTAAAATAACTAGATTACAGCTGAGTTCAAGATCACATTTAGCACACTGGTGCAACATTAAGGAATTTATAATTGTTAACAAAATGAGGTTAAAAAATAAGGTGAATTTAATAATTAAATTATTTTTTAATAAGTTAGCCTAGTATGGCCAATATGGTTCCTTCACCATTTCTATTTGCTCAATTTACCTATATTCAAAGGTCTATTATTTGTCGTTAAGGAATAAAACTTATGGGACGAGCAAGTTTTGAAATTTTATTTTTTATTGGGGGGTAGCTAATTTTGAGAGTTTAAAGAATAGAAGAGACTTGTTAGTGAATTTAGCCTCTCAAAAACTGATTAAGCCTTAGCTACCGTGAGGCAATGTTGTTCGGGGTTATCTTTGATCTGATCAGCAGTTTTTTTTTTTTTTTTTTTTTTGTTTATTCATTTTAAGTCATGTTAATGAATTATGAATTTTGGTTCATCAATTTAATTAATTGTTCTTTGTAATTGACCAAGAAAAAAAGAACAACTCTCAGTAAAAGGTTTAATATTTCAATGTCAACAGCATTTTCTTTTTATTCAATATTTGTCAGCAAGGTTATTGGTTATCTCATCCTCAGACGTCAACATTACAATCTGCTGTTTCAAAATGTCAGACAATTGGATGCATCATATGCCCCTATCTCAGTCATTTGTGACTGAAAAATCTTTGAAGTATTTTGGAATCATTACAAGCCTTAAAAATAACAAAATATAAACAAATTGTTAGGGTTATCTATTTTGTAAATAAACCAATTTGTAATAGTTTGTGGTGATTAAGCCTAAGTGGTTGCCAGGTAACTGAAATTACATGAATAATACTATGTTCACTTAAATCTTCTACATATGAATATGCAGATGAACTCCACTATGGTTGTAACTGTAAAAAAGAAGGAACTCTCTTTTTTGGCTTGAAAAATAGTAGCAGCTATAAGTAATTTTCATTTCTTTATTTCATAACCACATAAATACTTGTCTACAGGGAACATTCTAGTAATGCTTTTTTTTTATTGCAATTGCTTATTAAATTTATTCATCAAGATGATGTGAAATTAGATAAATGTGAACCATGGCTTATCACATTTAAAATAATCTATATTTGTACATCATGACCCATCAAATATGTTAATTGGAACCTTTTTGTTGTATAGATGGCCAAATATATATATTTTTTAATGCATATGGTTTTAAAGCTAATTTTTCATATGAGAAATTTCATGGTTATATCCATAATACAAGGTTAATTATTTGAGGTCTAGGTACTACTATACCAAAACATTGTTAGACTTATCTCACTTCAGCTACTTAAAAATGTAATAATATCAATAAGTATTAGTTTCTATTCACTCCAATCATTAAATAAATATATAAAACTTTTTAAATTCGGTTACCCTTACCTTGCCATTTATAGGAATAGAGGTCAACCAAACATATTCCAATCAGTGTGGGAATTATGCAATTCATCCTGTGGACCCGCTACTATATAAAATTCAACTGCTTAAGCTGCACACTGGAGCGAGTGCAAGGTTTCTTGGAAATCGGCTCTGACTTATCTGAAATTGCAGTACATTGCTCAAAATTTGTTTGTGTTTTTGCGGGTATTGAATTTGGACTCCAGGCATTTAGTCGACCAGATGCAAGAATTAAAAGCAAAATAATAAAATATAAATTTTTATTTCATCTTAAATAGTTTTTCTGTTTGAAACTCACATGAGTACGTATGAAATATTATTGTACTACCACTATAACCTTCTAGTATAAAATAATTTATATGTATATATATATATATATATATATATATATATATATATATATATATATATATATATATATATATATGTATTTATATGTATTTATATATATTTATATATATGTATTTATATATATTTATATATATGTATTTATATATATTTATATATATGTATTTATATATATATATGTATTTATATGTATATATGTGTATATATATATATATATATATATATATATATATATATATATATATATATATATATATATATATATATATATGGAATTTCATAAAAATAATTTTCAATTCACTTTTGTTATAGAAACTTAATTCATATTTCTTAAACTTAATGTGATGAAAACAGAATCAATTAAGAAATTTTAACTTTCCTTTACCCCTCCCTAAATATGAAATATATAGTGAAGGAAATTATTGCGATCGTGAACATTTTTCTATCCGACTTGTAACGGAAATACACATTTTGGGATACCATGGGTCCAAATAACCAAGTCCCAAAAAAATGGTCTGTGTTTGTATGTGAACACTAGCTCAAAAATGAAAAGTCGTACTAAACTAAAACTATTTTAGCACATTTTTACAATTACAATAAACTCTTGTGTATTATTGTATAATTAGTGGTCTTTAATATCATTTAGCTCTTATCCCCATTGATGTCACTTTACAGGGCTTAAATAAATGCCCAATGTTCAACACTTCCTCCTCTAAAGCTCCTTTTGGTAAAATTTGATTTTTTAAATATAATTAACTATCTCTTATTAAGATTTTAAGAGATAACAAACTTCAAAACCATCCGAATTCCCTCGTTTCAAACCTTGCTTCCTCTTCAATACCTGATAACCCTCCAAGGTGTCTGAAAAGAAGATGGTCTCGTGATCTACTCATGTAAATATATTATTAGAGTGCTACCAATGAGTAGTTTCTCAACAAGCGTTTTCATGTGATTGTATTATTACCTTGTGCACATTTCTGGATGTATTTTTAATTTATACAGTTGTAAATCTCATGAATAAATAAAATAACAAAATTAATTAATTTTTTTTTTTAAACTTAGCCATTAAACTCGTGATATGTTTTATAATTTTTTCAGTATAGATAATTAGATATTATTTAATTAAAAACTGAGTCTATGGTAACTTGAATATGCAAGTAAAAGAAAATTAAATAAATAAAATTTAATGGTAGTTACTCTAAATTCAACGTTCACACATGTTAATTCCTCATTACCTTCCGGGAATGCTGTTTAAGGCAAGGGTTTCAGCTCTCTTAGGATTCACTAGAAGTACCTTATTCCGTCCAGCACATTGTTAGGTTTGAACAAAAAATACTGGCAAACCAGCTGCAAAGATAAAGAATATGGTTTTTATTTCTTCTATTATCTCACACCAGGGCATTATTAATACAATAATTTAATTAAGAATTACTGGGAATGGCTGGAAAAGGATGCTAGTTCGTCACTAATGCAGTCAAACTTGTAAATTTTAACTTTTGTTTTTTCTCCCTATGTCCAAGAGTAGTATTAGCTCTCTCTCCCCAGTGTGGGCCGAATCAAATTAGCATTGGTAGACTGTTAAAGCGGACAATGCCTCAACCACTTTAGCCATCACAGCCTCTTAAATAGATTAAATTAGGCAAGACCTGTGCTAAGACAGTAACAACTTGATAAAATTGAGATGAGAATTCTCCCTTTCTCTTTTAAATCTTGAAATTATAATGAAAAAGTATTTTTTTTTTTCCACTAAGTCAAAACCTACTTCGTACTTACATGCCCTAGTATATCTGATTTCATCTGACGAGATTCTCTTCTTAATGGATCAAAATATTATGTTGATTTCTCACACATATACTGCTTTTTGTTGTGTTTCTTCTGTGCATTATTGACCTTTGTATTGTTATTTATTCCTTTTAACTACCACCTATATGAATTACAGTCATCTCCCATCAAAACGTCTTCACATCTCCATGGGCGATGGCACATCTAATTCCTCTCAAATAAACTTATTACTTTACACTTTTTAAAAACTGTGTAAATGACAGAAAAATAATAATTGAAATTTAATTTTTTCCCTTGTTACTTGATTTGGATGTTCTCAATTGAAAACACGAAACTATGATTTCCTCCAAAAAATCCTTTTCTTTTCTTCCCTTCCCCTGCATTACCCTCTGTGTGGGACCTGGATCTCCTCCACGATTCTTTGTCACTTTGCTCGATCAGCTGCGACAGCTCTCTACCTCCTGTCAATACTATACTTTCAACATGCCCAAGCCATCTTATATGGGACGTCCTGGTGAAAGTGACAATATCAGCCTCTCTGTATAGCGCTATTAGTTTTCTTGGTTGTACCAGGCTCTCCTGACTCTCTGACATTAACACCCTCTCCTAGACTCCCAGTATACTTTCATGTTCGTCCATCATCCATGTTTTGCTATCTAAATTACTGCGGGATGTATCGTGGTCTTTGCATATCACTTTTTTCCTTCCTTGACATATCACAGAAGCTATGTACCCACTAAAGAGCAAGGTAGCGGAGGTTTCCCATAGCTAGCTATTTTGGTGCCAATTTCATTGTTACTGTCTGCCATTGAGGAACCAAGGTACTTTAACTCCTTGCATCCTGGGAAATTAGAGGAGCCGATACTTAAGATCGCATTGTTCTGCAAAATGATGGTGTCTGCTACCCTTCATGTAGGCATTTTCATATGCTTCATTTTCTAGACTTATCATTTACGCATAGACCCCTCGCATAGACAATCTCAAACTTGTCTGAGTTCCTTCCCAGTGACAGAAGGGATCTGGCGCCTGTCTCTTTCAAGATTCCTGAAATTATCTGGAACTCCTCGGACAGCACCCCCTGCAGCTTTCACCTTCACCTGGCATCTTGTATATCCCATATCATTCTTTACGGCCTGGTAAATTTCTTTGCAATACTCCCGAATAGGTCTCTGATTAATGTTGACCCATCCACTGAGTTGTAGCCTTATTTCTTTGATGTCTGAAAAAATAATGCAGATCAATATTTTGTGTCTGAAAAAATAATGCAGATCAATATTGTGTTCATCATTGACTTCTCCAGCACTTGACGAACTGTGAATATTTGGTCTATTTTAGCCCTTCCTTGCCTAAAGCTGCATTGGAACTCAATGAATTAACTTTCTACATGAGCGACAAGCCCTCAGTTATCCTAAATGTCTCAATAAAATATCTCTTGGTGCTCTAAGTTGGGGTAGGGTGTCGGGCTAATGACCCATAACTGTAAAACAAACATTATTATGAATCCTAAATAATCCTTAACCTTCTAAAATGTTTTCCCCTCAAAAAATTATAATGTGCAACTTGAACCCCATGAAGGAACGCGAACCCCTTCCGGTCACTCTTGCTTCAACTTTTTTTTTCTATCCGTGGCATTAAACATTTTTATTTATGTTTAAAACTAATTATTTTTCTATAATAGTGCGTATAATATTTATTCTAGTACATGGTGTCTCTATTATCAGTGTAATTTCCTTTCTCTCTGGCCTGTGCCTTTTTTAGAAATTGTATTTGAACCCATTTCAGTTTCAAAAGATGAATTGTCTATGCTTTCCTAATTATCCAACCATTCCATGTCAGAATAATGTAAATAAGAATTCAAATAATTAAGCAGGATTAGATATTTGTTTCGGTTTGTGTTTAGGCTCAGCTTGAAATAATATAAAGACTTTTATTATGATCACTACTAAAAAATATTTAATTTTTTTCTTCTTGCAGGTATAGGCATGGAAATGAACAGCAGGGATTTGGAGGTAATAAGAGATTTTGGAATCCCAATCAAGGTGGACCCAATGGTAATATATATGGAAGCTACAATCCTGGCTTCAACAAAGGTGGAAAACCTATTTATAACCAAAATGGTGCTCACTTGAATGGAAAAAAGAAACCTCAACAACAACAGCAGCAACAACAGAAATCCAGCAATGAAGGATCTCCCTTAGGCAGTCCTACCAACAATAAGGGTAAAACACAGCCTGGAGATAACCTTAAGAAGCCACAATGGGATGTAACTGCTTTGTTGCCATTCCAAAAGAATTTTTATGTTCCTCATAAGGCTAATGCAGACAGGTACCTTTGATTTGATTTATTATTTATTTGTTATTCGATATTTAAATTTGAACACGTCATTATCTAAGTGTTCAATCACACACATATATTTAGATACAAAAATGAAAATTTTTACTATGTATCTATAATTATCATTAGATCGATACAATTTATATTTATGTTCAACCCTCTCCTTAATCCATCATGCCCATAGACTAAAATAATTACCTGTTATGTATTAGTTAACTTTCTTTGCTCAACAGTTATTTCTAACCCTTGCAATTTTACTGATTTCAGATTTATTTAGTAGATAGAGAAAATAAGAATTCTATTAAAATAAATTTCTATTTTTTAAAAATATTTACCATGTGATTTATCCATGGCTAAAATAAGTTCGCAGCTATGTTAAAAAATATTTCATTTGTTTTTGTCATCAATTAGGTTAAATCATGTAAGAAATTTTAATTAGCGATATGAAAAAATAATAGTTGATTATATTTAATATGAAGGGTTATATTAAAAAATTAATTAATTTACTACTGTCTTATCATAAAATTAACATAATAAATTTGAAATCAATAACTTTTAAATTTCCAATGCCTCAAAATTCACAATTTATATTTCAACATGTTGACTGCCATGCCTATTGGAAAAAAAGATCTGTTCAACTAACAACTTTCTTTTGTTTTTAATTTTTTGTACATAACCCAACATCATAAAAAATGTTTTGTTTCACAGTTAAAGCTTTAATTTTTTTTCTAATCAAGTTATCTTTTGATTACTGTGAACATTGTGGTGGCATATCATTTTTATTCCTTTTCGATTCTCACCAGTTGATAAAATTGATTGATAATTTATATGTCATCAATATCAATTATTTTTCAAATTAATGATTTGAACCAAATAATGCTTTGTGTTAATTTTTTGTTAAATCTGATTTTTGACAGAATTACTATCGATGTATGTACCATTGTGTGTAATGTAAAGAAATAATAATTCCATCACCTGGTCATTCATCATCATCCATCTAAGAAATTATGTCTTGCACATTATTTTTCAAACAACAAAATTTTTACAATTAGCAATAATATTAATTTTTGAATAACACATTTTATATCAGAAATTTTTATATAATCTACGATATATTTTTAGTCAGAGTATATATATGTAATAATAAATTAATAAATACTGCTTCAGTAAATGGAGCTGTAAGAGTTTAGATTTAAAAAGAGAATTTTTTTTAAGTTCTCAGGTGTCAACCGGGAATGTAAGTTGCTAAAGATGTACTTCACTGCTGAAAACTCCCTCTGAACAGGTACCCCTTGCACGATTAGAGCGATTTCAGAAATATAATATTAATAAATGTGTACATTAATATCGTAAACATATATTATTAATATAATGATTTGTATGTTAAAGGTGATTTTTATTTTCTGATCAACATTTTTTTTTTTTTTTATCACAATTTAATCATTATTATTTATGTAATACTGTATCACTCATTGAGTGATCATTATTTTTAATCAAATCAGTAAACATCAAAGATCTATTTAAATTTCTGTTTATAAATCAAACACGATTTTTTAATCAAAAATCAAATACAATAATTATTACATGATTTTGTGAAATAAATAATTATTAATTTCAAACTCTGTTTAGTATTTACCACTATTCTTTCGGAATTAACGGTTTGATCATAAAAGTCAACAGTCAGATTTTATTATTCTCAGTGTTGATTTGTGAGTTTTAGTGAACTTATGATAACAAGTTTTGTCTCTTGGTTGGCAGGCAATGTGTTTATTATATTTTAATCAAATTCAGTCAGAGATGGTTAGATTTCCCCATTATAGCTTACCATGGATTATGAGGGTTTCAGTTATAACTAGGGCTGATGATTAATCGTGGAGGAACGTACGGTATTATTATGCTATGATTTATATTTTATGTTTTCATTTTTATTTTTTCTTAAGTAGGAGCGAAGAGGAAGTTGTCCTTTTCCGTCTATCAAGAGAAATAACTATTAAAGGAAATAGAGTACCCGCACCTTCTCAGTTCTTTGAAGAAGGCAATTTTCCTGATTATCTGATGACGGAAATAATTCGGCAGGGATTTGCCAGGCCAACTGCCATTCAGGCCCAAGGCTGGCCGATAGCATTGTCAGGCAGGGATTTAGTTGGCATTGCCCAAACTGGCTCTGGAAAAACACTTGCTGTAAGTATTTTATTAATTGTTATCGTTTTACATCTGTCTTCCTTTAATTAAGCATTCTGAAGTTTGACAGAAGAATGAGTGTTACGAATATAAGTTTAAAGAAAAAGGATGATCCTTTCTCTTATTAGTATTGTTGATGGGGATCCTGTTTAATTTTATATTTACTACTGATGTTTCATCTGCTTTCTTATATTAAGTATTACTTCCTCATATTAAGTAAAGTGTTTATATACACCATAAACACTCAGTTTCTCCTGTTTGTGACCAAAGAAAGTAGATTTACTTATTAATGTTAATGTTTTTTGAAAAAACAAATTTTTGGTTATCTCTGCTAAAAAAAAAAAAAATTCAGTTAAATTATCCTCAAAATGACGAGGAATTTCTCAAAAATCTAGTGTGCAGTATACAACTTGTACTAACCTACTGTGAAGAAAAATTCAATATTGAATTCATTTTCAAGAATTTTACTGTAAAATGGGAAGACTTGCAACCTTGAGAAATAACATAACTCCAAAATTAAATCACTTCTTTGTTTCAAACTTAACCCTTTAGTTGCGCGTAGCCTGAGTTAAGATTAGGTCCCGTGTGCGTGTGATACTGAAGGTCTAGCCAACTGGAGCCACTAAGTTGGCATTGCGCACTAATGTCACAGCTGGCCTGCTCGAGCCATTATATTGGCTTTACACATCTAAAGGGTTAAAGAAAAGGACTTCCTGTTCCAAATAAAGAACTAAATTAAAGTTTCATTGAGAGGTCTTTCCCAATTCTGTCACTTCATTAGTTTTTATTACATCTTCAAAATCATTATAGTTTCAGATTAATATTTTCCTCTGGTTAGAAAGTACCTCTTTTTTGCTATACTTAAACTAAAAATACAAACCATCGACAATTTTATGAAATACGATCTTGTGCACTATTTATTTTTGTTATTTCTATAGGTAAGCCTAAAATATATCTTGAAGGGTTTTCATTTGGTGTCTTTAAAAATTCCTTTTAGTTTCTATGAAAACATATTTTTCTAGCTAATAATATAACAAATAACTTAGGTCATTAGTTCTTTGTCATCCTCAACTCAAATCAACAAATTTTGATGAAAATATTTTAAGATTCAATTAATTTTAAAATTGTATTAATTAATATTTTAAAAAACATTCTGTGCTTTTAATTTTGACTTTTAAAATCATAACAATTTAAGGCAATACTTTTTTTTTAAAGTATATATTGCCGGCTGCAGTGCATATCAACCATCAAGATCGCCTGATCAGAGGTGATGGCCCAATTGCACTTATTCTGGCTCCTACCCGGGAGCTTGCTCAGCAGATCCAGAGTGTTGCGCAAGAATTTGGATCTTCTTCCATGATTAGGAACACTTGTATTTTTGGTGGAGCTCCTAAAGGACCTCAAGCTAGGGACCTTGAAAGGGGTGTGGAGATAGTTATTGCCACTCCTGGAAGATTAATAGATTTCTTGGAAAAGGGAACCACCAACTTGAGAAGGTATGCAGGATACAAAATTTTAATTCTGTAGCAATATCCTTCTTATAATATTTTGTTAAAAACAGATAATTTAGTGGTATAGGTACCAAAATTATTTACAAATATATTAATTGAGGAAAAAGTAATTTTTTTTAAAATCATATTTATTTATATAAATTTCTAACACTAACCAAGATATATATGTACCATTTGATTAATGACCTTTTGCTACTTTCCTGGTAAAACCACAAGTAAAAGTTCATTGCTGTAGAAGTTCTGAGATTTCTCTGAAAAAAAACTGAACTGAGTGATTTTTTATAATTCTCTTTTGATACCAACTTCACACCATTAAGAGAGTTCTGCCGAGACCGAAACAAATAGTAGTTTGACAGGGCCAGGTCCAGGCTATACAGTGAATGCCTCAAAACTTATTTGAATGCATTCAAGTTCTCTCAATCTTTGTCTGGTTATTAATGGTAATGGTCAAGATGTGTGTGTTCTAACATTGTTGTAATGAAAGCAGCGCCTTTCTTATTAATCAATTCTGGCCATTTTTCATGAATCGTACGTTTTTTACAGTATATAATCAAATTAATGGTTGAGCCAGGTTTGAGAAGTTCATGATGAAAGAATTTCGTTTCACTCCCACCAAACACTCAGCATAATCTTCCTTGGCATCAATCCGGGCTTTACCACTGTTAGTGAAGCTCCTCAGGGTTTTGACCACAATATTTTTTGCACATTATTGTCTTACGTGATCCGTTTTTTATCACCCGTAGTAATTTGTTTAAAAAATGGGTCGATTTCGTTTCGTTTCAGCATAGATTCTCAGATGGATATTCGTTCCATTAAATTTTTCACTTTTAATTCATGTGTAACCCCAAGTATTGATCTTTTGGAATACAACCTTATGTAAATGGTTCAAAACTATTTTTTGATTAGTGTTAGGTCAGTAGTGATGTCTCTAGATAAAATATGTTGTTCTACCTCAACAATGTTTAAAGAATTTTGTAGATTTTTTTCAACTATTCATCGGCCAGGGTGAGGTTCATCTTACCATCGAAATTTCCCCTATCAAACCCGAATGAAAACTAGCAAACCAATTCTGACAATGGTGTTCGCTTAAGCACTCATCACCACAAACACTACAATTTTTGATGATCTTGCGCTGCAATTTTTCTATTTTGGAAAGAAAACAGCAAAAGGTTATGAAAATGACCATCTGAAACCTCTATTTTAAAGTGCAGTAACTGTTAATTGAATGAACGAATAATACTATTTTTACATATAGGATGTTCTATGGACTCAGACCTTTCAAAAGTCATCTATTAGAATAAAACAAAATTACTTTTTCCTCAACCCAATATAATGCTGGTATGTCAATGGGTATAGTCCTTTTAAGAAACAAAGTATATATATTTTTTTTATGACTTTCAATAAGAATGGGCATAAATTTTATTCAGTGGCTGACAAGGTTTCTCCGGAAAATTTAAATTAGATATGCATTGTTAAAATTTCAGTGAAAGTTCACAATATTTTTTCTTTTCTGGTACAAATTTCTTTTTGAAAACTATCTTTATTGACCTAAACATAAATACGTCATCCAACCTGTTATGGGATCACACAGGTATGACTCATTAGTTTTTCTTCTTTTTTCAAATTTTCCTGTGGAAGAAAAACAGTTAGTTTTTGTAAAACAAAAAAAACAAATGTGAAAGAAGTTCTAGTCATTAATGGGTTAGCGCTAACTCTTAAGTCTCTGTTGTCCAATGATCCTTCTTGAACATTTTCTTTTTAGATGCCTGCCATGTAAAACAAATAGTTAAGGAGCAAAAAATATTAAAGTCTTGAATATATATTATTTTTATTAAATATATATATTTTTTAATATAAAAGCTAATTGTTGGATGTTGTGAAGTTCGACTTTCAATCCCTATAGAAATCAGTTCCTCATTAAATATTTTGTTTATGAAGTTCATTAGTGATTTTCTTAATAAGGTGCCTAATTAAATTTAATGAGGCAATTTATAATCATTTTATTTTGCTCTCCTTTTCTATTACAGATGCACTTACCTTGTTTTGGATGAAGCTGATAGAATGTTAGATATGGGCTTTGAACCCCAAATTCGAAAAATTATCGAACAGATCAGGGTACGTACAATTTTCTTTTTTTAAAAGTGAAATATTATATTCTATGATATAACACATTTGAAAGTAAGATATGTTGTATTCTATGATATAATACATTTGAAAGTGAGATATATTGTGTATTATTCAATTTCAGCCTGATCGCCAAGTTCTCATGTGGTCCGCTACCTGGCCAAAAGAAGTGCAAGCTCTTGCTGAAGATTTTCTTAATGATTATATTCAGGTAATTAACATTAAATGAACCTTATTTTTTTGCAATTTTACAAATCTTACTAATCCGTCCAAGTTTCTTATTAAGTTTTGTCAGTAACTATATGATGTAAGTAATATTAATTCTTTCTTTTAATTTTCCTAGGTCAATGTTGGATCTTTGGAACTTGCTGCCAATCACAATATTCATCAAGTAGTCGAAATCATGGAAGAGACCGAAAAAGAAACAAGATTGTCTTCACTATTGAGAGAATTGGGCCACCAACCTGGTTTCAAAGCAATAATATTTGTTGAAACAAAGAAAAAAGTTGATGACATTACTAAAGCTATCAGATCAGAAAAGCAAGTGTCTAATGATATCTTTTTTACTTTTAAATTATTTTATTTGTTCTATAGTATTTGTTATAATCACTGTCTTTTACTTTTCATATATTGTACCAATTTATTTTTCTTGAACTTTTTATTCATTAATTTATGTTATTTTAAATAAGATTTTTTTTTCTTTTTAACAGTTGGCAGGCCATTGGAATCCATGGAGATAAATCACAGCAGGAACGTGATTACGTTCTTTCAGGTAACTTTTTTTATTAATTCTTTAATGTTTTATTAATTAATTATATAAAACAAATTGATGATTGCTCAAATTTTATATGCATGGCAAAACCTTACCAAGTTTACAGTATGTTAATTCCTAAATATTTTTAAATTACGTGGTCTTATTAGTTATTAACTAATTTATAGCGTCCTATATATACATATATATATATTATGTTTTTCAGAGTTCAGAAATGGAAAGTCTCCTATTCTTGTTGCAACAGATGTTGCAGCCCGAGGTTTAGGTAAGTTCTCATTTTATATAGTTAATATAATTGCTCCTTACTTTAAAAGTTACTTTTTAAAAACTGTGGAACTTTGTAGCCATCTTAAGTGTTTTGGTTGTGTAAAAAAATATATGATTTTTTAAGTTCAGTATTACTTTTTTTAACTGAAAAAAAGTAATTTTGGGTTTCTTCTCATATTTTGTTTTTTCATTTTCTTTCTTATTTAGTTCTTTATTAGCTGTAATAAAATCCATTAAATTAAAACATTTAGTATTAAGGAATTAGGTTTATTACTTAATATCATTAATTGTTTTTTTTTTCAGATGTTGAAGATGTTAAATTTGTTGTTAATTATGATTATCCAAACACTTCTGAAGATTACATCCATAGAATTGGAAGAACTGGACGTTGTTCACAGTCCGGAACAGCTTACACATTCTTCACACCTACAAATCAGCGCCAAGCTAAAGATCTGATAGCTGTACTTGAAGAGGCTAACCAACCTGTTAGTGCCAAGCTCTTAGAATTAGCAAATCAGGCCAAAGCCAACTATAATGGTAATTCAATCTACTTATATTTCAATTCAAGAGTATCCAATCTTTTTTTATGTCGGAGCTTATAAATAGGTTATCAGTCAGCCCCTGGATTTCATATTTTTCTTAAAGTTAGATATTGTTTGTATTCTTATATAAAGAACATATTTACTATCAAGAAGATTCTTCCTCTAGAATAGTGGATGTGTATACATCCACATAGATATATTGGGTTGTCCGGAAAATAATGCAGAATTTTGGTTTAAAAAGAAAAAAACAAACAAAGATTTACAAGTGTTTTATTTAATCAAAATAGTCTTTACTATCAATTCATTTCTGCCAACATGTTGGCAACTTTTCATTACCTCGGAATAAAATTTCCATCTTCAAAATTGATAAATTCCCATGCCCTTCGTCCATTAAATGTTTAAGACACATAAGTAGTGGTATAGGAGTCTAAAAAAATGATAGTAATGCGGGAGCTCCGGAGAGTAGGGTAGATGTGGCAGAGTTTCATATGCAGGCTCATAACAGTTTTTATGATGACGTGACACATGAGACGTGGCCGGGCATTGTCATGCAACAAAATGGGCACCTTTTGATTGACCGAAGATGGCTGCATTATTGCCAATTTCTGATGCATTGCATTAATTTGGTTGCAACACAATTTGGCATTAATGATTTCTCCAGGATTTAAGGAGCTGTACTGTAGTGTATCAAACCAAATGAAGCCCACCAAATGGTAACCATCACTTTTTTTTGATGAGTTAAGGCTTTGGAAAATGTTCTGCTACTTTTTCTTTGTCGAGCCAGTGTCTGAAACGACTGTAGTTATCGTGAAGTATCCACACTGAGTGTGGAATCCAACTATCAAGCTTTTTTATCTTTCCTATTGATTTGAGGTGATCATTGACGGTTGATTTGCTAAGGTTTAAGTTTCCCTGCAAGTTCTCGAACAGTTGTTCTATGGTTTTCTTCCACACCAAAGCCTGCAACACATCATCATCAAGAGAGGAAGTCCTTTCATGACATGTCTTCAAGGCTGAAATCTCCCTTCCGAAATTTTTTGAACCACTGTTGAACAGTTCACTCATTAACGCTTCTCTTGCCCCAGACTTGATTGATGTTTCTGGCTGAGGTTAAACTTCTAAAAGACAACTATGGAAAAATCACACGTTGACATCTTAGTAAAAACTGAATTATTTTTAAACAGCGAATTTTTACAGAGGTAAACATACATTGTTTGGAAGAGTATTAATAAATATTGACATTCATACAAATGAATAATCGAGTAAACGCAAAAATGTTGTTATAAAAAGGGGTATTTAAAGAAAACTCAAAATACTGCATTATTTTCTGGACAACCCATTAATATGGTTAGGAGACTGATTTACATTTTCAGCTTTGAAAAACTGGTAACCACTTTTTGTGAATAAGTGTTGAACTTAATTTGAAGAATTTTCTCTGAAGTAGATAATAATTTAGGCTGTCTTAGTAAATTTTTATCGTTTTGTTTTAGGACGAAATAAATGGAACAACAGAAACAATCAAAATACTAACAAAAATAATGATTCGAGGGTTTCCAACAACATGAATGGTGGGAGAAGCAATTCTAGCATGACATGGACCCCAACTAGCCAACAGTCACAGCAGATACAACAGCATCCTATTTCATCGCAACCTCCAGTACAACACCAGGCCAATATGGGTCAAGATTACAGAAACCCAAGGTACCCTCAACCTCAAAATGGCCAACAGCAACGGAGGCCTTATCAGAATGGGCAAAGGCAGCAGGGTGGCTATGTTCAACACCAAAGGTAAGTTCTTACTGTTTACATGCGGTAGTAATTAATAGGATATTATTTATAATGACCATGAAAGCGACAAAGTTTAACTTCATCATTTAAGATGATTTTATTAAAAACAGTTTTGGTTATAACTACCATGGTCACTAAGTCTTTAACGGCCTATGGATATCATAGTAGTAAAATTTAAGGTGATTGTACTTGAAGTTGTTATTTTAAAAAGAAAAGTATTATTTGTGTCTAATTCGTACTCAAGATTTTTGTTATGTTTTTATTTCCTAGATTTCCTTAAGTCTTGGTTAATTTGATTTGCCTTGATAAAAAAATTATGGGTTTTGCAGGCTACTTTGAACTGTATTGGTTTATTATTTTCAATAATCAACTATTGTGATGTGATCGACCAAAAAATTAAAAAACTTAACCCCCTCTCAAAATTTGACGTTTCACGTTACAGGATGCGTAGAATTCGAAAAACGAATAAAAATCTTTTTGTCCGTCTGCCGTCCGCGCATTTTCTCCGAAACTACTGGACTAATTTTTTTTTTCAAATTTTGATATAAAATCAGAGGTCACCCGAGGCTGGTCCTCCTTCATCGACATTATTACTATCCGCCTTTTACTTTCAAAATGGCAGGCCGAAAAACATGCGTTGCTATAGACTGTAGCTCCGAAACGAATGTACAGATTTCAATGAGACTTCGCTAAAGTCATTTTCTCGACGCCCTTTAAATTTATCTATATAACATACTTCAGCGAAAAGAAGCTGGGAAAAAAGTACGAGGGATGATAAAATTAAATTCCGAATATCTCAAAAAGTTTATACTTTTTTGTTGAAATTGTATATGGTTTTTAAAAACTTTACGAAGTTTCCTAAAAAACCAAAAAAAAAATCTTTAATATCGGACAATTATGAGCAAAGATTGGTCTCTGTTTTTTTTTTATATGTTCTACTAGAAATGTTATATCCTTGGTTTGGTTTTTAAATTCTGAATGTGTTACTGAAGTAATGCTATTTTATTTTTTAGCATATTACTAATGATTAAAAAAAAGTTTAGTCCAATAATTGGAATAATTGTTTATTTTTCTTTGTAACTCGGAAGGTAATGTTAATTTAGATGTATAATTGTTTAGGAATAATAAACCATTGTGAAATAATTTGCAGCGTTTTTTTTTGGTTAAGCTTAAGAATTCCTCAAGCATATTTATAAATATTCTAAGATTTGTTTTAAGTTACATTCAATTTATCCTTAAATTAATATTTAACTATTATGTTGTTTATTATCTTAGACTACAATGGAGTATTTACCATATACTATAATGCATGTTCAGGCACGGTTCTATAATAACAAGAATTGATTAAGGATTTTTTATAAATAAATAAATCGCTGAAATTTGTTTTGTTTTTCAGGTATGGAGGTAACAACATGAACCCACAAGCCAATATGAATCGAGGTTACAATCGCTACCATATGCAGCAGCAGCAGCAACAACAGCAAGCAACTGCTGGAAATGGAAGCAATGAAATGTACATGTCAGCACCACCATATATGGACCCGACAGCTGGAATAGTTAACCATAAGTTTTGGGGAGCCAGGGGTGGAAGCTGTGGGTACCAGGGGGCAGGAGCCCCTCAGTCAGCGACCACTCACTACTACCCCGCCCAGCACCATGGCCCTCCTTCGCACCCCCCTCCACAGGCGTTCTATCAATACGCTGCTCAGCCCCAACCTCAGGCTGTTCAGCAGTAAGCAGTCTTATATCTATTGTTCCATAAAGAAAAAAATAGGTTTAACTACAAGTTTATCTTTTCTTTTTTTCTTTTTTTTTATATATGATACTTCTTTTTTTTACAATAATTATTTTGTTTGTTCTTTAGTTAATTCTAATTGTGTATTATACAAGTAGCCTATAACGATTCATCAGGATTTTTTAAACCTTAGTTATAAATATAACTTCCTCGGTGGGCTTCTAAATTGTTTTCTTTGTTTACTGATTTGCATTATAAATGTTCCTAGATTCTTGAATCATTTCCAGGCACTATGATCTTATTTTATTTTTTATGGTTTTTGCTAACAGACCACTAAGGCTGCTCCTTTGTTTCAAGTTGTCCTAGGCTGTAGTTACGAATCAGCTCTAACCTTAAAGGCCTGTTAATTAATTTTACGGTTATATTGAGGTACTGATTATTTAACCTTATTAAATTAGTTATCTTATAAGGAAGGAATTGGGACCTTTTATTTTATTATTCTCCCAAATAAATTCTAATTAGATTATTTCTAAATACTGTAGTGTATTGATATTCCATTAAAGAGAAATCACTTTGGACTCGGATAAGTGTAATTTATAGTTAAACTATGTGCGAAATTTATCCTTGCGCAATAAATAAGACGGTGAACTTCTAGCTTTTAAAGTATGCGGTAATTTCCTGATCGGGAGAACATATTGAGGTATTGGCTGCCACTGTATACGTTAGCTGTACAAATAAGTCGCTCAGTTATCAGTTATATAAGGATTGGAAACATAGTTTCTAGCAACTATCGGGCGTTAAAGAACTAAGAATTTTTTTTTTCTGTAATTGTTATTTATTTATTTTTTTGGATCGGTGAACTTAATATCTACGAGAAAGTGGCCACTTTGATTTGTAGAGAAGTAGCTAAAGAAATACTAAAGATTGTAGGTCTCTAGTTATGTGATGTATTTATTTTCCTGTAGTATTAAGTGAATTAAAAAATTGAATTTGAAATAATGATTTTAATTTATATTAAAAATGTATGTTACGGTTAGTATGTAGGTTTTTAAATTTACCGAACCAAAACTTTGTTATTAAAACTCACTAGTTTTGATACTTTTTGTAAACTGTAGAAAAGTAATTGTATTCTTTGTTTCGATTTATCCGAGCGATGGCTTTAATTTCAGTTAGTTAAGGAATTTATGGGAGTAATTTGTCTTATATGAATATTATTTTTTTCTATTTCCCTATATGTGGTAGTGTTTGTTCTAACCTGACACTTGCACTTAATATAATTGTAATATAAATAATATCGTCTCACTGGAATTGCTTGAGGTTTTGTACTCTCTAACTACTACCCTCTAGACTTGTAAGCAATTAAACCGAATTGCTAACTCAGTTGGCACTCTAGTTGTGTGTATGTGTGTTTTAACTATATTCTCTCATTGTGAGGCATTTGATGGTTTTATAGCTTTGTATATTTAGTCTTCTATTTGCTTGTTCGATTAAAAAGTATGTTATTGTCTAATTAAGTATATTAGTGTATGAAAATAAAATTACTCTGTATGCTATCGAAATGCACTAAATTATAATAAAAACATTCAAAGAGGGGAATATATTAGTTATTAAAATGGGAATATTGTGATTGTATCGTTTCTTTTAAGTATTCTTTTATTCAATTTTTAATAAAATTTGGATTGTTAAATATATTGATTTTGCTTTAAAAGATAAAGAAAGTCGAAATTAAATAGATGTTAAATATTGGTTCATTACAATCCAATTTTTATGGATTAAGAATTGAACAAGATCGAGAGGCTGCTCTTACATTTGGTAGAAGATAACTATTTCTATCTAACAATTTAAATTTACCTAGCCTTTAAGTATGTGGAAGCACTTAATACTTAATGGGAATTTCGAAAGTGGGATTGGTAACTTGAAGTCATATCTTATATTGATTAATGATGATAAAAAAAAGAAGTATATATTTATGTATATTTATTTTCTATAATATTATCAAAGAGGATACTGATTAAATATATAGTATTGCTCTAAACTGCCTCACTTCTTAAATTGTTCATTTAATTTTTATTAAAAGCATAGTTTAGGTGTAATCTCATAATTTATTTTCCTTCTATTTCAGATATATTGAATTACAATCCCCTGTGTTCCATGGCTATTTGCTAGAACCGTACTAGTACAAGCAAGTACACATGTACTATTGTCGGTTGAATTACATCATCAAACAATGTGATTTACCACTTTTAATTGAGAATAGTCATTAGGATTAAGTTGTTTTTAATAACTCGTGGGAGCAGCCTCGACATATATTTGTTTGATTTTATTGTTTATCAAAGGTATTAGTTGATTAAGATTTTCTTAGTCATATTTGACTAGATCTGAAGTATTTTGGTATTTCGTAAATAGTTTTGAAAGGAAGAAAGCTTTGTGAACCATGTGGATGACAAAGCAACCCCTAGATATCTATCCACTAAGTCAAGGGTCGTTGTACATATGAAATAGTTTGTTGTAATACGTACTAATAGTAGGTAAAAGAATATTTGTAATAATAAATTTTTCACAAATGGGTAAAAGTAATAAGTTTTATAGAGCATGATAATAAGCAAGTCATGTTTAATCTGCAATTTGTTATTATATAAATGAGGTATATATATTTAAACTTTTAATAAATATATATAAATATAGACTATGTATTACTTAAGAAAGCCAAGTATTTGTATTTTGTTTGTTTTTATTACTTTTTTATTTATTTATTATTTGTTGAGGTAAGAAAGATTACACTTTACCTGTGATATTATCTAAACTAGCTGTATTGTGAGTGTATTGAGGACACCTGAGTATATTGCAGTTAATTTTGATATTTGTTAATAAGAAAAAAACTGTAATAAAAAAATCTAGTTAAGAACTTGTGTGTCCAAAAAAGGGAGAAAGGTCGGTCTGCGTTTTTTTTTTTTTTTTTTCTGTATTATTTTTCCCTAAATTTTACCCGCAGTAAATCCAAAGGTAATTTCGTTATTTAATAGTTTGATGTAGGAATTTTAAACAGTAATTATTTAAAACTGCCATTCTTCCCGTCTCCCGATTTTGTTCTCTTTTTTTTCTATAATATTTTTATTACAGTGTATTTTTATATATTTATATGTATATTATTGATTCACATTTGTTATACCTTAAGTGGACATACATGGAGTATGGGATTCATACTAGTGTCTCTATTGTGATATTTTTCTCGAAGACTGATCTCGCTTTGCGAACATATATAGATTTATTTTGTAATCATGTTTTGAAAATACTATGATACTACAATAATAAAAATATATCAAATAAGACTTATGGAGTCATTTTTTGATTTAAATAGTGAGCGAATTTGTATTTAAAAAAAAAGCAAAAAAAAAACAAGATTTTATATATTTCCTTGTTGGACATTGTACTGGGTAAACGGAATTAAATATAAGGGGTTTTAATGGCTGTTATTGATTAAATATTTATTTTTTTTTTAAATTAATGAATTCGGAAATGTGTTTTTAAGACTACTGAATTTAGATTTTGTAGTATATTTAAAAACTATTTTATTAGGGATTCGCTCACGGTATAGTCAGATCGCCCACCTTTCTCACTGGGAAATGGCATGCAAACAAGTCAATAAATATGTTTGTAATTATTTAGATGACAAGCGTGTAAAAGTGTAATTTAAAATTATTGCTAACAAGATTACCTCTCATAAAGAAGTGTAAAAATATTTCACAACTATTTTATACATTGTTGATTTATTATTTAATATATATAAAATAGAGGAAAAAGTTTTTATTCTATAAGACTTTCTTAACGGGTGATATTTTTTATTAATTCCTAAAGTAAAGATTAAAAAATGAAAAAAAAAGATAAGAAGTTGCAGTAACTGATTTATTTTTGTTTTTGTTTTTTTACCATGACAGTTCTAAGATGAATTAAATTGTACTAGTAGTTAAAAGTTTTTTTACGACCCTTGTGTACGTGATGGATGCAATTATATGTCATTTTGTTATTCTCTCTCTTCACATTTTTCTAGATTTATCTGTAGATGTTTTTTCTGTGTAAATTTAAAATAAAAAATATTTTACAAAAGACCAAATATATTTAGGAGGAGAGAGGGATGATTGTACTAAACAGAAAAATGCTTGCAAACTATTACATCTCCTCAAAGATTTTCCTTGAAGTGCATTTCTCATATGTTATACAGTATTATTGAATTAAATTTAAAGAATAATAAAAAGCATTCTCTTAATATAACTCTAGTTTCATTTAGCCTAACCTATCCATTTATCCTTTATCCTGTTTCTTTCCTACATAACATCTATTTGCTTGAATTTAAATATGTAAATTTGTGTGGGGTGTGCTATTCTATATGTATTTTACCTATCATACAATTTTGAGACAGGGCAGGGTTTAAAATTTTTAATTTCTCAGTCTATTACATAAGTTCATTATTAAAAATATAAACCATATATTTATCTTCACTAAGAATGATGTAGAGATGGTTGACCGTTGATATAATATGAGAACTAGTTAGTCGGGAGTGCGGTCAAATAAATACTAAATTAAAATATAGTTGGCAAAATAAAATAATTACTATATTTTAATTTAGGATTTATTTGACCGCACTTCCGACTAACTCCTCATATCTTCACTAAGCTTTAGCGTCTACTATTCCACATTTGGTGGGGAAGAAAATAGTGCCTACAAGCAGTTTTTTAACAAATTTCCTTTCCAACTCGTTCTTATTATGATTAAAAAATCTATTTGGAAAATTTCCACTAGGTAATAACTTCTTGCATATGCAAAATAAGGTGTCAGAAAGGATGGATTAAAGGGCTCCATCATATACAGGAATTGTAGTGGTATCTGTGATAACTTAAGTTACATTACAACATAGCTATGAAGAGGAAGAAACAAACTAAATTCAAGATAACAAACTTAAAATGAAAGTGAGAACGAAGAGGATTGCAATGAAACCGATTATCATGTGTCTTAAAGTATTATTGTTCGTGTAAAATTATATTTAACAGGACTTCAAGAAACCCTTAAACACCATTTCAGATAAGTAGTTTCTTTTTGTTCCAAAGTAATTATCGTTATAGATGAAAAAAATAATTTCGGGCTGAAGCCCCCCAAATTGAAATCCTGGATCTGCTGGTGGTACTAAAGACAATGAACACTCAACACCTGGTCCATCAAGAACAGCAAACTGAAGGAGAATGCTCTAAATTTTGGAAAAGTGAATTACATGTGGGTTAGGCCTACTGGGGATATGATTAAAAAAAATTAACCACCAAAGCTATTGATTTTATGAAATAAAGGTTATATAACTTGTAGGAAAAATTCTCTTGTTTCATTTTTATATAAATGTTTTTATTGTGAAATGAGTCGGAAAGGAAAAAAAAAACATCTTTTAGGCTGAAGTTTGGTAAGAGCACATCAAAATCTATTAAATTACCCATTTTCAAAACTTTCCTGGTAACTTCCTTTTTAGAACAAAGTGACTACTAATAGTGTAAAAGGAAAAGTCTGGATTTACCTAAGTGTTTGTTGGAAATAAACGCCTATAATTGAATTTCATTTTAAATTTTATATTTATTTATTTTTTATTTCCTTTATTTTTTACATTAGTTAATTTTTCATGTAGCTTTACATACATATAGAATAAGTATAGCGACATTAAAGGCGAAGAAGCAGAAAATCAACATTTCAAAAACTCAGTCACCATATTTGAGAAGAAAATTCTTATTAAAACTATTTATTTTGTTTAATATCATTTTCAGCTTTACTTCTGATGGTAAAATAGAAATCCTGAAACAATTGAACCACTAATCAGTTCTCTATTGACAATTGACAATACACATGCAATGGGTAAAAAAAAAAAGAAAAGGATTGGCACATCCTATTTTCGATCTATGACCGCAACATGGTCACTGAAAAATATTCTAAAGATCAAGAATTTAAAAGAGGTTTGAAAGTGTACTACTTAAAAGGCGATCCTTAAGCTGGTGGTCTTGTATGGAAGTGAAAGGAACTATAAACTTAAAAAATGGGTAATTGGTAAAAATATGGTGAAGATTTTGTGCAGGATTTATTGTAGGCCCAATGCAACAAGCTCAGACAACAAATTAGAAACTGATATATTTATTTGAATCATGTGATGTCTCCATCATTAAGAAAGTAAAGCTTGGATGGTTGGGTCAAATGCAGAGATTGAAAGAAAATAGAATCCTCAAAATGATTAGGGTTGCACATCCAGCAGGAAGTTGATAGGAAAACCTAGGTAGAGCTGACAGGAGGACGAAATGACCTGAGGAGGCTTGGAGTTGGGAGTTGAAGGAGGCTGATATAGGACAGCGTATATTGGAGGATTGTTGAAGAGGATAGGGTTCTTCATGGGTCAGAGTGCCATTGGAGATGGAGAGTTTTGTAGTTAGACAGTTGCGTGGGTTTAGATTTCATGGTGTGGTTCTTACTGGATGAGTAACATAATAAAACAAGAATTATATGTATTAATATACTTATGTTTCACCTGATGTGAGGATTGTGTTCCTTGCCAAAGACATCTCCTGGAGTCACAAGAATACCAGTTTCTTCTAATAATTGTATAGCATAAAACGTTGAAGGATTGTAACATTTTCTTTTCCCTTCTTTAATTGCTTTTTCAGGAACATATATCTATGCAGAGAAAAAAATATATATTGAATGATTTTTAAAAATTGACGTCTTGTACCAGTGGTATAGAGTTATTTAGTTATTTGTTGGGGTATATTAAATTGGACTTAAATAAATAAAATAAAATATCTTTTTTGGTAAATCTGCAGATCAGACATGAAGGATTATTTAGCTATCTTTTTGCCATATTCTAGCATTCGTAATTATATCTCTTTTGTACATGATCAGCTATTAAGATATAAGAAAATAAAATGGCTATACTAGGACTGAAATCATATTGGGGTGAGAAAAGGAATCCACCAAGTCCGTTTTGTCCACTCTCTGGAGATATGATTAATAGGCATTCCTCACTGTAGGGTAAACCGCAACTCTTTCTTATCATTTTTTGGCCTTCCGAATACTATTTTTTGATTCCGAAGTACTACCTTTATCTCCAATCTTTGTTTAATTTGTTTTGTCTGACCTGCTTTAACATTTGTACTTCATAAACCGTAAACCAATCAGCCACTTGGTCTTAACACTTATCCTTGAATTTGATTTGAAGTTCTTCAGGTTTGTGCCTTTCTCCAATCTCTACCATAGTCCAACTCCTGCTTTTCCAGCAGATTATGAAATATATTGGTGTCATTTTCTAAGCTCTTCCTTGGCGTTTTTTTTTTTTTTTTTGTCCTCTTTCTCGCCTTTAGGCTATATGGGAGTTTCTTGGGCAGGGGATTGTTAGAATTAAAAGCCCCTCTTGGTACCTGGGAGACGAAATCGATATTATTTTATCATATTATCTGCTATCTGGGTTGCCAGGCAATGCAATGCATGGTGCTGTGAACACGCGTTAGTCTGCTCGGCCACCCCGTCCCTCCTGAATGTGGTGTATACCGTGCAAAATTTGTTTTCACAAAGGTTATTTTTTTGTAAACTTTTCTCTTCCTCTGACTTACCATATATGTATATATATATTCCTCCCCATACACATCATTGTGTTCTTCCCTTTAAAGGGAATGGAAGCTGCCATCACATCTTTCTGTACCTCTACATTCCAAAGGTTTTTGGTTGTGGTTCCTTGAAATAGACACCTCTTTCAGTATGCAGAGTGGTCTCAGCTTCCTTTGTTACTTAAACTGGAAGAGAAGTCCAGAGGCTATTGATACTATAACTATCATCTGTGGCACAATCTATGCTTTAGAGGTTCTTTTTCAAGTAAGAGTAATAACTTATCTTAACCAGAATGTTCTTATTTCCATACATTAGAGGAAGTACTAAACTGATTTTACTTTTAAAGTCAAGTAAATATTTTTCTGGATTGATTGGCTACCACTTTTAACACAGCAATGGGTTGACAGAACTTGTTTATATTTCTACTTCTAAATATTTTGGCTAATTTCCAGATCAGTTATGCACTCAAAAATATTTGTCAAAAAAATGCACTTTTATACCTTTACCTCTGTGGTCTTAATTTGAAGTTACCTTTGTATAGGCGAAAAGACCTCCTTCCATAGGTGGGCATGAAAAACCCTCAATTTTATTCAATTCATCCACAATCACTTTTGCTTTACATGCAAAACTTTTGAATCTAGATTCAGTTTCTTTTTTCCACTGCTCATAGGATGGATCACCTTCAGTTGGGTGATCAGCAAAAGCATACATCATTATCTGTAATTGTTTTTAAAATATTTATAATTCAAAATTTAAATTAATAAGTGAAAAACATCAATGGTTTCTATAAAAAAATATTGTTTTTGTGCATTGTAAAAATAATAGGAGAAAAAGATATAATTTTATGCATTTTAAACTAATTTTATATATTAATTTATCTCATTCAGTTGAAAACAATGGTGGACAAAAACTTACTGATAACCAAACATTAGTCATTTTCAAATAAATTGAGTGTCAATTATCACTCGATCAAACGAATTAGTTTTCAAGAGAAAAATTATTAGTAGTTTATATCCAACCAGTAAGACTTTGAGAAAACAATTTAATTAAAAATGAATGAATTTGTATCATTATAAATCAATGAAGCAACCCAAAGATATCAGTTAAGATTTAAATTTTAATGCAAAACATTTAGAGCGTTGTATATATATATACAACGCTCTCTCTCTCTCTCTCTCTCTCTCTCTCTCTATATATATATATATATATATATATATATATATATATATATATATATATATATTTAACAATATATATATATATATATATATATATATATATATATATATATATATATATATATATATATATATATATATATATATATATATAAAGAACTTGACTAATTTTCATAAAACTTTTTAAATGACAACAACAATTTATGTCTGCTTCTATTAATTTAATCTTTTCTATGGGGTTGTCAACACTTTAGATGACATGGCCATAGTTAGAAAAAGTAAACATAAAAAAAAAACACTCATTATTTACTGCAAATTGAACTTATTATTACCTAGATTATCTAATTATTGATCTTGCAAAAATTACATGATACTTTAAAAGTAATTGTTAATGAACTTATGACATACTTGACCTATACTATTAGGGCATTTGGTTACAGATAAATATTTTTCCAAATGGTGCATAATTTCTTTATCAAAGTTCTGTAATTCCATTAAGCCTCCTCTAATTCCAGTCTCTCCCACAACATCTAAGTGGAGAAACATGTAATTTAGCAATTGATAAGTAGGAATAAATTAGTCTCTCAGAAATTCCTTTAGGTAAGTCTATGTCTCTTATCTTCAAACAAATATTTATTTCGGAAGTTATAAAAATTATTTTTTGGAGTTATAAAGTAAATATAAGAACTACAGAATCATTTTCATGGGTGCATCAGAACTCGGGAATTATGTGGGATGTTCAGTTATTACAAAAACGAAGGAGCTAATAAATAGGTTGTCAGGAGTGTGCTGGGTCTTCATGGAAGAGGCGAGGCCATCATGATAAAAGAAGTTCTCTTGTACACCTCTATAGCTCTCTTTCGAAAACATGCCATTGTCACCAATTTTATGAGAGTTCTAAAAGCAATTGAAAAATCAAGAACTCAACAACAAAATTAATGCAAGAAAATCAAAAGATAGTACTGTACATAGATAGGGTATGTGTTAATGTATGTGATCTGTGTTAACAAGAGAGCCGATGCTGCTGCTAACTCAGTTCAGCGTCAAGATGTTCAACAGATCAAAATAATTGAGACCATCCGCAGAGAAGACTGGTCAACCAGCCTCATCTTAGAAGAAAAACTGGGATCTGAGTTTGGCAAAACTTAACTAAGGGGTATTAAAAAAAAGTGTACCTGATAAAAACTTCAGACCGAAGATCAAGACAAAAAAGGTTATTGTCTTTTGCCTTGGTGTCAGGCACTGTGCCCGAGGGTGTTTTATGTGAGGTTTGGAAGCCCCATTTGGCACCCATTGCTAAGATAAGAAAACAGTAAAGTATGTTCTTTTATATTGTAGTACCTGAACTAATGTAGGTGTGAACAACAATTTGACATTAGGATTTAAAATTGTGATTCAATAAGCCTTAGTTAAAGGGGAGTAGAGATTAAACAAATAAATTTAATTTAAAATGTATTTAAGGGACTGGATGTTTACTTGATTAAAGACTATTATTTTTTATTTTGGGATAATAAATACACAATACACAAATTATAAAACCTTTTTATTTAAAAAAAATAAGTGGGAATATATATTTTAAAATAGCATTAATTTTTATTAAGAACTATTGAATGATATAGATTTTTCCCCTATTATTCAGAGGCTTTTTTTAAAAAATAAGTTTTAAAGGATAAAGTAGATTAAAAAAAAAAAATGAAACTGACAATTTCAATCAAGGAAGTTTGGACGAAATGTTGACTAATTTATTTTATTTATACATAATTATTTTTCAAGTACAAATATTTTGTTTCCATATTTGTAGCATCCATTTCATTTATTACAAAATTTTCATTTAGATTGAATAGTTTCATTATTAGCTTTTATAAGATCTACGTGATTTGTAAGGGTATTAGTCATAATAACTATGAAATTACTTTATTTTTTAAAAAGTATAAATCCTCAGAAATTAACTAAATATATTTAATGATTTTATTTCAAAATTATCTTACCCTTTGAGAGGCCAAATAAAGATACCATTTCCATTTCTGAATAAGGTTTACCCATATCGGCCATAACTTTCTTAATGGAATAAAATTTGTTTCCCTCATAAACGTTTCTTTGGTAAGTCTAAAAAGCCATTAAACTTATACATAAAATACATGTTAGAATATATTTCATGCAGATGAATTATTAATAAAAATAAAGTGAATGTTATATATGACCAAAAGAAAAAATAAACTGGCCAATAAAACAAAATATTAGAAATAATTATCTTTTAAAGTACTATAATTAAATTAAAAAAGGGACTGATAATAAATTAATGGTTACATTATGTAATGTGAGTTTTATATTGGATATAAATTGAAATACAAATAAAAATATGAAAACATTATTTATAGGAATAAGTTTAGCTGACTCCATGATTTTTTTTTCGACAGAATCAACTGATCTGAAGTAGCACTTTTTACTCGAAAATGGCTCTAACGAGACACTTGTTCAAACTTTTTTAAGGATACATAATTTTTATTCAGTAAATCAACACCTTTCTGGGAAAATGGAAGATATAAATTAAATTGATGAGAGTATGAAGATATGAATTTTAAGGAATATTTTATTAATAAAATATGTTCGTTACCTCATCTACTATGAGTATCATCTTTTCCTTACATGTGAACTTTACTATTTCTTCCAATTCATTTAGCCTTAGTACTGTGCTAGTAGGATTGGATGGATTGATTATGACCATGGCTCTTAGGGCATATTTCTCTTTAGCATCTGCGATTGCACATTCCATATTTTCTGTAGTTGATGCCCAACAATTTTCTTCATCTAACTCGTAGGAGATCTTAAAATATATCTCTATTATATGAATCAAACTTTTCAACTTAAAAAAAAATTAAAAGGTTCTGTTTAAAATCATCATTTGAGGCTGGATATGGATATTATGTACTTTTAGGTCTGATCTGACTTGATGCCAAACATATATTTCATAGGCAATAAATTATACTTTCAATTATTTATATAGTGAATAGATACTTTATTAGAGGGATGAGAGAGGGGAAGGGAGGGAAGAAAAAGCATATAAAAAAAATAAAAAATGGTACTGATGAAAATTAACTCATTGTACTGTAGTTTTATAAATCATTTTTGGTTTATTATATTCAATAATCAACCATTGTGATCGACCAAAAAATTCAAAAACTTATTCCCCTCTCAAAATTTGAGGTTTCACGTTTCAGAATGCATTTTCTCCGAAACTATTGGACCGATTTTTTTTTTTTTCAAATTTGGATATAAAATCAGAGGTCACCTAAGGATGATTATCCTTCATCGACATTACCATCCGCCTTTTACTTTCAAAATGGCGGCCGAAAAACCTGTATTGCTATAGACTGTAGCTCCTAAACGAATGTACCGATTTCAATGAAACTTCGCTAAAGTCATTTTCTTGACGCCCTTTAAATTTATCTGTATAACATACTTCAACGAAAAGAAGCTGGAAAAAAGTTACGAGGAATAGTAAAATTTAATTCCGAATAACTAAAAAAGTATACACTTTTTTGTCGATGAGATAAGATGTTTCAAAGGTATTTAAATTTCCTACAAAATGGTTTTTTTAAAAGTTTACGGAATTTCCTTAAAACAAAAAAAAAATCGTTAAAATCGGACAATTATTAGCAAAGATATGGTCTCCAGTTTTTACTTTCACTTACGTATATAAGTAATATAAACGTAAATTTTAATATATTATCGTAGTAATATTACGATATGTAATATAATATCGTAGTATATTACGTAATATATGTAATATCGAGAAAATTTTTGAATCTGAGTTTTCGACGGATTTATACGTTTTGTGGTACCCTGAGTTGAAATGACCAAGTCCCGAAAAATGGTCTGTGTGTTTGTATGTTAGCAGTCTAGCTCAAAAACGAAAAGTCTTACGAAACTGAAATCACGTATTTAAGATAGGTATATGCCTTAATTGTGACGGCAATTTTTTCCTTAAAATCGGCTAACCGGAAGTGCCACTTTATACCGACGCTGAAACACATTTTCACAGTTTTCTCAAAAACGGCTCTAACGATTTTGATTAAACTCGGTGTATCATTGTATAATTAAGTGGTCTTTAATATCAATTAGGTCTTATCCCCATTGATGTCACTTTAGAGGGCTTAAATGCCCAATGTTCATATGCGTCTTCCTCTAAAGTACCTTTGATATGGTTTATTTTAAAAAGTTAATTATTTCGCATTATTCAGAGTCACGAAAAAATGCTAAATATAACTTGAAAGAATTTGATAAGTTAATAAAGGAGAAAAAAAAATAAAAATGCAGAAAAATTTAGCTATAGACTGTAGCGCCTAAACGAATGTAACGATTTCATTGAAACTTCGTTCAAGTCATTTTTTCGACACCCTTCAAATTTATCTATATAACATACTTCAGCGAAAAGAAGCTGGAAAAAAAGTTACGAGGGATGGTAAAATTAAATTCCGAATAACGCAAAAAGTATACACTTTTTTGGAAATGTTGTATATGATTTTCTAAAAGTTTATGGAATAGCCTAAAAAACAAAAAAAAAAAAAAAAAAAATCATTAAAATCGGACAATTAGGAGATATGATATGGCCTCTAGTTTTTTTTTTAATACGTTCTGCTGCAATGGTTATATCCTTTGTTTCGGTTTTTGAATTTTGAATGTGTTAATAAGGTAATGCTAATTTTTTTAGCATATTAATAATAATGATTATAAAGAAAAGTTTAGTCCACTAATTGGAATCACCTTTTATTTATTTTTCTTTGTAACTTGGAAGGTAATGTTACTTTAGATGTATAATTGTTTGCAAATAATATACCATTGTTAAATAATTAGCAAAAAATATTTAGCGAAAAAATACTTAATATAAGTTTTGAAAGAATCTGATAATTGAATAAAGGAAAACAAAATATAAATGCTTATACAGTTTGAAAATAAATCTCTGGAAATATCGTTGGAAAACGGAGAATTTTAGAAAAACAATATCTAATATAGGAAGTTGTAGAAGGTAACGGAGAGCGTCGATAAAATTATAAGTAACAATTTTTGAAAACTGATAATATTTAACGTAAATCACATGCTTTTAAGCATTAACATCAAGGAAATTAAATGGAATTTACTGACAAAATGTAAACTTTAAAAAATCTTTTTACGTCTTTAGAAAGTATTTAAAATCCATCTAAGCAAGTTCATGGTATTGTTAAAAAAACTATTTCAGTGTACTTGTGTGAAAGAAAAAATAAAATATAAAATCATTTCATGGATGTATAAATCATGTGTTTATAATATTAAATACATTTACTGTAGTTTAGTAATTATTTATTAAATTTTTAATTGGTCCACAGTCGTCTTATCTTTTTGGCTACATTCAAGAAATTGCTGTGTTATATATGTGCGTGATGTTATATTGCGTTCCTGGCGTTTGAGAATTTAAAGAGAAAAAAGGAATTTTTTTATTTTATTTTGGGAAAGAGTTTATTATGCTATGTCTATTTAATATGGTTTATTGTTGATAATTTGTAAGAGTATTGTTATGAAAGGGAAGAAAAAAAAAAGAAGAAAAATATAATATAAAATTAATGTCCATATTGGATTGATAAGTATGCTGTGTACGAAGCAACCCTACTTCATAGGATGCTCCTAGGGCAGCATTACTTTTAATAAAGTATTTCTCTCTAAATAATTAGATGTTAAAGTTAATTCCAAAATATTATCATATAACTTTTTAGAAAACTAAATTAGTGAATAATTCGATAGATCTTCCCTTTGTGATATTCCACTACCATTTCATTGTACTTGTGTGAAAAAAAAAAGTGAAATACAAAAATATTTCATAGATACGTTTATAACCCTAAATATATTTACTGTAGTTTAATAACTCTAGATCTCATAATATATTTAAATATTTAGATATCTATCGTCCGTTTATTCCGAAAAATCATCATGTAACCTTTTAGAAAATTAAATTAGTGAATTGTTTGATAATTTTTCTTTTTGCGATATTCCAACAGAATCCACTTACAATTAGTGTGACAACTTTTGACCTGTCTATGACAGATACTGCAAATCTCTTAATTCCGTTTTAATAAACTTTGCAATGGAAAATAACTGTTTAATGACTTATAGTCGTACAATCCATAATCAATGGATCGAACAATCCATAATCAACGAATCGTACAATCCTTAATCAACCGGTGAAATAATAAATAGGACTTTTGTTATTTTAATAGCATTTGTGATTTGTTAGCTTAAGCTCAGTTTAAAATGCAATTTAAAACATTTTATAATAGCCTAACATGGCCAGAAAATAATTTTTATTCAAAGTTAAAAGAGTAATTGAAAGTTGTGTGCTGCGCGCACCAGATTTTTTTATATGTTCTACTATAAATGTTATATCCTTTGTTTGGTTTTTAAATTTGTGTTACTGAAGTAATGCTATTTTTTTTTTTTAGCATATTACTAATGATTAAAAAAAAAAAGTTTAGTTCAATAATTGGAATCATCTTTTATTTATTTTTCTTTGTAACTAAGAAGTTAATGTTACTTTAGATGTATATTTTTTGGAAATAATAAACTAATGTGAAATAATTTGCAGCGTTTTATATCATTTTATTTATACTCTTTTTTCGCTTTCCTCTTTTATCTAGATTAGTTTCTGTTTATCCATTTCTTTAATTGTTAAATGATACAATTGAGCTTTTAAAACACAGGATTATGATATTTTCCAAGATTTTTCTGTATTCCTATTTTTATTTTATTAATAATTTATGTATTATATATTTTATTTAATTTTTAATATTTGCATAGCTATCAAACAATAAGCACCATTGGTCTTTAATTAAATAGACAAATAGTATTATATTTAAAACTAAGTTTATTTAAAAAATAGTATAGCACATTACCTGTTTAAACCCCAATTCTTCTATTATACCATAAGGATAGGAAGGAGAAGGAATAACAACTGCTGGCTGTTTAGAATCTACAAATCCATACAACAATGTCAAGATATTCTGAAAAAAAGAATAATTTGAATAGATAAAAAAAAAATAATTAGGAACTATATTTTAAATTCTACCTTTAGGTAGTATCTCGACAATTCCGTTGATGCCATTATTTCTGATTTACAGGTTGTATTTATTTAATGCAGTTTATTTCAATAAATAAATTTTAAAAATATTTTTAATTAATAAATCATTCATCTTCGTTCCCAGAATTTTGCATCATCTGGCAATGAAGACATGAGCATTCCTTCCCTCCCCAAAAATTTAAAAATGAACTTCTGAATCTATTGTGTATTAATTTACATTTGAATTATAATTAATTCAATATGTTTCTAATTCAGTTTTTTAGTAGATTCAAATTAATTTATCTCCAACTGCTTTATTGTATTTTATAATTCTCAAAATATGGATGCTCTCCTCCACTGAAAGACTAGAAGCTACCACCAGACTCATTCAACAAAATTACTTAGTGCTAGAAATATAGGCTTTATTTCCAATAGGATGGTGAGGACACCCACTAGCGGATCCAGGATTTAATTTTGGGGGCTTTAGCCCGAAAGCTTTTTTTTTTCATAAAAATGACGATATTTACTTTGGAAAAAAAGAAAGAACCTAGCTATCTATATGAAATGGTGTTCAAGTGATTCCTTAAGTTCTTTTAAATGTAATTACACGAACAATAATACTTTAAGAGATAGTTTTTTAATATATTTTTTCCTCCAGCCAGAGGCCAGCACCGTTCGTTCGTTTTCTCTTACAAATAACATTCAAGAATCTTTCTTATTTATGAAGTGTAAGAACTGGCTATTTTACATTTCTTATAATGGTATAAAGATATCTTAATTCTTAAGAACCTTAATTCTTTAATTTACAACGCGGTGCAAATAGATAAAAACTAGCTTGTAAATATTCCTCATGGAAACCTCCTAATTTTTTATATTCCTATGGTATTTTCCGATGGCTTTTAATCTACTGGAAATACTACTAACTTCTCATACCTACCCTGATACCTTCTGTAACCCCACCATTGAGCATCAAATCGTCATGGTCTCTAGAAACTCCACAATCACGCTTGCGTAAGTAGTTAGCCAACTTCATTCTGAACATTTTGACGCCAACCGACTCAGTGCAACCGCCTGTAAAACCCTATTATTTTAACTCATAACTTACAAGTAAGTTAAAAAGAAGGTAATCCAACCTTACCAAGAATCAGTTAAGGATGAATCAGTTTAGAGTTGATATTACTTCAGTTTTGTGATAGTCCAGTTGTCTAAAAGGTTACCGAAATAAACAGGCCCACTGAATGGATAAGAGCAAATGTATTGAACACAGATAGATAGGAATTTGAAAGGATGAGCAGTTTTATCTACTTGGGAGCATAATCTAATCAGGGAAAAAATTCATAAAATCATGTCGCATCGAATGGTTAGGTTCCGTTATAAGGATGCCAATGCCAGCCAATAGAATGCCGAGCAGGTTACTGCATGGTAAAATTATTGGAAAAAGAAGAGTTGGTTGGCAAGGCAGACGATGGATGCAGGAAGTGGAGGAGGATCTCAAAACACTGTAAGACTGTGGAAAGAGAGGGCAACGAAGTAGATTGTTAGGGAAGCCAAGGCGCAGCAGCCCGTGGTGGTAATCATTGTCAGATTCATGGTATAGTGGAATTAAAGTTTAATATGATGTTAAAAATTGGATACAAAATATTATTATATCGTATGAAACGGGGGCGTGGTGGCCGAGTGATATAACTCGTATGCTCATCTCCGTCCGTTCACCGGCAACCGAACAATCGAAGTTATGAATGGTAAAATAGTTACGAGCTCACGTATCGATGCCGTGGGGATCTTTTAACTCTGGCATTAATCCCCCGCCCTCATCCCCTAGTCCGGAAAACCCCGTATAGATTAAAAGGCGAGGAAGGGGGGACAAAAAAAAAATCATATGGAACATCTTACCATCATGATGTATTTATGACACACTCGTACACTATAATAATCTTGATCCATATAAAAACATACCAACACTTCTGTAGTGTTTAAGGATCTCCTTAACTTTACACTTAACGTCGTCAGGAAAGCACTCATCCTCCAGCAAGGGTGGGTACAACGAAGCCGAGGCCACCTGCCGTAAGAAGGTGAGAGGTTTGTAGCCACTCGATTGCATGTCCCCACTGGTCGCCTCCAACATCTCCTCGAAAGGCAGGCTTCCTGGGCACTGCAAGAGGTTGCCTTCATTCCTTTTTAATAAGTTCTAAGCTTACAACACTCCATGCAAATCTTATATGGTCTGAAACAGCAATGTTGATTAATAGTTTATCAGGAACCCAGTGAACGTGCACAATTCCATACACATCGAAAAAAATAATTATCATTATTTTGAATTTTTATTTGAAAATTCGAACTTCTTTGACTCTTGGTGAAATTAGGCTCTTTCAGCGCATGGTTTGGAGTTTCCTTTCAGGATTGTAAGTAAGAAAAAAACACGATTAGCCTATCTACATTAAAAGGAACAAGATTTGAGTCCGTTGAAGCCGTGAAAGAGAAAGTGTTACGCTGAAGCAGATGTCAGAAGAAGACTTCCAGCACCATTTCAGACAATAGAAGGTTCGCGTGGAGCGTTGTATATAGTGGTGGAAGAGAAGTGTATATTGAACATAATAATAAGTAAGTATTTATGAAATCAAAATAAAATGTTTCACAGCATCAGTCTCGTTATTCAATTAGCTTGTATAAGTAAGGATTAAAGAAAGCTAAAATAACTTTTTAAAATCTGGTGATACTGAAACAGAGCAAGGTTTACTCAATGAGTAAGAAACTGTGCTCCTATGATCCAGGTCCCGAGATCGAGTCTGGCTGTGGCACAAGTCAATACATATCAAAACTATGGCTTGAAATTTACAGTCAATTTTTATTTTTAATCAATTTCAGTACGCCTGAAACTTTTATTTCAGGTGTTTTTGTGTTATTTCAGAATTATCTAGAACTTTTTCTCTTGAAAATATTTTATGAAATGTTTTATAGAATCTTTATTTTTAAGAACTTTTACCGAAATGTTCTGTTAAATCAATGAGCAAAAAGGTAAATTTCAAAAATGTTGCGGTAGGTTTTTAATATGAGAATCGAGCTATTCATTCAAGATAATTATTTCTGTAATCGAAGCCCCATTACTGCTTATTTGACAATTAACGTAAGTTTTTTAAGTAATTTAATAATCACAAGTTGAACTTTACGATAAACACAGAACTTTACTCCAAAAAGCTTTTTAGAACTTCTTTAATTTTTACTGTCATTTACATATATATGGAATATATTTTAAGGAAACGTGTTGCGATCGTGAAAATTTTCGAATCCGAGTTTTCAACGGAAATACATGTTTTGAGGTCTCCTGAGTCCAAATAACCAAGTCCCGCAAAATGGTCTGTGCGTGTGTATGTCTGTGAACAGTCCATCTCAAAAACGAAAAGTTGTACGAAACTGATATTACGTATTTAAGATAGATATATGCCTTAGATGTGACAGCAATTTTTTCCTTAAAATCGGCTCACCGGAAGCTCCATTTTATATCAACGGTAAAACACATTTTTACAATTTTCTCAAAGGACGGAAATGTGGAGAAGAAGAGGAGGAGAGTTTGGTGGAGGAGAAAAGACGGCAATGAGATAGAAAAGGCCGGGTATAGAGAGGAGGAATTGGATGAAGGAAGACAGAAGATGCCATGGATGTGGAAAAGTAGGATATCTGGTAGCAAATTGTTCGCTGACCAGATGTTTTGAGTGTGGAAATGAGGGACACATCGCAAGGCAATGTGTCTATATGAGTAGGCGAGGACAAACAGGTCACACAAAGGTTGTGGATAAGGAGAGGAGCAGAATCATCAGGGACTTCCGGAACGGAAGAAGATGGAACCGAACTAAGAGAGAGAGGATCGAACTTGAGGAGGAGCTCTAGGAAACATAAGTAGCAGGAGTAATAGAGAAACAGGAATAGCGGCGGAGAGGAGAGGAAGAAACGAAGAATGAGGAGAGTGAGAGAGGAGCGGCAAACACGCGGTAATAAAAATATAGGAGGTGAGTGCGTTAGTTTGCCAATTATAAGGGTCGCGAGTAGAGTGAAGTTTTTGGTAGACACTGGTAGCTCAAATACAATAATGAGCCGAAACATATTAGAGAAGTTAGAGGAGGAGTGTAAAGGAGAGAGGATACCAGGCATACAGGTATGTAAGTGCAAATTAATCACTTTGGGTGGGCCTTGTAGTGTAAAAGGGGAAGCAGAATTAATTTTGGATAAATTGATGAGTGGGAGCGGGATATTGCGGGTCCACATAGTGAAAAATATGCCCAGGAATTACGTGGGCATAATACGTTGCGACTTGTTAGGCAAAGCGGGAACACGGATATACAGTAAGGGCAGGCGTTGGGTCATCCGAATTGGACTGAAGAGATATCGATGTAAGAAACTTACAATAGAAGGAAAAGTGAGTATAGGACCAATCGAACAGGAGGAGCACTGGGCACAGAGGATAAAAATAGAATACACAGATTTTTTTTTTTTAAAGACGAAGAGGTGTTGAGCGCAACTGAGAGAACTTTATATGAAATCCCGTTAAAATAAGAGAAGTTGACAAACGTGAAGGAACGACGTTACTCACAGGCTTAGCGGCGGCATATCAGGGAAGAGCTAGAAAGCTGGAAAAATCAGGGTATCATTGTGGACAGTACTTCGCCATACAATAGTCCCTTATGGGCAGTCAAAAACAAGTCTGCAGAAGGAGATGAGAAATATAGGGTAGTAGTGGACTTCAGAAAACTCAATAAGATCACTTTGGATGAAAATTACTCGATCCCACGATTCGAGGATATCCTCGACAGACTGAGTGGGGCCATAATCTTCAGTACTCTGGATTTGAAGGCACGATATCATCAAATAAGAATGCATCCCAGATATCAACACAAAACGGCGTTTTATTTTGAGAGGGGGCATTACGAGTTTACTCGGATGTCATTTGGGTTGAGGAACGCTCCTATAGCCTTTCAGAGGTTGATGGACGAATTCCTGAGAGGGCTGGATGAAGCATTCTGTCAGGTATACATGTATGACCTTCTGATCTTCAGCAGAGACGAGTGTGAGCATATGGACCACATGCGCCGTGTATTGAGGCATTTCGGGCTGAAACTGTCAGTCGAGAAATCAAGTTTGGGGCAGGAGCAGATATCGTTTTGTGGACATTTCGAAGGAAGGGATTAGGCCCGATAAACAAAAGGTAGAGGCATTCCAGAGAGAGAGAGAGAGGATAGGTACAGCACGTTGGAGAGGGAACATTTGGGTATAGTATAGGCAGTGGGACATTTTAGGCCGTATATTTCTGGCCGGAAATTTAAAATTCACACTGATCACCGACCTCTGCTATGGGTAGGACATCTACAAGAGTCATCTGCTCAAATTGCAAACAATTTCTGAGCCACTACAACATGGAAATCAAGTATAAGCCTGGTAAGGAAAACGTAGAGGCGGATTGGCTGTCTATGGTCATCACCATAAATGCTATCGAAGAAGAAGAAGGAGAAATATCGCGGGACGTGTGGCATTTTCTCAGAACATGGACACCAGAAAGAGAAGGGGAACGTGAGAACGCAGGGACATAGGAAAGAGAGGAATCCCGAGAAGATGGGAACTCGATCGAAGAGAGATCAAATGACAGAGGAACTCGAAGAAAGCGTCAATGACAAACGACGCCAGGTAATTTGGAAGACGAAAACTTTGGGAATGACGAAAATATATTACAGCCGATTTGGAAAAAACAAGATCACCCCTATTTGGTCACAGCCAGGAGTGTGTGAAGAAGAAATCTGTAAGGTGTTACAGGATGCATCCGAACCAAGGAAAATACACTACTTTTACGTGAGAAATGCCATGATAAGGAAAAAAATTAAGAACATATGCAAAACCAAAAAAAAATAGGCGTAGATATGGTTTTTGTTCGGTGTAAATACTTAGTGGAAACGGTGGCGGATGTGGAGCAGCAGAAGGAAGTAATGTTGGCGTATCATCAAGATAAAATCAATCACCGTGGGATAAATGAAAAACTACAGGCACTGCACAGGAGATACTTCTGGGAGGGAATGAAAAAGACTATCGTAGAAATCATAGGAGCATATGAAGTCTGCGCGTCCACAAAATACGATAGACATCTCCCATAAGGAAAACAGGAGGAAACACCCACTGGAGACATGTCACTAAAGGACCTACAGATCGACACTTTTACATGGAGGGGATTTAAATGGGTAACGATGATCGACCTCTTTAACAAAATTGCAATGATGCACCGAGTGCAGGACAGATCTTCGCAGGCTGTCGTGAGGCTTGGGCTCAGTTTTATGGAGTGCCAGATAATATAACATCGGACGGAGGGAGAGAGTTCAACAGTGCTACCATAAGGGAAGAAGAAAAAAGGCTAGACATATTCTGGCATTTCAATACACAGGGGCATCCCAAGACCAGAGGGGGTATTAAGAGATTACACAGCACCCTAAGTGATCATCTGCGTGTGTATCAAGGAGAACAAGGTTTACAAGCAGATGTAGCAATGAGGAAGGAAGTGGCAGCCTACAACTATTCCATACATTCGATCACACGGTTCTCGCCGGTTGAAGTGTTAATTGGGATAAACATACGGAGACGAGACTGGAAAGGAACAGGAACAAATGAAAAACGGACAAAAGAAATAATCAATAACAGGGTGGAAATGAGAAAAATCTGGGAGGAAGTAAAGGAGAGGTTAGAGAGGGAGAAACGAAAAATTATAGCAAAAATCAAGGATAGAATGGGAGAAATCAAAATAGGGACGATAGCATATAGGAGGATATGATCCAATAGAGGGAAAGAGTTATTGCGGTATGATGCCCCATTTAAGGTGATCGCAATTCGAAAACACAGTATTCTCACAATTCAAAGTTTAAATGACCCCCCAAAAAAGAGGACTGTTCATGTTGAACAGTTAAATTACCAATGGCAGAGTCAAAATTACAGGAGTAAAGTGTGGTATGTCTTTTTTTCTGATTCCCAGACTCATGTACAAGAGTGTTAAGCAGATATACAGAACATTAAGATACCAAATAATTTATTTTCTGGAACGAGATATCAAGTTCAATTCTTTTTTAGTATTATAAATTTTACTATAGGAACTAACATGTCATGACTTTCTGTATTTGTGGTAAACTTTTCTGTTCTTTATTTTTGTATTGATTATTGATATATTTTAACCTTGCATTAGTTTATGAAGGATGTTCATAAACTGGCGGGAGGGTGTTATGGTTAGTGGTAAACTTAAATTGTGTTTAATCCTATTTAGATAATTAAATACATCGATTAAATTAAATAACTAATTAAAACATACGATTATATATTCTGGGATGTTATAACGATTGTTAGATAATAAAGTGTGTTTTTGTGACCAGCAAAAGTGTTTTATTTCGCATCTCTTTTTCTTTTTTTATTATCTATCGTCTGGACGTTTGTAAAGTTATATATATATATATATATATATATATATATATATATATATATATATATATATATATATATATATATACATATATATATATATATATATGTACCGCAAGTTCGCTTAGCTACGACGCTGCTTCATTATACACCTTTGTAAACTCATGAACTTTGTACCCAACATAAAGTAATCCCTTGGATGGTCAGGGATAGTTTTTGAAGCCAGGATAGATTTTTTTAATGACGATATTTTACTAAAGTGTGAGGGCTATTTCGTACCAACTTTATAATTTACTAAAATACGCAACTGGCCTTGAAGTAACAGCTTAATGAAATATGTAATTAACAGATTTTTTATTTAAACAATTAAATAAATATTTGTATTAAATTTTGAGCTGTACTAATCTCAAACTATCAATGTTAATAATGCTTTCACAATTTGCACGATAAGGTGTGTGTACAAATGACTCTCGGATATAACGAAGTTGAATTTGATAAGAAAATTATAAATACCTTAAAATGTTAGGATGCCACTTTCTTTATATATATATATATATATATATATATATATATATATATATATATATATTATTTATTATATTATATATTATTATATATTATATTATATATATATATATATATATATATATATATATATATATATTATTTATTTATTTTTTGATAACAGTTATTTGTTTCTTTTAAATATATTTATATTTTAAAATTATAAATTTGCATGACTATGATCAAGTCATTTTTATAGTTAAACATGTATTTAATTATGTTACATTGTTTTCATTAATCCTTAAATGAGTAGATAAGCTTTATTTAAGATAATTTCATGAATTCAGCCTACCTGCTTAAGTCTTTCTTTAAGTCGTTTATACCTCAGATAGACCGGATCGTCTAAATCCATCAGGAACAAATCTCTAATATTTGGATTTATATTTTGTAAAGTTAACGATTTCCCCCTCACGAAGAATATATTACTTTTATAGAAACATCTAGTTAAAAAATATACATTACTCATCATTATTAATTATATTAAATAAAACAATTTGTTTAATAAAACCCAACTGGTGGTATATCGAAATCATATCGATCACATGATCTAGAAAAAAAAATAACGCATCTCGCTTTTTCATCTATAGTTTCAAATTTTAAAGTAGTTTATTCTGTTTTTGAAAGTTCTTCCATGAAATTATCACGTAAAGGCATGTCTACACTAAGCGAAAGTTCGGGGATAAATGCCTTCGCAACGCCTCCCACTAGGACGAGCTATCGCTACGGTTGGACATTGGGTTTGGGAGAAAAAAAAATAAAAGTTACGATTTGGAAGTTTAGCTGCATTAGTGACAAACTAATATCGTTTCCCCTACGTGTCCAATAATTTTTAACTTAAGTGTCGCATTAATAATGCCCTGAAGTGAGACGATAGACGAAATGAGAACCATCTGTTTTATATTTAAATCTGGTTTGCTGGAACTTTTTGTTGAAACTTAATGGTATGTGCTGGGCAGAATAAGGTACTTTGAATGAATCTTAAGACAGCTAAAATATAGGTTTTTAAATATATACATTGTTGTTACGACGTTTCAAGCAATTTTGGCCCATTTCACAAATCGCCCGAAAAACAGATCCCATTATTACCAAAGGTTTGAACTTCTAAAAACAGTTTTCAGACCTTGTCCTAACCCATCATCCCGGAAGTTATTTAGGATTTAACGACGTTGTTTTTAGAGTGACTCCCATTACTTTTTATTTATTTAATGTTTTTTTACTAACGTATTCGAGTTACTATCAACCCAGGTTTTGAGTAAGTAATATCTAATTGTCTATACTGTAATATAATATATGTATGTCTATAATACCAAATTATGAACATATAATGAATTTACAGCTAATTTAAAAAAAAAATTATTATTACATACATGCAACTTTATATATTTATATTTTATTATAATATGTAGTAATGAAATAGGTAATAAATTATACAGTATCTGAACAATGCAAGTCTTACAAGACATAAATTTTAAACAATATATTAGTATCTATCGCCAATATTTTTACAATATTTATTTTACGTGAATGACTTATACTTCAAATAACTTACATTGACTGAAATAATTATTTTCACACGAAATAATTATAATTCACACTTAAATAAATAATTAAGTGCACGAAGTACTAATTATTTAACATAAAACTTGATATAAATGGCAATCGATATGTTTGAGCAATAATGTTGAAAATATTTTGTTTATAGAATATTTGATTCAAATAAACCAAATAGGTTGACGTTAAATAATAAGTGTCTCGTGCAAAATAATTATTTCAAGAAATGCAAGTATTTCAACTAAAATAAATATTGTAAAAATATTCGTGGTAGATAACAATATCATGTTTAAAATCCACATCTTGTGGTTGGTATTGTTTAAATATTGTATAATTTATCATCTATTTCATAACCACCTATCATAACAAATTTTAATATATAAAGTTACATGTATGTAATAATAAAAACAAAATAGATATATTTTTAACTTTATTATTAAACTCGGTATTAAACTCGTTGTATGTTTGTAATTTGGTCAGTATAGACAAGCAGATATTATTTAGTCAAGACCTGGGTTGATAGTAATTCTAATACGCTAGTATTTAATTTTTTTTTTAATTAAATAATTAAAAAGTAATGGTAATCACTCTAAATCCTCAATAACTTCCGGAGTGATAGGTTACAGCAAGGTCTGAAAACTGTTTTTAGAAGTTCAAACCTTTGTTGACAATAGTCTATATCTGTTTTTTCGGGCGATTTGCGAAATGGACCAAAATTACTTGAAACGTCGTAACAACTATGCATATATTTAAAAACCGATATTTTAGGATTCACTTGGAGTACCTTATTCTGTCTAGCACACACCCTTAGGTTCGAACAAAAAATACCAGCAAACCAGTCCTAAATATAAAAAAGATTGTTTTCATTTCTTCTCCTATTATCTCACATCATGGCATTATTAATGCGATATTGAAGTTAAAAATTACTGGACACGATGTTAGTTTGTGACTAATGCAGTAAAACTTCCAAATTGTAACTTTTGTTTTTTCTTCCAAAACCAATGTCCAACCGTAGCGTTAGCTTGCCCCAGTGAGCGCCTATGTTAATTAACTGTATGGAATACTATTTAAAACAAAAATAGTATTAAAAAATATTTAAAGATCATTAATAAAAAAATATATTTAAAAAATAAATATTGATAATTATGGAATAATTAAGCAAATTACGGCATTAATAAGATATTAAATAAAAGTAAGCAACAGATCACCATCGCTGAGGTCTTATTTCCCCTTATTGTTTTAAAAATAGATTTTAATATAATATTTATAGTTTATAATATATTATATGCAGTGGTGGGAAAAGCCTTCGAACAAACCCAATTTTTGGCGAAAATGACATAGATTTCAATTTAAAAGTGTTTTAATCTTCTTCATTGTAAATTGATTTAACCTGGCAGACATTTTAGATGTAATACATATATTTAAATTAGCATTATAGGACGAATGCATTGTGTTGACTTTATTTCCAGGAACAGAATATTTTTAACTTGTTTATCTACTTTGTTATCTACTTCAGTCTTTATTGTTTATTGTTAATATCAAGAGCCACTGCATAAACTCTAGGATGTTGAGTATATCTATGGAAATTGTTCTAATATAGAAATTCCTTGTTGTTGTTTTTTTAAAATTTAATTTAGGATTTCTTATTGCATAACTTCTTTTGTTTTTCTATTTAATGTTACTTTTATTTAAAAATATGGTAAAATACTCACATTTTTTATTGTTATCTTGCTGAAACATAAAGTTCTGCCCAATCTTAAATGATGAATTGTTCAAAATAACAATACTCCAAATAATTCATATTTTTAATAGTATTTGGGATGATTTTGTGAGCTCCGTTCATAAAATACTATTTTTGACTTTGTCTGTTCTATTTTCTTTAATATTTTTTTTAAACTTATATAAATTTTATTATGTATACAAAATCATTGCAATTCACACTGTGGAAATTACAAATATCTTATAAATTACTTTTCATGCTTGAAATATTGATGGATAAAATAAATAAGAAAAATGAATTAATAAAGAAATTTAGTTTATTAAATTTAAAATCTGTGTAAACAATTATACACTTTGCTTAAAAAAAAAAAAAAATATATATATATATATATATATATATATATATATATATATATATATAATTAGCCATTTGTTTGTGAATAATCTGCTTACTGTGGACGGGCATTCATGCGAATCGGCAAATTAGCTAATTTTACTTCAAATTTTCTTAATAGGCTAATCTTTATTTCTGAATGCCTTCGCGAAATAATTCATTCCGCACCTTAGTAAATCATCTAACAAAGTCTCAGAAAAAAAAAAATAGTTTTGCAAACATTTATAACTTATGATGCATATGTTAGGGAAAAATCAAAAAAATATTAAGGTACTCATATACAAAAATTATCTAGAAATACAGAGAACAATCTAATGGTACATAGGAACCATTGAAAATTGTTGGCAAGGTTGATATGGGTGTTTGATACTTGTATTCAGATACATGTTGACTGACAAAACCAAACAATTTTCAAAATTAAAAATGGAAGAGACTATTGCTGCTTTTATCCTAGCACTTGTGCATTCCACAAAACCAAAATGAGGTAATGGAGAGACTAAAAAATGGAACAAGCCATGGTGAAAACTTGGTATATAAATTGCTTTTGAAAGATCATAGTTCGTTCCACCATTTCATCAGATAACTGATATTGGATTTTGAAGAAATTCTTTGTTCGTTAACTACTAAAATCTTCAAAAACACAATGAAATACCTTTTTGTTATTCCACTATCAACAATAAAAATTCACAGTACATAATAATTTATATTTTCTATTTAAAAAGAAAACCATGAATACAAGCAAAACTTAACCAATTTCTTTTTGGCCTATCCATATATATCTCATTAAGTTGTAGTTATTTGACTAAATAGTGCTAATATTATTATTGATATGTTTTCATCATTTGTTCCTTGGTATTTACTAAATTTGAAGGAGAAAGCTACATAGGAAGTTTTTTTTTTTTTTGCTCTCTCCTTTGGAAAACACATATGTCCGTTAATAATATAGCAGAAGACAAACAAACAACCAGTAAAATTAATAAACTGGATTTCATTTTCAGCAGGCAACATATAGAAAATAAATGCACTTACAAAAATAATTAAATCTCTCTTCAAAATAGCAGTAACCATTTACATCACTAAATTCTAATTCAACAAAAAACAGCCATGATAAGCATCACAATATACAACTTATAAAAGCTTTATAATACCTTTATTTTTTCAATAAATAAACAATTAATGCTACAAAAAAATAAAATCTGTTTTGAATTTCAAATATCAGAGTGTATTTTTTTACTGCTCAATACAAAATCAGAGTAATGTACAAAGTTAGCTAATGTTTGCTATTCATTATGAGCTCTGTTTGACACTTCAGAAAAAAAAGACATATCTGTAAGAAGTGAACTGTAGATTTCACTCATATTCAGCCATCAATTTTTCATGAAACTTCTTGAAGATGTTGAGCATGCGTTTAAATTCCTCAGGCTGGGGTAAAATGGTAGTCCTGAAATACAAGTTCCAAATTAAGAAAGAGAACTGAAATGAACACATTAAATAAACAAGTCACTGATCTATAACTAAAATTTTCAAATATTGAATAATCATAAATATAAAATATAAAGAACCGATATATTGATTTGATTTTTTCAATATATTAAACTACTATTTCAAATTCAACATCTTCAGTAAAAACCAAAAAGCAATAAAAAAATACTATACTATATTGGGGAAATTACATTAAAAATAAAAAATAATTTTAGCAGTTCTATGGTTTTTAATATTGTATTCAATTTTCGCTGCTAAGGATTAAAATCTGCTAAAATCTTTTCATCTGTTTTCTATACAAAAAATGAAGGAAAATACAACCTAAGTGTTGGGGTACTGCTGCTCATACTTTTTTTTTTAAACTATACTATAAATATCACAAAATGGGATTTTTTTTATCAGATTCAGTAACTCATTCTGTTTCTGAACATAAACAAACTCTATTTATCTACCTGAAATGGTACGTTCCTTCAACTTGACCAAATCCATTACCAGGTATAGCGCAAATACCTGTTTGTTCCAAGAGCTGAAAACAATAAAAAACACTTGGGCACTGATTCAGTGACTTTGCCTTTTCTATTGCTTTGGGAGGTAATTTTATCTGCAATAAATCAATTATATTACAAATCATTCTTATAATGCTATCTTCTAACAGAAAGTGGATTTATAAATTGAACCTACTTGTGGAAATGCATACATGGCACCTTGGACAACATTACATGACATGCCATCACAGGAATTAAAGGCCTCATATACCATTTTTGCTCTTTCTTTTAATGATTCTAAAATATAACTCTTCTCTTTTTCAAACAATTCATAGGATGGATCACCTTTTTTCAATGGATTGACCACACAGTCCAATACTGCCTGTTATAAACCAAGGTTAATTACATTTATTTCATTCCCAAAAATATATAGGTTAAATAATAATAAGATTAAATATTTCTCTCTCTTTAGAAGAAAAACAAACCTTAACTTCCATTAATCGGTTGAGAGGAAACAAATTAAACAACGAAACTGTAAGCGTATGCAGAACAAACAGCATGGCTTTCTGAAGAAAATACTACTATATGGATTGAATAAAATAGTGATCAGAGGAAACAAAATTTCTATTGACATTACATTTGATCTTTGCTTTTAGAAATAAATTCTGATAGTTTTGTACTTATGATCAATGAATGTATTTAGTTACTTGTGTTATTACATTCTTGCTCTTAATAAAATTAAAATTACTTATTAATAGTGTATAATGTGTTATAATTTATAAATATTAGTTGGCCTGTGCGAATAATTCACACAATATATTGGTCACTAACCAAATGACAAAATAGTAATAAAATAAAATAATGCAACATATCATAAGTTAGCGAAATCAAATTATTTTTTTATTAACCAAGATAATAAAAATTAATCTAAAACTTCATTCATATTTTAAACAAACGTGTTTACAAATGAGACTAAATTTTATCTTTGCTAATAATAGTAAAATTTAGATAATTGTTGTTCTTCTTGTAGGAAATTTAATAAGCTTTTAAATAATCATGGATGTAATAGATAAAAATGTCTAAATTGAGTTATTCACAAATAATGTTTCTTTTCCTTCACAAATTTTTTTGCCTGAAGGTGATGCGACTATTTTTTGCACTTGAAGGAGAAGGAAATCTTCAAAATGATAGCTCAATCTTTGGATTTGATAAAGAGTTAATTAAGATATGACGTACTGACAAATAAAAAACCTCAATAAAGGGAGAAAGAATCTTCTTGAGTTCTTAAAATATTTAGTAAATTAAGTGAAATTGTTCAATTTATTTAAACCTCATTTCCAATCATCAGAGCAGGGATGCCCATCCTCCCAAGGTCGATGGCACATGCTCCTCTTGCAAAGAAATTTTATCGGCTCTCCTCTTCTTAAAAAACAATGTAATCTAAAGTAGAATAAGAAGAAATTGTAGATTATATGGAATTATACTCATTGTGGTCTGTTCCATATTTTCCTCTTGGTCCCTGTTTTAAAAGCTCCTCCAAATTGAAACATCATAAAAATATGGTTCTCTTAAAAAATTCATAATACTGTAAAAATTTGCTCCTTAAAAATTTCGATGGTGCAACTTGTGCCATGCAACCCCCTTCTGGGCATCCCAGTGTGCCCTCAATATAACTATTGAGCAGATTTTACTTTATAGTATTACTACCTAATATATGATCATGTAATTATAATATTTTTTTTTTTAAATTTTATTGAAATTTACAACTGTATTACATTAAAAATACAACAGGTAAATGTGACATTGGTAACATGACATGTAAAATATGAAGAGAAACTACCCATTGGTAGAATTCAAAGAATTATAATATAAAATGCATTTTTACCTGTCCAATGTTGTTTGGGCAAAGCATAGCTGATATTGATTTAACAAACATTGCTCGGACTTCTGTATCTAAATTTATTATCTCTGAATATCCTCCTCTAAGCCCACACTCTCCCATGTAACCTTTAATTGGAATCAAAAAGTTAACCTCAAGCTTATTAAATTAAAAAAACACTACAAAAATCAGAGAATTATTCTGTCCTAGCGGTATTTTGTCCTATCCCTGCACTTGCTGTGAGAATCCTGCATGAATCATGTCCTGGTGAAGGTATAAAATTCTGGCCAGAATGTCAGCTCAGATTAAAAAAAAATGTTTTTCATTATTGACCTCCATTCCCTAACCACTTCTAAAATTATTTCTACGGTCAACGAAACCTACACTTAAACATATGGTTGTACATTTTGTAGGTAACATTTAATAAGTGTAATCTAACAAAAAAAGCTTAGGAGGAAAAACTGGTAATCTTTTCCAAACATCAATTGTTTATTTGGGCCATCGATACTCATTCCAGTATCTAACTATTGATGTTTACTAGTTGCCAGGTATATATATCTATAACTATTATAGAGGATATATATATCCTCTTTATGGGATTGTGGAAATATTCTGTTACATATGAATTGTTTTAACACCTGTATAGTTGGGAAGTTAGATGCAGAATTGAATGAATAAAATATATTATTAAATGATTTTTCATAGAAAACGTTATTAATTGATAAGAATTTTTTATTTTTTATAAATACAAAAAATTATTTTTATGAAAAATATCTTTTAATTATAGTTTAAAAATTCCACCAAATTGAAACTCCTTAAAAATATGATTCTCTTAAAAAATTCTTAACCTTGTAAAATTGTGCCCCTCAAAAAGTTCTACGTGTAATCTAATAATTTTTTTTTAGTTTGATTATTGCTAAATATGCCTCCTATTTTTTAAGTGATATTAATTAGTAATTATTATAATATTTTTTTATTTTAAAAATAATTAAGTTCCAGTCTCTTTTATTATTATCTAGATTTGAAATGAAAAGTTATTTGCAATTTTAAGTTCTTTTCTGTCCACATTATTAAACTTAGTATTTTTTTACTTTCACTTACATATATATGTAATATATAGTAAGGGTAAGTATTGTGATCGAGAAATTTTTTGAATCTGAGTTTTCAACAGAAATACACGTTTTCAGGTACCCTGAGTCGAAATGACCAAGTCCCGAAAAATGGTCTGTGTGTCTGTGTGTTTGTATGTTAGCAGTCTAGCTCAAAAACGAAAAGTCCTACGAAATTGATATTACGTATTTAAGATTGGTATATGCCTTAGATGTGACAGCAACTTGTTCCTCAAAATCAAAATGCTTTTTTAAAAGTTTACAGAATTTCCTAAAAAAAAAAAAAAATTCGTTAAAATCGGACAATTAGGAGCAAAGATATGGACTCTAGCTTTTTTTTTTTAATATGTTCTGCTTCAAAGCTTATGTCTTTTGTTTTTGTTTTTGAATTTTGAATGTGTTACTTAGGTAATGCTAATTGTTTTAACATATTACTAATGATTAAAAAAAAGAGTTTAGTCCATTAATTGGAATCACCTTTTATTTGTTTTTATTTTTAACCAGGAAGGTAATGATACTTTAGATGTATAATTGTTATTAAAAAATAATAAACCATTGTGAAATAATTTGCAGCGTTTTTTATATACAATACATATTGTTGACTGGTTAATATTAATTTTTTAATGTTATTATTTGTTGTATAAATGTGCTAATGTCTAATAGTAAGTCATCTGAAAGGATATTTTATATTTTTTTTTTAGATGAAAATTCAAAATATATCGTAAAAACAGATTTTATCCCGGAAGAGGTGAAAATTTAGATAAATTTAAAATATACTTTTTTAATTGTTGAGACTAATAAAACCTTTTTTCTACAGATATTTAATAAAGTATCTTTCATAAGAAATAAGTACCTAAATATATACTTTTATTCACCGTTCTATATTTCAACACTGCAATCACCACCTCGGGAATCAACTTACTCACTGTTTGCATAGATAACTTTTGTCAACTAAAAATATCACTAAAATGACATTACTCAAAAATGTTGAAATTGGAGTTAGTCATTCTGTGGTTTATAAAATCAAGGAAAGTTGTGTGTTTTATAAAAGCAGATGGAGTAACTAAATTTTTATTGCCTACCGTCAATATATTAAATAGAAATTTTGTAATTATAATGGTCTAAATGACTTGTTATCTGTAAGCTTTAAGGTTTATCTCTGTTTAAAATGTACTACAAAAAATTTTATAATAGCCCAGCATTGCCAGAAAGTAATTTCTATTCAAAGTAGAACGGTAACTGAAAGTTGTGTTAACCAGATTTTTTTTTATACATATCTAAAGTAATTAATCTTTGAAAAATTAAATTATCTATATTTTTTAAATTTCAGTTTATCGAATATTTATTATTTAATTTTTTATTAGAATTTTATCAAGTGTACAGGTCAACAGCACTTTTTAAAATGGGGAAGATTTTTTACTTCCATATACTTATATATCAGATATATAGTAAGGGAAAGTATTGTGAGTGTAAACATTTTAAATTTGAGTTTTCAACTGAAATACTAGTTTTGATTTTCTCTGAGCTCAAAAAACCAACTATCACAAAATGGAGTGTGTGTGTGTGTGTGTGTGTGTGTGTGTGTGTGTGTGTGTGTGTGTGTGTGTGTGTGTGTGTGTGTGTGTGTGTGTGTGTGTGCATGTGCCCATGTTTGAGTCAACATGAAATTATTTAGTAATATTTCTATATTTCTTTTAATTTATTGATGCTGACCATAATTTTTGTATGTTAATTAATAGTTTTAAACAAATATGTTATATCTCCTATAATTTTTATTTTCACTTCTCTATATATGAAAATACATAAAAATATTTTTACTATCAAAGTAGAGTGGTAAGTAAAAGTTGCACCACACCAGATTTTTTTTTTTGACATAACTCTCCACACAAAAATTAATTTGAATTAGATGTATGAATTTTGATGTGATTCCAAAATTGCCATGCTTCTTACACCTTTGTCCTCTTAATACACCCATATGCTCGTCAGATAGTCTTTATATCACATAATATTATGGTAATTTATAGTAGTTAATCATTAGTTCCAATGATGCCTTTTTTGTTGGACATATACTACCTTTCCTCCAATCAAAAGGTCTTCAGCAACTTCCTCCAACCATGGAGAATTAATTTGGTAAGCAAGCATACCTTCCTTTAAGTTGGGTAGGCTTCAGCTAAAAGTAGGTAGATCACCCTAGATGTAGGTCAGGCGATTCTTTTTCATTAGAGGCCTTTCGAAGACTCGAGTAACCATTGAAATGTAAGCCTTGGAAACCATAATAACAAAAACCACGAAATTTTGTCTACAGATTATAGGTGGTTAAGATAACGAAAAATATATATTTTTCTTTTTAATTTAAAAAATCTTTTTTTTTTACATCAGGATTAGTATGTTTTTAACCTTTAAAGTGATTCTCATTATTGACTTTAAGTTATAAAAATTAGTTCAAAATAGAGGTATTATTTATTTCCTTCCTTCCATAACCCTAGACAACACAGATTTTTGGTAGAAGTATGTACCATGCTACTTCTACCACTTATTCTCTAGTCCTTCTCTCTTCTAATTTATTGAAGGAGATTGAAATGACCAACTCCCACCAATTCCATTTCCACCTGTACATGAAGGCTATGTAGTATGGGTAGTTATCTTTGCTTACTAACTGAGAAAAATCGTCATCGGTGATGGTATAGAGTGCAGTTTCCCTCAGTAGTTTGGCCCTTATTGACTTGAAAGTAGTGCAAGTCATGACGACATATAGATGCACTAGTGATAACATTATAAATAATATAAAATAGAATGGAAAAGACAATTATAGTTTCATTATAATGAACAAAATCTAAGGTTGAAAAAGAAAAAAATAAATAAAATAAAAACCAATTAAATAAATTAGCTAAAAGAAAATACTATTAAAGCAATTACTTATTAATTCATACATTTTTACCTTTAGAACATGACATAAAAGAAGCTAATTCCATCTGATTGTAAGGTGGTCCCATTTCCATAAGAACTTTCTTAAATGAGAAAAATTTACTGTTGGAATCATATATGTTATTTTGGTACACCTGAAAATCACGTTCATTAATATAAAGTTCTTAATATATAAAAAATCAAAAGGTACAATTTGAATGAAAAAAATTAGAAATCTATTTCAGAAGGATCATTAGTAAATATTTCTCACTAACATAGCTTAATAATCAAATAAATATTCTGTTACAATGACAAAATTTAAGTTAATAGCACACTTTATTAATACACTGACAGGCAAAAAAATTCCACCCACTTGATTTTTTCATGTTTTCATCTAAAAATATTTCTGCTTTGGATTGGTCTATTGCTTTTAATGAATAAATAGGTAATCCTTTTGTTTGTTTTCAATTAGGAATGTTAATATAGAGGACAATAACCCTTAATCCTTAATTCAATGAAATGATTTTAGGTTCCAATGTTTACTTTCTATGGAATCAAAATGTTTATTTAGTATCATTAGTTCAGAGCAGTTTCTTGCAGCACATTTCTTAGTCTCTGGCTTTTAACTTTTTCAATATTTAGTTTAAAAATGCCTCTTAGTGCTGAGGATGTTGCGCGTGGTGTGGCACTTATTGATGATGGACGTTCCATTAGATATGCAGCTAATGCCATCAGAGTTCCATATGAAACTTTACGAGACGCCGTCAGGCGTTTTCAGGAAACTGGTTCTTACAATAGAAGGTCCTGTTCTGGACGGCCTAGGGTAACAGAACCACAGGATGACTGGTTTTTGACTTTGAGAATTTTACAAAACCGGCACCTTACCGTTGTTCAAGCGATTCATCAGCTCGAAGAAGTTCGAGGTGTGCAAATTTCTTTTATTCTGTGCAAATTAAATGAGTATGGATTAATGGCTTTTCACAGTAAGACAGTAAGAGGACCAGAGTTGACCAGAACTCACAGAGTAACACGGCTGGCTTTTGCTCGAGAACACAGCCATTGGACAATGGACGAATGGAGTGCTGTACTTTTTACAGATGAGTTAAGATTCGCTCTTCGATCTCCAGAAGGGCGTGAAAGGGTATGGAGAAGAAGAAACGAAAGATATGCAGCCTGTAATTTTTCTGGTTCCTTAATGGTGTGGGCTGGGATTTCAATGGAGCGCCACACAGAATTGGTTGTTGTTCATGGAGGGTCTTTGATGGCCATTCGCTATATAGATGAGATTTTGGAACCTCAAGTGTTGCCTATCCTCAACGAAATCGGCGATCGTTCTATTCTAATGCACGATAATGCACGCCCACATGTCGCCCACATAATGCAGACGTTCCTTCAACAGAACAATATTGAGGTTTTAGTCTGGCTAGTACGTTCTCCAGATTTGAACCCCATTGAGCATTTATGGGATAACCTCGGAAGAGGAATAAGAGCGCGTGCAACACTTCCTGATACACTGCATGACCTTGAAAGGGCTCTTCGAGAGGAATTGGCTATCCTCCAGCAAAGGGACATTTCCTGACTGGTGGAAAGTATGCTGAGGCATCTTCAAGAAGTAGTGAAGGCAAGAGGAGGAAACACACGCTACTAAACGATGATGTAATTAATTTCTTTTAGAATTAATTTAGTAAAAAAGATTATAAAATTCCATAAATACTAAGTATTATCTACAAATACCATGTATTGTATACAAATACAACTTTTTTTACAAGTGGGTGGAATTTTTCGCCTGTCAGTGTAATATAAATTAGCTTAAACTACAGAGTAAAAACATTGGTTAGAATAAAGTATATTAGTCCAGGTGCTAGCAATTTTTGTTCATTACCTCATAAGCAGCAGATTTTTCTTGCAAAAAATTTTATTTTTTATTCGTATTTCTTTCCTTTTTCTTTTTCATACAAAATTTTTTGTGCTGCTTATGATTTTTTTCTTTTTTTCAAATTTCTTGAACTTTGCTGTTTCTTGAACTAAGTTTGTCAAACCCATCATGATTTGTCAGATTCCATGCTGAACTCTTCAGAGGTCTTGACATTCGCCACCTTTCCTACACAAGACATTGCTAATTGATTGTAATGTAACGCTGCAATGATTTTAAGCAAAAAACAGCCGTGAGATAGCTCTATAGTTCTTGCATTTTGTCAGGTCTCATTTCTAGTAAACTATAGGAATCATTCAACTGTTAATTTGCAGGCATGAATTTTTCCTCCCAATTACGTTTTATGAGTCAGTGCAGTACTCTAACCATGTTAAAGCATTTATATTGTCTGAACTTGATTTTTTTTCAGTTTACAGATCACTTTGCTTAGTTTTTCGGATTCCATGTGTTCCACTATAGAGGATCCCACCTGTTATGTAAATGTCACCTTTGTCTTTACAGGTGAATTTACTTCCTTGATGTCATCTATTTTCTTGCAAAATTTTATGCTTTCATTCTTGTTGGTCATTTCTTAAATGTTCTTCAATTGCTCCTACTTAAAATATTCAATTTTATCACAAGTTATAAAGAAAATATCATAAAAGGAATAATTTAATAATATTATATAAACTTTATAGATTTAATGTAAATAAAAAATAAATATTTCTAACCTCGTCAGCTAATATAAATAGATTTTCTTTATGAGCAAATTTAATAATATCTTCAATGTTCTTTTGAGTAAGAACCTGACCTGTTGGATTACCAGGGTTTATGACAACAATTGCTCTAGGTTTACAACATTTCTTTGCCTCATTAACAGCTCTTTCCAATTCAGAAATGCTTAATGACCAGTTGTTTGCTTCATCCAAATAATAACGAATCTGAAAGTTAAAATATGATTTAATTGATCTTATATTACCTAACAAGAAAACAGCATATGCTAATAGAAGATAGAAAAAAATAAAAATAATTTTATAATACTTTAATATAAATAAGCTATTAATACTAAAATTACAAATATTTCATACTCAATAAATAAATATTTTTAAATCTGAATGGTTCATTGGATGAGGGATGGTTACTCAAGTTAAAATACTCAACTGGCAGTAAATTATTTAATGTTTACAGTGAATTATTTAAGGTACACTTTAAAGGCTGATCAGTTTCTTGACCAAAAATAAGGAAAATTAAAGAAGTAAAAACAATAAAACCTCCTTATATTCTTAATTTTTCACTCTGTGTTCCTCAGGGCTTAGGCAAAAATCCCAAGCTACAAACATATATTTCTTTACATAGAACTCCATCCTTCAAAAAATCCTTTATCAATTGTTTTGTATCATTTTGGAATTTATTACTTATCTCTTCATAAGACTTTACTTTTAATTTTATTTAAACATCTAATTATTTTTCCATTTCCTTTTTACTATCAATCTCTCCAGCATTTGTAACAATTAAGTTATAAATACGATATTCTATTCGTTTATCATTTTATTTTTTAAACTAAAAATTTATATTTAACATTTTACACTTTATTTTATAATTACACTGACTTATTATTTAATTTTTTTATTACTGTAAGCTAGACAAATGCTATTGGAATAGTTCAATGTTGTTATTCTAAGGGGAGTAATATCTTAGAGTAAAATTTCCTTTGTTTCTTCTTTTTATGATAAAATACAGTTCCTTGTTAGTGTGGAAATCAAGACTCATTATGACACATTAAGATTATTTTGCTTACCATGTGCATATTGTACTTCGCGGGTATAGCAGAATAGAGTGGGTACTGAGGGATAGGTACCATGACACCTGCTTTCTTGCCATCTATTTCATTAATCAGCAATTCCATAACAGCCTAAAAACATAAATAAAGATGCATCATTTAAATGGTTGCAGATAATCTAGATGACAAAATTACATTAAGAAGTTGTGATCAAGAAGAGATAGAGGAGCATCTATAATTCTATTTTTTAGAAAAGCATCATATAAAGAAAAAATAGGGATAAGAGAAAAAAGGAGATAGAATGTTTTAATTTGAGGCCTGGTTGACAAAATTGAAATATCTAATCTTGAGGAGAATGGATAATTTTGTTTTGACTGTCATATTTTTTATTTAGCGAAACATTTTACCCCTTAAATTAAATGAAAGTGCATTGTAATAATATAATCCATTTTTATTTTAAATAAATTATCAATGTTTTGCTTTATATTCTAGTATAATTAGGATTCTTCAGAAATATTTTTTTATTAATTTTTATTAAAACTTAAACTTTCTTTTACTATTTATTTGAAATGTGATTTAGATATGAATAAATCATTTTTCATATTTTTGTTGTTTTTCAGTTGGCATTACAGTTCATTTAGATCTTTTTCCCGCCTTAACAAGCCTGCTCCATCCCTGCCTGTCTTGGGATATTTCTTTCCATTTATCTGCACACAGCTCTATTGCATCTTTGTTGATTCTATCAATCAAGCCTTTTATGTGGTATTTTGCCTTCTATTTAGGCATTCATTGTTACGTAGAGACTTACAGATTACGTAGAGCTACATGCCCCGCCCATGTTAACCTCAGTGCCTTCATATCATGGGATATTGATTGACCAGTTTCTGTAAGCAGTTCTTTATTGGTCTTTCTTCTCTTTGTGTTAGTACTCTGATCCCAGATCGTGTGGAGGATTTTTCTCTCAAATCTTTCAAATCATTTGTCATATAATCACATATTACTTTCTTTTTTTTTTTTTTGGAGTTTCAGAGTATCAGCTGTATATGAGAGTTATGTATGAAAATATGATTGGTAGAAATATTAATGTAAAAAAGGAACTAGAGTGAAATAGTAACATTATTAAAAGATAATTTAACTAAATTAAATGAAATCTTCATAAAGAGCATTATGGGAATGGATAGTAGACAATGGAGAGGACCAAATAACTATCATTTCTACCCTGACATTGTCTAGTTTAGATGCTATTGTATTACTATGAAATAGTTAAATTATAATTTCATTGAAGTTGAGGCTTTGAAAAGTATTAACAACTAACCTTAATGACCTCTGTAGCACCATCTCCAAGTATAATGTTATGCCAATCTGCAGGAATACTATCTCGGTTTTCTATGTATTCAGCACAGTGCTTTCTAACAATTTCCATACCAGCAGACTCAGTATATGAACCTAAAATGATTGATCACAAGCATTAAAAAATTATGCTTTAGATGCAATACATCATACATGCTAATAATAAATTATATTTTCTTGATGAAAATAAGATTTCTTATTTTATTATGTTATTTTATCTCATCTTATTTTATTATTTATTTACATCACTGCCTAGCCTTAAACTAAGCTAAACCCGATGAGCCACTGTTGCCAATTTTGTTTTATGTTGGTATCTAGAGTAAGAAATGCTATATAGTAAGATTTGGATCTTCCTATGATTGCATTCCCTCTGAGTGAATATCATCGTACCAGGATTTGTCTTCTTCCTTGGGCTTCTAGGTTATAGTAGACCAGTCCCACCACCTAAATAAAATGTTTGAACAGCAGGAAACGTTCTCCACTAACTAATTGAGGAAACTCATTTTCAGTGAGGATGTAGATCCCAGCGTCTCTATAATAATAAATTCTAATATTACTACGCTTTTAAGAAAAGTATTTGTAATCAATACACATGAAATGAAATATTATTAGAGGTTATAAAATTACCAGCTACACTGTAAATGTGTGAAAACAATTAGTTGAAATTATGAAACTCAATGATTTTTAATTAAATTGACAATTGTCTTTCCAATGTTTAAACCAGACTAAAATCTATTATATTATAGATTTAGCTGATTTATTTATCTATTTATTTTTTAAAAACTTTATATAAATTTTACTGATAATCCAATTTAAAAAAATTATGTTTTCTCACCGATAGAAGATCCTATACATCCACTGAGAATTGTTTTTGCTCGCTCTTTAGCATCTTTAGGAAACTTAGGGTCAGATAGTAACTCAGGATATGTCACGAGAGCCAGAACTTGACGAATGAAAGTGATAGGGACTTGACCAACTGCCTGACTATCGCCAAGATTAGCTCGAATGACCCTGTCAAAGGGTTTCTTTTTACCCTGTCAAAAGGATTGGCATTAGTTAATTGTTTTCAAAGTTAAAAATATATAAGTAGAAAAATAAAATGTGTATCTATTGCTGGGTTTTATAATTTTATTTCTATTCGTTAATTAAATAAATACAGATTTTTTAAAAACACAAACAAATAGAATTCAGTAAATAAGACTTTTTCTGGATGTATTGCTTATTACTTCCCACTTCTTTTACCAATTTTGTTTTATTTATTTTTTATTATCAATGAAAATATGGACCATGAAAATTTGGCTAAATTTTTATTCTGTATCACACTCCAGAGTTTCTGGTAAAAGAATAAAAATTACTAATGATAGTATTATATCCAAGCACATTGAAATATCAATTTTTTTCTTTAAATTGTAGTATAATAGAAATTATTCTTATATATTTTAAATTATCTATTAGTGAAACTTTAACTTCCTTCTATTTGTCCTATACCCTCATATCACCTTTATGCCTCATTGTAATCATCAGTATACAATTTTTCTTCCTTTATTATTTCTTCTTATAATGTTTTCATTTTTTTTTCATTGTATATTGTAAAATTTCATCAACTTCGGCGAAAACAGAACTTAAGTTACGGATAAACCAGACCCATGTGTTGGGAACAAACCTGGAGGAACGCCTGCCACTTGTTGGCAATAATAACAATTAAAAAGCTTACTAATAAAGTAACTGGATTAGAAACTTATGAAATACAATTCATAAAGTAATATCTAATGTACTATGAAGGATATGTAGAGTCTCATTATCCTGAATTACATTTTATTTAAGTGGAATAAAATGATTGGGATACCAAATTTCTTAGTCTGCCACTACCTAGAACATCAAAAAAACAAAACAAAAAAACTAATGGAAGTAAAGGATGAGAAAATTATAAAAGGAAGTTAAAGTTTCTCTAATAAATAAAAGAAGAATATATTATATCACGATTTCACCATCTCAGTTATAAAAATTCATATTCTATTATAAAGCTGTTGCTTTTTGAGAAACTCTTGGACAAGCAGCAAAGTTAAAGTAATCTGTCACTGGAACCGTTTTAGATGTGTAGCTTAAGACTATGTCGGCTTAGAATTGAGTAATTCGACCTTGTACGTTTCTTGAAGAACTCAGGAACCAGGAAGTTTCTATTGTTTGTGGCCAGTTCCACAGTGTTCAAAATAACACTGTTAGGATTATGAACTGAATAAAAAACGTTGATTACATGAAATAGATAGTATTCTAAATAGCAGCAAAAAAATTAACAAACAATTGACAGTGGTGTAAAAAAACAAAAGTAGGATGCAACCATCCAAGAGGTACAAGAGAAATTAAGAAAAGAAAATAATAAATTCAAAGGGGTGATTTATATTTGGAGGGGGGATGTTAATAATTTAAAATGAGGAATAAGATAATTTGAAATTTGAAATCGCAATTCATAAATATTTACCTCTTGCAGCTCCTTTTCTATTTCTGCAGCCCGGACAAGTAGAGGTCCTCGGACCGGAAATTCCATTTTCTTTAAACAAGGATTCATATTTTCTATGGTAAGACATTTCGAACACGCCATTTGTGACTGATGATAGTCCACAGGCAGACTGGGGAACAGACAAGGTCAGATGCACCTCCCAACACCCCTTTGGAACTGGTCAAGCCAACTGTCTGCTGTCCTTTATATAGCTGATAACTCAAATTTATCTGAAACTCACTTTGTATCTTATTTTACTAGAAAAAACAAACTGCAATAAGGTTATTCTAGAGTATTTTACTTTCATATCTTCATTTCGTGATATTTCAATTGGAGGTGTCTCAAGGACGGTTTTAATCAGAGAAAAAATACTCCACTTATATGTAAACATAAGTTACAATTATCACAAATGAACAGATAAATATTTATCCAAGTTTGCTGACTAAAATCGAAGGGAAAGGAATACAAATCATATTCAATGACAATAAATAAATTGTTTTTGCCGACAATTACCTTAGGAAGTCACACAATGGGATAAAAAGGACCGAAAACACGATGTCGGTTAGATTTATTACTTTCACTTACCTATACATGGGCTATATAGTAAGAGAAAGTATTGCAATCGTGAAAATTTTCGAATCTTAGTTTTCAACGGAAATACAAGTTCTAAGGACTCTGGAGTCAAAATAACCAAGTCTCGCAAATGATGTGTGTGTGCTTAAACAGTCCAGCTCAAAAAAGAAAAGTCGTGCGGAACTGAAATTTCGTATTTAAGGTTTTTGCATGTTTGGAATGTTATAACAACTTTTTCGTCAAAATAGGCTAACCGGAAGTGACACTTTATATAATCGATTTTTACGATTTTCCCAAAAACTGCTCTAACGATTTTGACTAAACTCGGTGTATCGATGTATAATTAAGTAATCTTTAATATCATTCACTTAATAGGGCTTAGATGCCTAATGTTCAAAATGTATTCCTTTTAAGTACCTTTAATTTAATATACTTTAAAATTTGATTGCATTAGCGGTTAACTAATATCGTTTCCCCGTCATTTCTAGCAATTTTTAATGTAATTTTTGCATTAATAAAGCCTCGATATGAATTAATAGTTGAAGGGAGGAAATTCATCTTTTCTATATTTAGAGATTGTTCTGCCTGTATTTTTTGTTTTAACCTAATTGCTTTTGCTGGGCAAAATCAGGCACTTCTAGTGAGATCTAAGACACCTGAATGAGCGTTTTTTTTTTTAAATATATAAAATTATTAGAATGCATCAAACAATTCTAATCAATCTGATACGATATCGCAAATCGCCCGAAAAACTGATATACCTTGTTATTAACAAAGGTTTGAACTAAAAAAAAACAGCTTTCAGATAGATCTTGCCCCAAGCTGCCACTTCGGAAGTTATTGACGTTAGCAGATAACTACCATTATTATTTGTTTATTTAGTTATTTTTATTAGTGCATTCATGTTATTATCGACCCAGTCTTCGACAAAGGAACACCTAATACAATACACTCCGCAAATTGTATAGTACTATGAATTAATTGACATAAATAGTTTTTGTGTTATCCCTTCCTATGAAAGAAAAAACGTAACCACCTCAAGAAAATACAAAATTGGACTTGACACCTTTTTTCGTTCGAAAGCGGCCCATACATCAAATGAAAGTTTTTGTTGGAAATTTTGTCTAGAATCGCCTCCAAGAGTTTTACTATTAAGAGTCATGACGTCATGTATGTATATGTTCGTATTTCTTTTACACATTTCTTCTGACGAGTGGTTAAGAAAAGTAAATACTGAAACAGTTCAAGAATAGTTTCATTTTATTTTTACTCTAATGTTATAACATAACATAAATTGCACAGATTACAAAAAAATAACAGGTAACAATATTTTTATTGAGAAAATTAGAATTCATCTTCGTTAAATCTAAGCCATCCTCTTTTATCTTTGTTCCAGTAGACTGTTTTTCAAAGACAACTGGGAAGAACGTTACTAAGCAATGTTTCTCATCATCAACAATTAACCACCGAAATCTTATAATTTAATTTTTTTTTAATTTCGGCTATTGAATAATTTCAATATTCCAAATTTTAAAATCTGAAGGTTGTTCGCAAAAAAATTCAATATTGCCACATTAAAAAGAAAAAAGGATAGAACTAAAATAATATTGCTTGACTGCTCAACTGCATTGAATCATTAGTCATCAATCAACTGATAATATTAAAAACATGATAGGAGTTAGATAGGACCATTGGAATACATAGCAAATGTGCCAATAACAGTTTACAGATGATTAGACAACAGATGGTTGAACAGTTTAGATTAGTGCAATTTAAAACACAACACTAAATAATCTCTGCAGTGTGTGTTTGAGTCTCGATTAGCAATGCTTCAGTTATTCAAGAATTCGCAGAAAATATGGCACGAAAAGTTTTGTTGTGGTGAATAAATATTTTAATAAAAAAAAAAAAAAAATAGTTCAAGTTCTACTTGTGATAATATGAGTACATTACTTAAGTAGTTAGATGTTATTAATGTATTTTTTAAGAAATAAATTGTGACGTGTCTCATGTAAAATAATAATCTGTAATTTACTTTTTTTAAAGAAATAATACAATATAATAATAATCATCATATATATCATTATATGTTATCATATATATCATCATATAATAATCAGGCTCAAATAACGAATTTTACCCTTCGAGAAAAAATACAAAACATAATAATTTTTTAGGCTTAATTTATTATTTATTTATTCTTCCTTCAATATTTTCGACAAACATGATCAAAATGTGTTGTCCGAACGGAAATAAGTTTTACTTAAAAATACAATTATGAAAAAAATTGTTGTGGATTTACCTCCAAAGTTCTCTACATGATTTTTCAATGTTCTTTACATGAACCTTTCACTTGACAGAATGACTAAGAGGCTCATATGATAGTCATAAATTTTCTATCTATGTTAGAAATAGACACGGGATAGGTGATACAGTACCCGCAGTACTGTACGGTTGTGCGGGTTTGGAGACACTCTCTACGTACGTAGGCACATTTATATACAAACTCTTACAACAGTAAAGACTTTAAGATTTACTTTTATTATAAAATGAAGTTTTACATTAACATTTATAGATATTTACTCACGGAATAATTTAAGATATCAAACATAAAAATCGTTCCAAGCGTACGCACGATAAATCGTTACATACCTCTTAGCAAATCGTTAAAATACATATTATTCAATCACGGGTAATTGTTTTTAACTGAAATTGTTTAAAAACACTCGCGGGATTTCACCAAATAATTTAAGATATCAAAAATCGACGCAGCTGTTCGTTCAAAACATCATTACATACCTTTTAGTCGACACCTGGGACACATGACCCTCCTGTAATCCAAGGCCAAGAGGCTTAAGCAGAAGTTTCCCAATATTGATTTGGAAAAAAGACTATACAACGTTTTTGGAAGAATTATGAGGTTGTTTTTCACTTTGAGTTGATTCCAGATGAGATGGCTATTGAAACTGAGCTTTATTGAAGTAATCATTTATATAACTAAATTCCAATATAAAATTTTAAAAAAGAATTATGGAAAAAAACACAATAAACAACTTATAAATGCTTTACCTTGTATTTATTTCAATAAATTAACAATTAATGGAACTGAAAATAAACAAAAACTAAAACCTTTTTTGCAATTTAAATATCAGAATAATTTTTTTTACTGATATTTACTAGGCCATTGTATGCTCCTCACTCGGATCTCAATACAGCATTTTTAAAACATTATTAATAAAAATGAATCATTGATTTTACTTATATTCGGCGAGGAATTTTTCATGAAATGTCTTGAAGATGTTTAGCATGTGTTTAAGTTCCTCAGGCTGAGGTAAAATAGTTGTCCTGCAATGAAAGTTCTAAATTAAGAAAGGAAAAGGAACAAAGTAACTAAACAACCAATGATCTGGGACTAAAATTATTGGAGAACACAAGTATTATATATCAGTTTCTAAACAGGATACAAATTACAAAAATAATGGTGAAAAACCTATTATTGTTGAAAAGAATTAGTACCAATTTAATTACTTTTATAGATTAGAGATGTCAATGTACTTTCAAATCTGTTTGTTTACCTGAAATGGTAAGTTCCTTCGACTTGACCAAAGCCTGCTCCAGGCACAACGCAAACACCTGTTTGTTCCAAGAGCTGAAAACAATAAAAAACACTTGGACACTGATTTAGTGATTTTGCCTTTTCTACTGCTCTGGGTGGCATTTTTATCTGCAACAGACCAAATAGAATATAAATCATTTATTAATAGCTTCAAGCAGAGAAGGTATCTATAAGTTTAACCTACTTGTGGAAATGCATACATGGCGCCTTGGACAACATTACATGACATGCCCTCACAGGCATTAAAGCCTTCGTATACCATTTTCGCTCGTTCTTTCAATGAGTCTAAAATAAAATTCTTCTCTTTTTCAAACAATTCATAGGATGGGTCACCTTTTTTCAATGGATTGACCACGCAGTCCAATACAGCCTGTTGTAAATGAAGCTCAATTAAATTTAATTAAGTCCCAAAAATTCATTGAATAATAATTATAAGATTAACTAATTTCACTCAAAAGTTAGTTTTTTGAATTATTTTATCTCACTGTATAAATTGTTACAGCAAAACTTTTCACTGATCAGTTAAAAAATAAAACAAGGGAACTATAAATAGAGATTGAAACTCAGAGAAATATTTCAGTCAAATAATCACTATTTTATTTAACCAATAAATAATATTTATGTTTTTACTGACGAAAATTATATTGTATTGGTTGAAAAAATAGTAATTAGAGGAAATAAAACTATTATTGATAGTACCTCTGATCATTCCTTTTAGAAATAATTACTGATGGTTTTGTATGTAACATCTGTGAATATATTCACTTAATCATGTTATTACATTTTTTCCCTTAACTGAAATTATTCATTAATAGTCAATACTTCATTATAACAACTATTCTTAAAAATTCATATTTTATAAAAACTGGACATACTAGTAACTTTTTTTTTTCTCCCCTTCTTTGCCATTTAT